ATTTTATAAATCTCTTCAGGTACACAGGGTGTCTCCAGCAGAAATCGCGTCCGCCATCCAAGCTGCAAAAGAAGCTTCAGCTAGCGTAATGGACTCGCAACGCCGCGTGCAAGAAGCCAAGGAGGATGTGCTCCACCAACAGCACATAGCTAGTCAAAAACAAGCGCAAGCTGCGCTCGCCCTGCAGAAAACCGAAGCTGCAGCCGCCGTGCAGCAGCAAGAAGCCAAATCGGCGGCAACAGCGCTCATCCAGGCTCAACAGCGATTGGCGCACGCCAAAGCGGAAGTGGCCGAACAGCAGCGCATCGCTTCCGCTAAGGAGTCGCACGCAGCTGCGGTCATACAGAAGAGTGCGCATGCCGCAGCTGCGGACATCCAGAAAACAGGTATGTCCCACACTTTTTAATTTTGTAGATAGCCAAAGAAGGCAAAATTGTCCAAACAAAGGTACTAAATTTAAACAAATGTTTTTTAAGACATTGAAAAAAAAAATACAATGTTCAAGATCTTAACTTACTTGGGTATTTACTAAAATACACGGAGAGAAATGTGTAGTAAATTTTAGATACTAAATACTATTTTTTATTATACAATTTTAGTAAAGATTGCAACACCAATATTACTAAATCATAAATGTATAATATATATTTTAATTTTTAATATGTTCGTATAGTAAATTGATTTTACTATCTACAAATAGTAATATTTACTATATGATTGAATCAAATGTAAGGTGTACATCTAATATTATAATATATTACACATTAATAAAAAATATAGTAAAAATAAAGATACTTTTATGTTTAAGGTAAATAAACAATATATTTAAATATAATATACAATAGGGTGGGCCGAAAATCCGCTTTTTTAGAATTTCGTTTAGTAATAGCAAAAATTTTGTTCATTATGTTGTAAAAAAAATTTGTGTAAAAGATTAAAATTTTCGATCAACATCCTAGGCTCGCCCAACGCAATTAAAGATCAAAATGTTCAAAAAAATTTTGATACTAAAATAGGGTTTATTTCTAAAACTATCCATCTGAAGTAATTTAGTGTAAGGACCTTTTTTGTAGAGCATAAAATTTCCGATCGAATTAAGTTAGGAAAATTTTTTTTTGAACATTTTGATCTTTAATTGCGCTGGGCGAGCCTAGGATGAGGATCGAAAATTTTAATCTTTTACACAAATTTTTTTTACAACATAATGAACAAATTTCTGAAACTATCCATCTGAAATAATTTTGTGTAGAGCATAAAATTTCCGATCGAAATAAATTAGGAAAAATTTTTTTTGAACATTTTGATCTTTAATTGCGTTGGGCGAGCCTAGGATGTTGATCGAAAATTTTAATCTTTTACACAAAATTTTTTTACAACATAATGAACAAAATTTTTGCTATTACTAAACGAAATTCTAAAAAAGCGGATTTTCGGCCCACCCTAATATACAATATAGTAACTCATGACATTTTAAACATTCAATTTTCTTAGTTTCTTCAATAAACTTTCTTGACCCATTACTGGTAATACTTATAAGAAAGAATTGAACCTACTTGGTTGCATAGTATGTACCGATTGCGGCAAGGCCACGTCGCGACGGGTCGTTAGACGGTGTGGATCACGTGATGTTCTTACATCTCGCCTCTGTTGGCTTACCAACCATGTTATATAAGCTCAGGTATTTCTTTGTTTTGGGTGTGTTCCACTACTACAAGTTGCTCGACAGTGTCGTGTCGACACTGATGATACCCAATAAAGGTCAAAACGCCTGTCGGTCGGTATTTGAAGTTGATGGAACGCACTCAAAACAAAAAACTTTGGCGAGGTGTAGGTTCAATTCTTTCTCATACAACTTTTTTGTGTATTAAAAAGTACAATAAATATGTTACAATTTTTAATTGTTAACATATAAAAATATTCGATTTTAAAATATTTTATATTTAAAATGGCAACATAATATTTTAAAATTTACTATACTTATTAGTAATGGAAAAAATCTAATTATTATAAGAATTAAAAACAAAATTGGTTGAGAATAATAATATTTTACCTTAACATATATGGATATTTAAAAATTACTAAATATGCATAGTATCTGGCAATATACAAGATAGTTGTGTCAAATAGTAATATAAATTATAGTAAAGGGTATTATAATTATGGTAATCAGCATTATACTTTTCTCTCCGTGTATGTATAAACTTATTTTTTACAAATTTATTAAAAAATTTCTTAGATGACATTGCAAGGAAAATATCCCATCTGCAGTCTTCTGGAAGCGCAGCTTTAAGACAAGTTGCCGCAGCTAAGCAAGGGTCTTTGACAGCTGCTTCGGCTGCGGTCGCAGCTGCAGCTGAGAATGGCAATAACAATGGTTACGGAGGAGGATACGATGGGGGCCATGGTGGACCATGGTCGTATGGACCGAAGGTAGTACATTTGCAGCCATGGGGTAAATGAATAAGAAAATTGTAAATGAGTTTTTTTACTTTTATTAAATTAGTTATTTTGTATCATTAAATAAATATATTGCATGTTGAATCAAACACTTGTTTTAGTTTAAATCGCTAAATAAAATTACGAAGTTACCTATGAAAAAAAGATGAAACTCATCTGTCACATGTCATCTGTCACATGTCATCTTTGATATCTTCTTAAATGTCCATCACGTTTTTAAACGAATTTTTCAAATAAACAACCGTTACCAATAGGGTATTTCCACGAAACCTTACCCCACCTTGACAAAAAAACAGATGTGTTATTTAACAAAATAAAAACTATATCTGAAGTCAAATAGTTTAATTGCGACGTAATTTATAACCTTAAAATATTCGTACACTGTGATGGTAAGAAGCTAACATTAAGAATAAACAAGGAAGAGTTTCAATACTCGATAAAATGTTTAAATGTCGCACCCGCTACATTTTGATAAAATTTTAGAAAATAAAGTATACAATATTTGTGCATTTAAAATACGTGCTTGTTTAAGATTGCTATTCAAGTTTTACACAAAAAATTATTACTAAATGCTTTCATTCAAAATTTTACAGTACTGTACAGTACTTATCAACTTTAGCAGCCAACTTGGTCTCATCTGCTGATTTTCTAAGGTCGCGCCCGTTACGTGATTCATGACGTTATAAAATGTTTTCTATACAAGTTTTTATTGATATTTTGTTTCAGTTAAATATCTAAGCTGAGCCACCTAAATGTATGGTATTTTAATGATGATTTCTCACATCTGTCATCTGTCAATAAAGTATTATTATTAAATCGCCATTACGTTTTTTAACGAATTTTAAAAATAAACAACCGTTACCAATAGCTAACAAAGTTTTCTTGATAAAAGCGTTGGTGTTGCTACATTAACGTTTTTTTTTTAAATTTAACCATAACATTCAAATTAAAACTTTCAAATTCAAACAAATTTAAGGTTGATTTTTTATAGGTATTAAGAAAAGTAACAGGACTTTCTTGGATTTGTTTTATAGGAGTATTAGTAATTAGTAAAATGTTGACGTGTTTTTGGAATTGATTAAAAAATAATTTGTTTACAATATACATAATTTGTTACAGTTAAGGAATTGATTACCTTCATTCAACGGTTAAACCCTGATAGCAAAATTTGTTTTAAGAATCTTTTAAGAAGATATGACCCGGAATAATGGAATATTCTTAGAACCTTCCCTTATTGCTAAGAATGTTCTTAGGAACTTTTAAAACATTCACCCTTTTAATGATGCAATTAGATTTTTAAAAGCTTCTTAAAATCTTCCTAAAAAGCATCCTAAGAACATTTTAAGAATACATTTTTGGAATGCTCTTAGAAGGTTTCTTATGGAGCTTCTAGGAAGCTTTTGAGAATATTTCCAATCCGTTCTAATATGTTGTATTCTACATTTGTAAAATTCTTCAGGAGACGACAAATAATAAATATGAAATTTTGCGACATATTAATATTTGTATATATTTAAAAATATTAAATAAACAATTTGACCTCTAAACCACAAGTTGTATGACATTATTTTATAAAAAGTAAAATTGGAAAATTTTGTGGGATGAGTCAGATTAGATTGAAGTTGAATATAGTTAGGATTATTATACATAAAAATGTTAATTCAGAAACAAAAAATCGGTATACAAATTAATAAATATTTATTTTTAACATAAAATAAAATACCTATAGTAAAAGTATTTTTGTTATCGAATATTGTTTTAATTTGACAAATAACTATAAAAAAATATTTTGGATTGTGTTTTTTACTTAGTATTTAATACTAATTACTAATTAGGTACCTTTATACGTAGTTTATGGTATATTTTACTATTTTATAGGTAACTGAACTAAATATGCTTAACAGGAATATTCCTAAATGAACTCTCTGTAGCAATTACTTTCTTAAGATTCTAAGCATATGTTAAGAGTAGACTAATTTTTACCACTAAAACTTTGCACCTTCTAAGAACCTGCCTATAGGCCAGTAAGAATATTCTTAGGATCACGCTATATGTCTTTTAAGCATGTTCTTTAGAAGAAATATGGCATGATCCTAAGAATATTCTTACTGGAAGGTTTAAAAAACATTTTTAGAATAAAGTGTGCTATCAGGGAAGCTTCCATCCTGTATATAAGAATTTAGTGGTGAAAACGTTAATTAAAAAGATTTTAATGGTATCTACTTTTCTTCCAATTTTTAAGCATTTTAATTACCTTGGAATTAATTAATTTTATGCCTACAGTTTTTCAAATATATTGAGGTGGTCATGATAGTGCGCTCGTCAACATCCCCGGTCGATATCATCTGTAGATTGTCATAGCAACGGGTGCGGTTGAAAAATAGGGTGAACTCTTCAACGTTCTCATCTAAACAAAACTCTTTAACACCCCTAGCATAAAAATAAATAAATAATAGTGGTGTTGTTAGGCATAGTAAAAATAATAGTGATATTGTTAAATTCACTTAAATAATGCTTTGTGTTGTCATTTTAAAATAATTATAATGGTAAAAGTACGCCTTAGTTTGTTGTTATTTTTGCTCAAAATATTGTTGGTTGCATCGGAATGGATGAGCTCGAACCCCACTGATTTTAATATTGGTGGTGTTCTGAGTAGCAATGATAGCGAGAGGTATTTTAAGGAGACCATCGATGTGAGTTACGAATAATTTTACGTCTTATGAATTAAATTTGTTTTTTATATTTTTTACTTTAGCACTTGAATTTTGATAGTCAGTACGTTCCAAAAGGGGTTACATACTATCATACCGCAATTTTAATGGACCCGAATCCTATCAGAACTGCTTTAAATGTTTGTAAGCATTTGATTTCCAGCCAGGTAAGATTTTTTAAATATAATCTAAGACGTAAATTGTGTTAACAATAATAGGTATATTGTACAATTTGGAGCGTGAAATTGGATCTTCTCTTTTGACCAATAGTCGCCTACAATATTTTATTCAACTACCACAAGAAAAGCCAATTTTATTTGATATTTTATCTGACATCTGCTGGCTGTCAATCTACTTTTTTCCAATTTTGACTTAAAGCTGTCTCAGCCCGTGGGCGAAGTAAAATTTCGCCCACCGGTTAAAGAAGAAATAGAATGGGTGTTGAATACAATATTAATATAACGTAATAGTATGTTTATTTAAGTAAAAGTTTATATAGTACAATATTAAAAATTATCCCGGCGCATTCGCCATTTTTGCAAAAATTATTATTTCATAAAAAACCGTTTTATTTGTTAAATCCAGATGTTTTTTTATTTTTATTTATATTTTAAAATTAACTTTAAGTCATTATAACTTTGTTATTATCAAATCCTATTTTAGGACACATGTTCATAGAGAAAAAAAACTTTATTTACTCCCATTCATGATATTAGGTTTTTTCCGTATAAAACACTAGTTTACAAAATCGAAAAAAAATTCTACCCACCATACCCCATTAAAATTTTCCCATGTATTTTGACCCACTAAACACAAACATCACACAAAAATTTTTTTATGGAAGCGTTTTTGAAATTTGAATTTTCAATTGTTTTTTTTTCAATTTTCGGTGTTTTGACGTTTTTGAGTATAGCTTGAAATCTAATTAATCGATTTGGTCAAACAAGCCCTTAAATTGAAGGTATTTGAGCCTTCTAAAACTTTATTTTACATACTTTTGATATCGGATAAGTATTTTGACGCTAGCGATTTTAATAACTTAAAAAAATCGTTTTTATGGCAAAAATTAAGGTCGAAAATTTACATATCGTCCTGGGAAAGGTTTAAATCAAACAGATAACTCCAGTTTAATTTTTTTTTTCGTCAAGCTGACATTTTTACAAAAAAAAAACAAGCTAATGTTGATAAAAATACATGGAAAAATGGCCAAGTTATGAACTTTTTAGTGGAAGACCAAAATTCAGCTTTTTGACGATTTTTCATTTATTTTTTAATTTTTTTTGTAATATGTTTATTCTTTAATAAAAACCTAATTAAATTTAAATTTGATATGACTCTGCAAACCTGAATTCTTTTGTTTCTCGTGTTGGCATAGTGACATTTTACTGCTATTTTTTAATATTTCAACAAGGTATTTTTATCATTTTTTTATTTGGTTAATAAAAAGTGTAAAATGAGTAAAAGAAGTAGAGACTTCGAGTGCGTAAATAACCCTGACAATCTGGGCGACGTAAGTGATGAGCACGGAGAACGTTTTCACAAGCAAATGAAGGCTATGGAGCGGCGGTATCACGGCTGATTACATTTGGTCCCTCATACGAGAAATGGAATACAAAAGCAACCAAAAAACAAAGGAGCCAGAATTTTTTTTAAACCTATGCTTATTACAACAAAATAAAACTTTCAATATCTTCAATGTTTAATGTTTAAAATAAAAATCAATGTTCAATATTAAATTTTATATAATTCAATAAAATGAAGAAAAACGTAAAAATTCTCGAAAAACTGAATTTTGGTCTTCCTCTGAAAAATTCATAACTTCGACATTTATCCATGGATTTTTATCAACAGCAGCTTATTTTTTTCCTTTAAGTTTAATCTATACGTAATATAAATCAAACTGGACTTATCTTTTCGATTTTTAACCTTCCCAGAAAGATATGTAAATTTTTGACCTCGATTTTTGTAAAACAAAAGGACTTTTTTACTTCAGAAAATCGCCACCAAAACCTTTGATTTAAGTGCTTGTTTGGTCAAATCGATCAAACACCTCAGAAAATTAAAAAAACAATTGAAAATTCATATCTCCAAAACGCTTCCATGAAAAAAGTGAGATTTTCGCGTTTAGTGAGCCAAACTACACAAGAAAATCATAGTGAGACATAGTGGGCAATATGGCTGTGAAATAGTGTAATTATATCTATCTCAGTGGTGCGAGTTCTGGGAAAAAATTAAATATATTCACCTCCTAGTACCTAGTAGTACAATAGACTTTTAAAAGATGCCAGTTTTTTTGAAATTGTATTAAAAATTAGAAAATGCAAAAAAACATTAATTTTATTTTAAGGTATATGCAGTTGTGGTGTCCCACCCTCTAAAAGGGGACCTATCCCCTGCTGCAGTTTCATACACAAGCGGTTTTTACCATATCCCAGTAATCGGAATATCATCAAGAGATTCTGCTTTTTCCGACAAGGTATCAAAAAACTTCCATATAAATAATAAAAATGTTAATTTCTAACTTTTAGAATATTCATGTATCTTTTTTGAGAACCGTGCCTCCTTACTCACACCAAGCAGACGTTTGGGTGGAAATGTTAAAATATTTTAACTACAAAAAAGTGATTTTCATACACAGCTCCGATACCGATGGAAGGGCTTTACTGGGACGATTCCAAACCACGTCGCAAAGTTTGGAGGATGATATCGATATCAAAGTACAGGTAAAATACGGCAACAAAATGTTTGTTAGTATTTTACATAAAAAATATAACTTGGTGTAGGTGGAGTCCATAATTGAATTCGAAACTGGGCTTGAAAACTTTGAGAAACAGCTGAGTGAGATGAAGAACGCTCAAGCCAGAGTCTATCTATTATATGCTGGGTAAATACTATTTATTTTAATAAATAACTATGGGTAAAGTAGACAGTATCGGACACTTTATAGATATTGGACAATTAACATTAATACTGAATAAATAGTTAGTTATAATTGTATACAGTCATCTAATGATTTGACTTTAAGGTATCTCAGTCGGTAATAATATAGAACTACTTTATTTTGGGTCCAATATAGATTTTTGTTTTTTTTGTTAAGAGCAGGGCTATTTCTAAAAAGTGTACAGATCAGTGTGTGGTATAAATGTGTTCCTCATGGTTTAAACATTGTCACTTTAATGAGTTTTAATTTTAATTCTAAAAACAAACAGTAAAATGGCCAGTGTCCAATTACTGGTTGGTAAAAAATGTAAATTTCTATTATTGGACATACGTCCAATATCATACTCTATTTGTATCCCGGACATTTACCAGCCAATTTTTATGTAAAATTGTCCCCTGAATCCGAAAAGACCGCCAAAAACTATAAAAGTTAAGCAGTTTTTGAGATATAGTCAATTCCATAGTATATGTAAAATTTATTATATTTTAAAAACTGTCCTACTTTTATAACTTTTGACGAAATTTTTGGATTCAGAAAATTATATATTATAGGAATTGACTGCTAAATGTCCTGGATACAAATTGCTGTTGACGAGAATTATTAGTGGCTGCTTTTTCGCTATGGCATTTTTGACTAATTCATTTTAAGAAAGTATGTAATATAGTGATTTCTTCGTCACAGGACATCTTGCAGAATAACAGTGATTTAAATACAGTGCATGATAGAGAACATAAAAAACTAATGGCAACAAAATTAATAAATTCGGAAAATACTTTTAACATACCACCCGAAAAAATATTAGATATATATATAAATCATCCTGTTCCGGCCTAAACTTTATAAATGATTCACAAACTAGAGATACCACACTTAATGATATTTGCAACAAATTATTTCAGAAGTCAGACCAAGGAATTAGTAGTTACCTTCATAATGCAGAAAAGGGATGAGGAATCCGAGAAAGAAATATTTAAAAATTTATGTTATTTGATGTAAAGTTGTTTGTATAAAAATTGTATGTCCAATAACTATGTTCAATGTGTCCAATTACTATATAAAATGCCCAATTAGTATTTATAGTATTATTAGTATTTGCATGTTTTTATAAAACTATTATTAAAAATTTAAATATTCTTATTTTTAAGTGAACGTAAATAAAGTTTAAACAAACTATGCTTTTTATATATTTATAAGAAAAAAACTAAAATCTTTTTATATTTTAGCAAAAATGATGCCGGTGTAATCTTCAGAGATGCCGCTGCATTAAATATGACACATGCTGGATACGCCTGGATCGTAACAGAGCAAGCATTGGATGCAGATAATGTCCCTGAAGGTATAATAGGTTTAAAACTAGTAAACTCCACAAACGAAAAAGCCCATATCAGAGACAGCATGTAAGTACAAAACCTTTCCATCTTTCCCCTCTTCAATCTTTTCTATGCGTAGATACGTTTTGGCATCAGCCCTAAGAGAAATGAATCAATCCAAGGAGATAACCCAAGCACCGAAAGATTGCGACAATTCTGGATCTATATGGGAAACCGGGAGAGAGTTATTCAACTTTGTGAAATCACAGGTTCTGTTAAATGGTGAAACTGGAAAGGTGGCTTTTGATGATCAAGGTGATCGAATCAATGCTGAATATAATATTGTGAATGTGCAGAGGAAGAAGAAAATGGTTGTCACTGGGAAATTCTTTTACAATAGGGTAGATTTTTATGGTAAAATATTTAGTGTCTACAATATATTTTTTTAGAACAACAGCAGGATGCATCTGACAGTAGACGAAAAGAGCATAATATGGCCTGGAAGACAAACCACCAAACCAGAAGGTTTCATGATACCAACACATTTAAAAGTCCTGACGATAGAAGAAAAACCCTTTGTTTATGTAAGGAAATTGTCGGAAAATGATAATTGCACCTCTGAGGAAATACCTTGCCCTCATTTTAACGCCACAAACGAAGGCAAGTGCTTTGCTTATTAAACAAACTCTGAACAATCTTACAATATTTTTCAGTGGATGCAAATTACTGCTGCAAAGGCTACTGCATGGATCTCCTTAAGGAACTTTCAGCGAAAATCAACTTCACATACAGTCTGGCTCTATCGCCTGACGGTCAGTTCGGGAACTACATCATTAAAAACTACACCACAGGAGGGAAAAAAGAATGGACGGGCCTTATAGGCGAACTAGTAGGTGAAAGAGCTGACATGATTGTGGCGCCTCTAACTATTAACCCTGAAAGAGCCGAGTTCATAGAGTTCAGTAAACCTTTTAAGTATCAGGGGATTACGATTCTAGAAAAGAAACCTTCAAGATCATCCACCTTGGTTTCTTTCTTGCAACCTTTCAGCAATACCTTGTGGATTCTGGTTATGGTCTCAGTACACGTCGTAGCTTTAGTGCTATATCTTCTGGATAGATTCTCGCCTTTTGGTAGGTTTAAGCTGGCCAATACAGACGGTACAGAGGAGGACGCTCTTAACCTGTCGAGTGCCATTTGGTTTGCTTGGGGTGTTCTATTAAACAGCGGTATAGGTGAAGGTACGCCTAGGAGTTTCTCTGCAAGAGTTTTGGGCATGGTTTGGGCAGGATTTGCTATGATAATCGTGGCCTCGTATACTGCCAACTTGGCTGCTTTCCTCGTGTTGGAAAGACCCAAAACCAAACTTACTGGAATCAACGATGCCAGGGTAACTTTTCAATGTTTTGGGTTGATCGCATAATGATGTATTTGTTGTTTAGTTGAGGAACACGATGGAGAATTTGACTTGCGCTACAGTTAAAGGTTCTTCAGTTGATATGTACTTTAGAAGACAAGTTGAGCTGTCTAATATGTACAGAACTATGGAAGCAAATAACTATGATACTGCGGAAGCAGCTATAAATGATGTTAAACACGGGTAAATGGTATATTTACACTGTTTAAAATATCTGTGGTGTAAAGAGTAATCCTAAAATGGTGTCAAAATCCAACACTAAGTGGTGTTAATATAACACCATGAATTATGGTTGAAAATGTTATATACACCAAAACGGTGTTTATCTAAAAATATTTGAGAAGTGCACCTACACAGAAAAAAAGGAATAGTTCATTTAACTATATTAATTTAGTTGACCCATAAGTATTTATTTTTTGTGGATCACGTGATGTTCTTAAATCTTGCCTCTGTTGACTTACATGAAGAATATATAAGCTCAGGTAGTCCTTTGCTTTGGTGTGACACTACAAGTTTTTCGATACTAGACCTTAAATAGGTGGAAACAGCTGTCAATACTTGAAGTATTTTAAGTTAGTGGAACGAACTAAAAACATTATCTCTAGCGAGTTGAAGGTTCCATTTTCTGGAATAATACCACTGGTAATATACTAGTAATGCGTCAAGGAACTTCCTGTTTCCTTTTTATTTCCTTTTTTCTGTGTAGTATGATTTAATTTGACCACAAACACATAATATTTAACACTGAAAAGGAGTTCAATTTACACCAGGTAAAATTTATTTTAATACTGTGTGAAAGTTAAATTTACACCATTTTAGTATTTGAATTTACACTGGACCAACTAACCATATTTAACACCATTTTGGTTTGTATCGATATAGACCATGTATGGTGTTAATTTGGTGTTAAAATGTTCATGAAATTTTGAACAGTGTATAGTAAATAATGACGCAACATTAAAATGTGTACTTTTCAGAAAACTGATGGCTTTTATATGGGACAGCTCCCGCTTGGAATTCGAAGCTGCTCAGGACTGCGAATTGGTAACAGCTGGTGAACTTTTCGGTAGATCTGGTTACGGTATAGGCTTACAAAAAGGTTCACCTTGGTCTGACGACGTAACACTGGCTATATTGGACTTCCACGAAAGTAAGTGACTAAATTTTGATGGTTTGTTTTTAATTTATCTTTTTAAAGGTGGTTTTATGGAAGGATTGGATAATAAATGGATACTTCAAGGGAATTTACAGCAGTGCGAGCAGTTCGAGAAAACTCCAAACACGTTAGGGTTGAAAAACATGGCGGGGGTGTTCATATTAGTTGGAGCAGGCATCATAGGTGGCATAGGGTTGATCGTCATCGAGATGGCTTATAAAAAACACCAGATTAAAAAGCAAAAACGCATGGAATTGGCCAGGCATGCTGCTGACAAATGGAGGGGAGCTGTTGAGGTATTAATTACTTATTACTTTTTGAGATGCTAAATCCAAATTTGACTTCAAAATTTCTCAATCACAAATACTACTTTTCCTCTTCAAAATGTTATAATATCTTTGTTCATCTTAAATCGTTACTACCCAAGCAGCATTTTTGGTTCCAAAACCCATTACCAAAGTGGTGATAACTTTAAATTAGTTAAGTATACTATATATTTAATTTTTACTTAAAAGTAATTCTAACTTTAAAATAGCCATATTTTGTAACATAAACTTCATTCTTTCCTCAAATGGTTACTATAAAGTAATAAACATTTAAGTAAAACTTGGTTGCCCCAAAGAAGAATTTACAACTTTAAAAAAGGTGTTATAAGTGAAAAAACTTTTAAGTAAATTTAATTTGTAGCAGTAACTTTTGGTTGATACATAAAGATTATATTATAATTATTTTTACTTTGTAGTCCCTTTGCAAGTTAAAATCTCGAAACTGGTATATGAGTTAAAAACTACAAAGTTAATAAGTTAAAAGTTATTTTAGTATTTGGAACGTTTATGGTACTAACCAAAACTACCGTAAAGTAAATTAAGGTGAAAAAAAACTTTAACGTAGCGAAAACTACTTCAAAGGAAAATGCTTCTTATCGGCCATTTTTTACGTGGTAATGTAAATAATAAATTATTTTTTTTTCAAGCGGCCATGATATACAACCTTATATGCCTGTATAGAGATAGTTGAAGTGCCTCTTTTTCATTAGCGGCAGACAAAAAACTCAAAAAAGCCTAGGGATAGAAGTAAATCCATAGGTGTCTCAATAGACGTCAAATAATAAAATTAATTTAGCATTTCATACAAAGCAATCACGTTGTATTAATTATATTAATTATAATCGCACGGAATATTTAGTGATTATTTATTAAATTTTAATTGAACGAAATAAAGAACAACTAGTTTAATAGTATAATATTATGATGATAGACGAGTTGCCAATGTCGGAACTCCAAACAAATGTCAGTACGTCAAAATTAATTCAAGCGCAGCATTTTGACAGAGCAGGGTTTATTTTTAGTTTAGGATATTTATCGGCATTGTAAGTAAGGGTTATAAGTTTTTTTAGTTTTTATCAATAATTTCTAATGCTTTTAGCCAAAATTTTATACCACATGAGTTAAGAGTAAATAAAATAATTCCATTGCTTATCCTATTTATATTACGCCCTTGAAAAAAAAATTGTATATGTTATTTGGAGTAGAAGCTCTTTTTGTGCTTCGTACAGTTGCCTGCCTCAGCTACGCTTCGGCCGTCAATCTCTGTACTTACCACAAAAAGAGTCGCTTCTACTCCTTATGACATAATCTACTATTAATAATTAAATAAAAAATTAATAATAAATATTAAGATTAGAATTTATAAACATTTACAAAAACCAAAATTCATAAGTTCAACAGTAAAATTTAAAGGGTTTATAAATTTACCTGCCTAATTAAACAATATATTGTTATTCTGGAAGTTATAAACTACCAGTACATATTTAATAAACGACGACATTAAAAAGCCAAGTCCGCAGTGGTTCCATTTAAAAAAGGAGGGATAGTACAATCTAATAAAGTTTGGCAAAGACTATAGATTCTGAAGTAAAAACAAATGAATAAAAGTAATTATAACGCTCTAGCAACGATATTGAAACGTTCTAGTAACGTAGCAGCTACGTTCCAAATAGCAGGATTTATAGGTAGTGACATATTTGCTACCTTTTTGGAACTCAATAATTGTTCCCAACTTTAGTCGTAACTAAATGAAAGAGAAATATAAAGAGACCGGCGACTGTCGCAAAACACTTTCAAGTTTCTTCAATAGTCCCATATACGTAACAACTACTTAAATTGTTGCTTGGGTAGAAACGTCATCCTTTTGATCATCAATTTTAGGTCGAATTTGAATTCAGCACAAAAACATTGTTTAGATTTTGTAGATCTGTAGTTTTTTGTAAACATGTAGATACAATACCTAGGAAACAAATAAGAATTATAAAAGATAGTTATTTTTTTTTTAAATCATAGATAATTTATGTTTTTAGCTATCATGCCAGAGTGTAAGTAACCCTGTTAGGAAACAGGTACCAACTGATAGCACTAAATAGTACTAAATAGCTTCACTGGCACCTATCTTCTGCTGTATATTCACAAATTAAGATATAGACAAAAGTATAATTTCAGTACACTTACTTTCATGCAAACTTTCTAGACAGCTAGGACACAATTTCTCACAAGAAAATCTTCCATGTACGAATATAAACAAACCTTCTTCAATTTTAGAAACGAAAAGCACTAAGAGCTAACACCATGCCCCAAAGAAGAATAAAATCGAACGGAGTGAACGACCCAGCTACGATATCATTGGTCGTAGATAAATTCCAGAGGATCCAGGGCCCCCCTGAGAGGGCGTGGCCAGGGGACAGCGACATAAGGCTAAGAAGACTCGACGAGCAAGGAGGGGGGGTACAACCCGTACCAAGATATCTGCCGGGGTACACAGGCGATGTGTCACATTTGATTGTTTAATACAGAAGGTTTACAATCTCTATGTGGGTTAAATAATAATTATAATAATGGTTAAAGGTTGTTTAAAAAATATAAATGTTAGAATAATGATAAATAAACAAATTAATGTGTCTATTGTGAGAAAGAAAATGTTATACATGTTCCCATCTTACCATACTTAAATAAAGCAACTACTAAAATAAAATGTATAATCATAGTACTAAAGTAATAAAGTAACCAAAATTACACTTACCTTCTAAGTTATACAGGGTTTTTATAGGTTGACACATGTTCTTATATTTTTGATTAGGTTCAAAGTCAATATTAAATATAAAACTGATTTGATATTCCATTTAAATTCAATATATTCAATAAATATACACTCTAGTTTAAACAAAAAGTTGTTTTATTTTAAAAATCGTAAATTAAAGGCATTTATAGTTAATGTATAGGGTTTAATATTCTTATAAATATTCGAAAAATAAATAATCATACTTTAAAAGTGAAAAACTCAGTCAGTTTAAAACAGCTGATAAAATAACAGCTTAGATTTTAAATATGTACAAAACAGACTGTTTTAAACAGTAATTCAGAGTTAAAATGTTTACTTAAAAGTGAGTAAAACTTTAACTCTGTCCCTGGTGCAAAATTATAAAATTAGCACAAAACTCCAATAGAAATAAAAAATATTGGCATCCATACATACTCCGCAACAAAAAGCCCACTAAAATTTAAATGAGGAACGCATCCCTATGACGTCAGAATTGAGATTAGATTTTCATTATATAATACCACCTTGGATAAAAAACTTCTAGGATATCACATATTCCTGAGACCGAAATAATACGATACAACTAAATTTACCTTTATACAAAAGTTGATAATAACTCAGGAATATGTGGTATTGTATTTTGCAATAATATCAGAAAATTGCCGTTAAACTGACAGATAGCTAACCTCAATTCCACGGGCTGCAATCGTCATTCAAATATCAAAGTGGGCCTTTTTTATGTGGAGCATATATGCTACTATAGTACCTATTAAAAGAGACCGGATTTCAGGTAAAAAAAATAGTATAATAATTACCTATTATACCTATCTTAATGCTACAGAGCTATTTTTATAGTAATTGACCTATAGGTTTAAAATAGTTGCCATTTATACAAGGTGTCACGAAAACGGCGCACTAACGGTATTTAAAAATCGAATTAAAGTTCTTTTTTATCTAGACTGCGGCAACGTTGCAAATTTAGGGTTTTGGTTGGTAAATACAGTTGTCAAGTTGGTCGCATTGATTAAAACAAACTAAGCTAGTTATAAATCTAATTGTGGTTATGTATAAATTATTGTAGGTTACATTGTGCACTTGTCAAGTTGAGTTGTCGAAATTCGTAGTTAAAAATGCAATTAATTTGGCTTTGGTGGTGCTTGGATGAGTAAAATCATATAAAAAAGTAGTTAAATATAGGTTGCTTTAGGCCCAGAAGAAAAAGTATTCCTAGCGGTTAATAATCTTCGCTTTGAAAAGAATTTATATAAAAGAAATTAAAATTTTTTGTGTTGTCCCATGGTAAATAATGTGTAATGTAATATTTATAAAACCAAATTCCTTACTTTTTTTATCCTAGCGGATAATAATCTTCGCTTTGAAAAGAATTTATATAAAAGAAATTAAAATTTTTTTTAACGTAAATGTTGTCCAATGGTGAATAATGTGAAAATAATGTGTGATGTAATATTTATAAAACCAAATTCGTTACTTTTTTACTCCGAAAATGTTCATAAGGCGATGTACTTTTTCTTCCATTGTGGCATTTGGCATAATTTCATCAAAATGAAGTTTTGCCCTCAAAAGGGGCTTTTACAATCGAATTCGTTGCTATTATTTTTGGCATAATTATCTTTTTATTTATAATTGACAAGTAAATTATCAATAATACATATTATTGTCAATTTGACAGTGTCAAAGTATTTAATTAAATTCTTTAGCAGAAGTACCATTTTTAAATACTAAAAATACCAAGTCAAACTGGCATAAGCCACCAACCTAACAAAAAAACACGAGTCCAGATAAAAAAATGAACTGTATTTTTTTTTATCTTTTAAGAATATTTATTTATATAAGGATTTAACACAATTTTCCAATGACTTTTAAAAAATAAAACGTTAAAATTTGTTTTTTAAACTTAAATGCTTAAGAACTTAAATAGTGCTAGTCGGAATTTCTTGTTACTTTTTTTACATACTTAGTGTTAGTGCGTCATGTTTTGGACACTCTGTAGACTAAAAGTTTTTGGCTTAAATGTTCGTTTTTTAATAAAAATTCAAATTCAAATTTTAAATCCGATCTCTATTATAATAATTAAAAAATAATAACAATGTTTACCACAAAGAAATTAGAGTGGATTTTTTTTTTGGACACATTTAATTATGTTGGGATCTATGGTGGCGGAATCGAGAAATTACGACTAAAAAAACCTTGGAGTAGGGAAGAAATAGGAGGCATAATTATACCGCTAGAATGGCATCGCCAAACCACTCAGTAGGTACTATGCTCCACACCTCAAAGTCCCACCACGTGACCACGTACGGAACGCAGTCTTTTGAAAATTTGGCATTTAAGGCTTTTCAGGTTATGTATCTGTCAAAGTATAGTCAACGAAAGAAATAATATTATGTTTAGGCGTTAAAAATGTATAAATCTTAATAACATTACAATAACAATGGATGGTTTAACAATTTAAGAATATAAATACTGCATTTAATGAAATTCTAAAGTGTATGGTGCCAAATAAGTAATATTTTTGTGCATTTGGTGCAAATATCTGGTTTTCTCCATACAATAATTTTAACTAAACAGCATTTATTAAAAAAAATCTAGCTTCTATATTATGGAATAAGAATATCTGTTTTAAAGGTAGGTTAATATATTATAACAAAAATATCATCTAATTTTGTAATTTTAAGGTTAGAAAAATTTATTTTGACCAAAATAAATAAGTATTTTGGATTATTTAAAAGACTGTATAATATGATATTTAAAAATGTGGTAGTTTTTCTTATCCAGCTTAAAGTGTACCTACATAAAGTTTTGTCAATACAAATAGTTAAAGAGCTTCGACTGAACTTGATCTACATCGAAAAATCATTATAACTTTAACAATTTTAATAAATCACATGTCATGGGAGTATTAAATATTTTCACATTGCAAGTTTCTCTAAACATTGTTTGTTTTCTTATAATTTAACTTAAAGTAGGTATGCCGAGAGGTATGCACAAGTTTTGTTATTAGAAGTATAAAAGCTTCCATTTAATTTGAACCATATTCAACAATAAATATTTATTTATGATCATATTAACACACTTCCAAATAATCCACTTATTTATTTTGGTCAAAATAGATTTTTCTAACCTTAAAATACAAAATTAGATGATATATTTGTTCTAATACATTAACATACCTTTGATACAGATATTCTTATTTCATAATAGAGAAGTTAGATTTTCTTTAATAAATGCTGTTTAGTTAAAACTATTTTATGGAGAAATGTAGACCCAATGCACAAAAATATCACTTATATTGCACCTTACACTTTGGAATTTTATTAAAAGCAGTATTTATATTCCTAAATTCTTAAACCAACCATGTTATTGTGATACTATAAAGATTTATTAACTTTTAACGCTTAAACATAAGCGGTAACACTATAAATTTTATTTTTTTCATTGACTATACTTGACAGATACATAACCTGAAAAGCCTTAAATGCCAAATTTTCAAAAGACTGCGTTCCGTACGTGGTCACGTGGTGGGACTTTACTTTACTTACCTTTAAAAAATTAAATATTCCTCAGTGAAAATACAAAAAAACTCAACAAACTCAGTTAATCCCGCTTTTCAAACATTTCGGGGTGAAAACGTGCACCAAACTGTCCCACCCGCAGTCAGCCAGCTGACCCTTCCTGTGCGCATTCCAATCCAACCCGTACACGAACTCCGAATGGTGCTGTATGGTCTCGACGGGGTCGCAGCCCTGCTTGAAGTCCCAGACGCGCGTGGTGAAGTCGTAACTCACCGAGGCCAGCACGCTCAGGCAGTGCGGACTGAACTGCACGCGCCTCACCGCGTACTCGCACCCCTTCAGCTGGAACATCGGCTGAAGGTAGTTGCGGATGTCCCAGCCCCTGATGAGGCCGTCGCTGCCGCTAGTCGCCAACAGGTTCTCGTCGTATTTGCACCAGTCGAGGCTGAGGACCTCCGCGTCGTGCACGCGGAAAGATGTGGAGGGCTGGGGGGAGAGGCTGTTCCACAGTTTCAGGCTCCCGTCGCCGGATACCGAGGCGAAACAGTTGGGGAGATGAGGGGAGAACATCGCGTTGTAGACCAGTTGTGAATGACCTAAAATTAACATTAAATAATAATAATAATTTATTGCCCAACAGAATACAATATTCCAATTACAGGACAAAATATGTATATATAACAACATGTGTAATATTTATATACAAATACATTAGGGTTTTTCAAAAAAACCTTTTTTTGGTTTTTTTTCTCGGAACCACGCTCAAAAGTTTCGTATAGATATAAAAATGAGCCTGTGAAAAAATTAGCTCTTAATTTCAAATTAAGATGCTCTGCAATTTTTGTAACTAACGAACGATAGGTCGTACTGTAAAGTTCTTGACATATTTTTGTAGAGAATTGAACGCTCTACAAAAAAGGTTTCCTATGATTTTTTGATAAATTTGATCCTTCTAAAGAAATTTAAGGTCAAAGTTTAAATTATACGATATTTTTGGCTTTTTTAACTTTTTTGGCGAGTCTACCCGACTCGTGCGAAAAAAAAACAAAAAATGAATCACCCTAAAATACATACATACATATATCATTGTTCGCATACACTTGAAACTATTTCCCTAATGCTTGAATTAAACAAATCATAGTTACCACATATAGAATTAAAGATATTGCACATTACTTGTACTGTAGATTTCAAATGCACGTTTGTTCTCGAAAAACTACAATAAAATAGTTTCATATTTCGAGCTCCTAAGCGGGGTATTAAAATATTAATAAAACCTAAAATGTGATTGAAAAGTTTCCACAAAAATTTTAAACTTATAACTTTGCGCTTAACTTTCAAAGTTAAATCTAGATAATAGGATATTATGATCATATCCTCTAGCGGGATAGACGTGATCAATTCTGTAGGAAAGCAGTTTTAAAAATCTTCTTTGTTTCTTTTCGATAGAGTCAATATGTACATTGTAATGCGGATACCAGATGAGAGAGCAATATTCAAGTTTTGTTCTAATGAGATAATAAAACAGTGATTTTAGAGCTTGGATGTTAGAAAAACTGACAGGATTTCGACTTATAAATCATAAAAGCTTTAAAGCAGATTAACAGTGTTATTGACATGAGTTGTAAATGAGAGCCTATTGTCAAAAAATACACCAAGGTCACGAATTTCATGACAGCGTAAAAGGATGGTATTATTTAAAGTGTAATTAAATATAATGGGCGTATTTTAAGACTGTAACTACAGATTTTACATTTAGATACATTAAGATCGAGTTTGTTAACTTCACACAAATCAAATCTAAAGCATTCAGGATTTAGTTACAAAGAGGAACAAATTTTTCTGCTTTTTTAAAACTTTATTTCCCCTTAATAATATTATGTAGATTTTGTCTAAAACATTTTTTCATATATGTAATAAACTGCGCACCACCCAATGTGTCGCGACCAAAAATTTCGTCCTTTTTTAAAACGACATAACTTTTTTGTTTCTTGAACGATTTTATTTTGGTTTGTGATGTCTGCTAGCCCCATTCTCTGGCAATTCATGCTATAGATATAAAGCTCACAGTTCTTCAAGTAAATTTACTACAGGGTGATATGTAAAACAGTGAAAAATTTCAATAACTTCATCCAAGCCCCGTTTGTAAAATAAATATTTTTTTCTCGTTTTTACTTTGAAATAATGAAGTATTATGTCTTACCTTGAAACGTTTTTTAAATTTTTCGAATTGGAATCTTAGCAACAAAAATATGATTTTTTTTTCAATGGAGTACATTTGATGCTTTTTTGTAGGAAATACACTCAGCCTTTTTAAGAACAAAAAGATAAGATGGTGAAACAAGCCACAAACTTCCATTATTTTCAGAGGAACCTAAGCAAAGACCACTTTTTCAAAATGAAGTTTTGGTGAAAATTTTAGAAAACTAAACCTGAACCGATATTTACGTTCGTGACATGTTTTCTTCATAATTTTGACCTGATTGTGATTCAGTTGTCAAATTTAGGTTTCAGATAAAACCAAAATCACCAAGAATCAAAATTCAAAAACAATTCCTGGCTGTTAAATTTCTCAATAAAATCTGATTGCTGGATTGTACTGTTTTTTACTGTATTTTGCATCTTTAGTACGTTATTATCATGTCACTGAATGATCAAATCAAGAATCAAATGATGAAAATTAAATGTCAATAATTTGGTGTTGGTGGACGACAATGCCCGTCCGCATCGCGCTAATCTAGTAAATGAGTATTTAAGGGACCATGATATTGAGAAAATGAATTGGCCACCTTTGTCTCCGGATATGAATCCTATTAAGCATGTGTGGAGGAGGATGAAACTGAAGATGAAAGAGAGAAAAGGACGCAAGGAAAATTTGGATGAATTGGTAAATTCGATTCAGGAAGAATGGGAAGCCATACCCCAGGAATTTCTAAGAAACTTGGTGTAGGGAATGCCCAGGAGGGTTAACGAATTACTACGGGTTAGGGGAGGGCCAACGAAATATTGGAAGTTATTCCTGTTATTGTTTGTTACATTTTTCTGTTAAATGTTGTAGTTTTTATTATGATTATATCTTCGCATAAAATTTTCAAAAATGAACAAACAAATTTTGTATTTAACTTTATTACCAATTAGGTAGGTACTTATCAGTAATATGTTATCACTAGTGCACAATATAAATGTAATTTATGTAACATTATCCTAACCACTCAAACAAATTGCAGTAATTTCTCCCAAAAAATGAATCCCCAAATGGCATTGGCAAAGGCATGTTATTGAGACATTTAACAGCCGGGAATTGTTTTAGAATTTTGATTCTTGGTGATTTTGGTTTTATCTAAAACTTAAATTTGACAACTGAATCACATGAGGAGGTCAAAATTATAAAGCAAACATGTCACGAACGTAAATATCGGTTCAGGTTTAGTTTTCGCAAATTTTCTCCAAAATGTCATATTGAAAAAGTGGTCTTTGCTTAGGTTCCTCTGAAATTAATGAAAGTTTGTTGCTTGTCACTTGTTTAGAATTATTCAAGGAACAATCTTTCACCATCTTATCTTTTTTATCTTAAAAAGGCTGAGTGTATTGCCTACAAAAAAGCATCAAATGTACCCTTTTGAAAAAAAATCATATTTTCGTTACTTAGATTCCAATTCGAAAAATTTGAAAAACGTTTCAAGGTAAGACATAATACTTTATTATTTCAAAGTAAAAACGAGAAAAAAATATTTTTTTTACAAACGGGGCTTGGATGAAATTATTGAAATTTTTCACCGTTTTACATATCACCCTGTAGGAAATTTACTTAAAGAACCGTGAGCTTCATATCTATAGCATGAATTTCCAGAAAATGAAGCTAGAAAACATCACAAACCAAAATAAAATCGTTCAAGAAACCAAAAAGTTATGTCGTTTTGAAAAAGGACGAAATTTTTGGTCGCGACACATTGACTGGTGCGCAGTTTAGATGGTGCTGTAATGAAAAAAAATCAATTTTGTACGATTTTTCTTCTTATACGATTCTTCTATAAAAATATCACTTTTTTGGTAATAATTATCTTATTAAATTAAATCTTATTTTTAGTAGTACCCACGATTTTTTAACTAATATTTAAGTTTCCTTTGGTTTAAGTTTTATGCATTATTTCATTCGGTGATAATTATCAATTGCGCACCATGGTCACTTTTTACCTGCCAGCATTAAATCCTTTAATTTAAAGGATTATTGTACTATTTTTAATAAAAATACCTCATTTAAGGTAAAAAAAAACATTATTTTGTCTATTAATTTAATCCTAATTGAGGTATAAAAAATGGTATTTAGTTATAAATAATAATTATTATTGAGGTATAAAGAAACTATTTATACATAGTTTAGCATTATTTAATCAATTTAGTTCGAAGATTAATTTGCAAACAAAAAGACCTCCTTTCGTTAAGCAGTTATTCATAATGAATTTTTTAACAGTGGAAAAAAAATAGAAATGATTTTGATTTATTTATTTTGATGATGCTGTTAATATCTACGCTCAGCGATTTCCAAAAAAAAATCAATGACGTACTTCATTTCACCGTACAGTCAAGTTTACTACAAACGGGACTGTTCAACGGAAAAAAAGAGTTCGTCGAGCAAATATTTAATATTATTTTGAGCACCTACTTTAATTAAAATTTAAAAAATAAATAAATAAATTTAAAAAATAAAACCAAGTATTTTATTCAAAAATTATTGGAGAATCGTATAAGAAGAAAAATCGAACAAAATTGATTTTTTTCATTACAGCGCCATCTATTATAAATATGAAAAAATGTTTTAGACAAAATCTAACTATTTTTAGTCGAATGATCCGAATCTGCAATAAAAAATAGGGTGTTCCATTGCAAATTTTAAAGTTACCCCCTTTTTCCCCTATAAGGAGGAGAGTATATTAAGGACCAATTTAGTACTATTTTTTCGTAAAATGCATACTAACTGAGACATTTCAAAGTTTAAAAAGTTAAATAACTCACCCTGTATACAGGGTTAGCCAAAAATCTCTTATTTTAATAAAGCAAAAGCGTAAATTCTTGATTTTGGCAAAACACGCAAAAAAGACATATACCCATTTTTTTAGATATTTATATGTTAATCAGGCTTCAAAATGGGATTCTTATTAACCCTTTATAAGGAAAATTGATTTTGAATAAAATTAAATAAAGTAAAATTTTTTGTGCATTATGCTTTTTACTTTAAAAAAAGTGATTTTTGGCTAACCCTGTATAAATTTAATGATGTGCTCAGTTTGAAAACAGTATTCTGTAAGTATCGTTAACAATATACTACAATAAAAATCGGTGTACTAATGTAGGTACCACTCTGGCAAAGGTAGAAATAAATAAATTTTTTACAAATTTAAAATTTTGGTAAATATCGTTTTTAAATCACCAAAGAGTGCCAATCAAAAAACTTCAATCAGTTTTTTGTTCAAAATTGAAAACTACTAAAAAGCTCAAATTAAACAACATTTTAAATGAGTACCTTAGATGCAAAACTCGGTTTTTGCAAATTAAAAAATAAAATAAAATTGACTTTAAATTCTGTTTAGTGTTCGTCCTAGATAAATGGCGTTCATAAAACTTAATACATAATAATATTATATTTTATTTTATTTTTTAATTTGCAAAAACCGAGTTTTGCATCTAAGGTACTCAAATATTCTCTAAGCGTTATTTTATTTAATTTTATTAAAAACAATTTTTCTTATAAAAGGTTAATAGGAATGCCATTTTCTAACCTGATAAACGTAGAAATATCCAAAAAAATTAGGGATAAATTTTTTTTGCGTGTTATGCCAAAACCATGAATTTACGCTTTTGCTGAGGTAGACTTTGAGATAAACAAAAATTTAAAAAAAAATCACTAATTTCTTTCTTTTTAATTAATGCCTATAATAGACCAGGGTCGATAATTTAAGAAACCAAAAAAAATAACAGTAGGATGAAACCCATTGAAAAAGGAGAAGAATATAATAAAAATGAAAGGAAAAATAAATTACAGGCGATCTGACTTCGGGAAGTGGGAGGGGGGGGGTTTTAAGGGTAAAAAATGGTTTATCTCGATTTCCGGCAAAACTACAAGTCCTATGGAAAAAAGTTAAATGGCAAAGTTGTAGGTAATAAAAGAATCTACAACTTTTGTAATTACAATTTTTTTACATAACCTCAAAATTTATGTGAAAAATTCAAAAAACCAAGTTTTTGGTTTTTTATTTTTATCTTTTTCAAAAAAAAATTTTTTTTCCACGAAATTTGGTGAAAACTTACCTTTTTATGTCCCAAATACACTGTAATTTATTTGATTTGAAATATTTATTATTTCGCCTTATTTTGACTTAATATCAAAAAAGCACCCTAATTTTCAATCGAAAATTCTCGCGTCAAAATATCAGCTTTTTTCAAAAAGTCGGTGTGCTTTTTGTTCGTTGAAATCTCTACTTTCTGATGGTGTAAAAAAAATATACATTACTATGGTAAATGTTCTCAGAAAATGCAAAAAATATTATAATGAATAACGAAAAAAACTCGAATTCGAAAATTTATTTTAATCATTATGTACAATTTCATCAAAAAAATGGGATTGTTGCAATTTTTTTTAGTTAAAAAGTTTACTTATTAAATTCTAATAACATTTATGTCAGAAAATCTCATAAAATATGAAAATACATGTAAATCATACTTCATTCTGATTACGTTATTCATTATAATATTTTTTGCATTTTCTGAGAACATTTACCATAGTAATGTATATTTTTTTTACACCATCAGAAAGTAGAGAGTTCATCGAACAAAAAGCACACCGACTTTTTGAAAAAAGCTGATATTTTGACGCAAGAATTTTCGATTGAAAATTAGGGTGCTTTTTTGATATTAAGTCAAAATAAGGCGAAATAATAAATATTTCAAATCAAATAAATTACAGTGTATTTGGGACATAAAAAGGTAAGTTTTCACCAAATTTCGTGGAAAAAAATTTTTTTTTGAAAAAGATAAAAATAAAAAACCAAAAACTTGGTTTTTTGAATTTTTCACATAAATTTTGAGGTTATGTGAAAAACTTGTAAATACAAAAGTTGTACATCTTTTTATTACCTACAACTTTGACATCTAACTTTTTTCCATAGGACTTGTAGTTTTGCCGGAAATCGAGATAAACCATTTTTTACCCTTAAAACCCCCCCCTCCCACTTCCCGAACTCAGATCACCCGTAATTTATTTTTCCTTTAATTTTTATTATATTCCCCTCCTTTTCCAATGGGTTTCATCCTACTGTAATTTTTTTTCTCTTTTTACCATTTTTAAAGGCTTCTGCACTGGTCTATAACTTATACTATGCTCCATACATCAAACTTTATGATCAAAGTTCCACCACCAGTGCCGGTTTAACAGGGGTTTTTTGGGGACTATAGCACCGGGCGGTAAATATTTTTGGGGCGGTACCGCGTACCGCCCATAATTTAAAAAAAATACTTAATCGTTAGAATTTAGAAAAAAAATTATTGCGACACTGCGTCGGCGGATACAACGGATACAAATGAGAAAAATGTTGTTAGAGTTAAAGCAGCTTCTCCATCAGAAAAACTTGATTTATTGGAAACGGAATAATTTGAACTTTTTGGATAGACGTTTTGCAAAGGGTTAATGAAACCAATAAAGCAGTCCAAAAACAAAATATGGATTTAAGCACAAATGCTCATCTTTTGTCATTTTTAGTTGAGAACTTTGATTTTTTACGTGATATCATTTTGATCATTACGAGGAAATTAACAGGAAACGAAAATTATGCTCAGAAGCGGATAATCATAAGAAAATTACAATTTGAAGAAAATAATTCAGAGGCAAGTTTAAGCAAAAAAGAAACAATGCGAACAATATGTTTTATTTTAATAATTGACAATCTATAATCCGAAATCATTTGTCGATATGATAGCTAGAAATCTGGCAAAAACAAATTTGAATTTTTGTTTAATCTAAAAGAATAAATCTTCGTGGAGGATTTGGATGAGTTTTTTCCTTAAAAATGTGTCCAACTCAAGAAACTGGTAACTTCCCTTTCGGAAATAAAAATAGAAACTCCATTGGAATTAGTATAAGTTTTATACGAAAATAAATTAATATCTTCATTTCCGAATATTAATAATTGTCTGCGAATTTTTTTTTATAATGGTTTCAAATGCAAGTGGTGAACGATCTTTTTCTGCTCTAAAAAGGGTAAAGAACTACCTAAGAAATACAATTCCCCAAGAAAGATTTAACTCCTTAGCAATTCTGTCCATTTATCAAGACCTGCTAGATGAAATAAATGTAAAGTGTTATAAAACAATTTGCTACTATAGAGACTTGAAAACAACCTTTTAATTATTAGTATTAGGATTTCTCAATATTTATTTACTTAAACCAAAGAATAATGTTTTATTTATTTATAACTTTTGATTAGTTTTTCTTAGTAGTACTTAGTATTGTTTATATAAACCAAAGAATGTTTTATTTTTTAGTTAGTGCTTTTGATTAGTTTTTATAATTTGTTTATAAAGGCTCATTTTTTATTTTATAGGATACTAAGTTTACTGTTAGATACCAGCCTAACCAACCTAATCTTCCACTTGACGTGAGAAAGTAAAACTTAAAAATTTAAAAATGTTTTTAAAAAAGTAATATTTTAAAGCATTGGGCGTTGTGTTTTTTCCAGAACCGGGCGGCGAACTAACTTAAACCGGCACTGTCCACCACATGACTTTGATAGAAATAATTAAGGTTAATTTTCTGTTAGTGTCAAACTAATTTCGTCTTTTTTTCTAAAAATACCTAATTATTAGGTATTTTTAGAAAAAAAGACGAAATTAGGTCCTAATACAATATATGTATTTTTTGTGTTCTAAATTAAGACATTTATAGACAAAAAATACATATATTGCATTATTTTCAGAAAATAAGACAAAAGTAGTCTGACACTGACAGAAAATTAACCTTAACTTTTTCTATCAAAGTCACATGGTGGGACTTTGATAGATATATTAATAATTAAAATACTTAATCCTAAATATGCCTTACATTAAGTTTTACTTTTGTATAATTATAATATTTAGGCTGGTTTTCAAAGAAGCAAAATGCAATATATTTTAATACCTGTAAAAGTCCCTAAAGATGACTGCCTATTGGGATCCCATAGCTTTATACTCCGATCCCATGAAGCACTCAAAAACAACTGATCCTGCCTGGTCCTGGCCCAATCCACCGAATACACCTCCTTCTTGTGCTCCCAAAAAGTCACAGGGGGGACGTTAGGCGTGCTCAAGTTCCACAACTGCAAGCCCCCATCTCCTGAGGCACTAACCACATGATCCGGGTTATTTTCACTCCAAACAACATCAAACAGACCGTCGGTCCACTGACTACTTTGCACCTCGACTATTTTGTTATCGTTCAAGTCGAGAATAAACAACGTTCCACCCCCGGTTAAACCAAAAAATTGACTTGTTGCTACCACCAGACGGTCAGGGTTGAAAGGGGAGAATCTTACGCTGTACCCATGGCGATTCGGCGTTATAAATGAAGCCATTGTTGAATTAGGCTGGTTTCAGTATTCGTTGCGTTAAATTCATCATTAGTTTACTTATTTTTTGGCTAAAAACCCATATAAACACAGTTTGACAACAACTGTCAATTCGACATAACCACACTTTTGCTTTATTAGTTTTTTCGCTTTTTAATTACAAACAAGTGGTATGTTTTTCATATATCCAATAAATTAAACCAAAATAATTTCACCAGAAGTTTCTTCATGAGATACGAATCAATAATAAACAATATTAATTAAAATACAAATTTTGGTAGTTCTTTTGCGTCGTTCATTTAAACTACTATCTGTCAAATGACATAAAGTGAGGTTACTTAGAGAATAGTAAACAATTAAAAAATCAGTGTTCAAACACAAGTTAAACAACTATTATGAACATAATAATTACAGTTTTACTACGCTATGGGAAGAGACTCCAAGTAAAAACAACATTTCGTAGAAATAACACTTATTTTAACTTAAATATTGCAGCTCAACGCGTAAATGGGAAAAGGATAGAAGGGATCGTTTAAAGGAAGCTTTTGATCAGTTAGGAAAAGTTCTTCCTAATTATAATCCTTCTCAAACGTTAGTTAAAATTGAGATTTTAACCAAGGCAGCTTTGCATATTAAAGATTTGGAGGATAAAGTTAAGAATTTGGTTTTGCCTGATACTAATAAAGATGAGATTGAAAGTAAGAATAATATTTTAAATATTTATAATATTTATAAAGTATTATTGTTTTTAAGCTGAGTTTGTACGAAATTTACAAGAACGTATTAAAAAACTGCTTACTAGAAATGAGCAGTTGTGTAACTTATTAAAAGATGCTAATATTACAATACCAAAAGCTTGTGGTCTTGTTAAAAAGTTTAGAGTTCCTCTAAAATGGTCCAATAGGATAAATTCAGAAACGGCACAGTTATTAAGCAAAAATGAGGCGGAAAGTAAGATTTTTAATAAAAAATTATAATTTTTCTCCATTTTTCTAACTATTTTAGAAGGAACACGAACTAGGAAAACTCCAAGAAAGAAGTTTAGGCAAACCACAAGTATAGCACCAAAACATAAGAAAATTTTAAGGAGCCGATTTGATGAGAGAAAAGTTAAACCAGCAAAAAGAAAAAACATAGCAGTTGTTCCACAAAAACTTTTAATTGTAGTTTCTCAACCAACTATTAATCAACAATGTTACATAATAACAAATCCACCAAGGAATACTTTGGTTCAAAACAACTACACAAGTACTGGTAAGAAACATTTATTTTTTATTATAAATTTAAATTTAAACTGTAAAATTTGGATTTCCCAACAAAAAACGTAAGAATGTCTCATGGTTTTTGTAAAAAAAATTTGTGTGGTATTTTTAAGATTGACATGCAAAAAATAGTATATTATTTATCAAGTTTGATAAACGCCATTTTATACACGAATTAAATTTAGGCACGAGCGAGCTTGCGAGCGAGTGCTTAAATTAATGAGTGTATAGAAAAGTTTATAAACAAGGTGCATACCATACTTTTTCTACGACAAATACTTATTATTATCTTAAAATGATTTAAATCAAAAGTTTGTATAGAGCGCCATCTATGAAACAATAGTGGAATCTGTGTGTCACCGTCAAATGTCAAATTTCTACATTTTATAAACACAATTATAAAAGTTATAAATCGAAATGTATTTCTTGAAAATTTACAGTTTTTCACAGTGAAAGTAAAGAAAATGTTTTATGAGCACTTTACAGTGGAGTCCGTGCCCGAATTTAAGTTATAGGTTACTGCCGGCGAAATTAAAAGGTCAATACAATGTTCATATAAACTTTTCAAATATTGGCGTTGACAAACTATTTAATACTTTTGTATTTTTATATTCAGATAATAAAATAATTTTCACACTTAGTAATATTTTACAAAAAAAGGCAATTTATTTTAACGATTGTATGACATTTGACAACTGTCAACTAACTTAAAACTAACTTCAGCCCGTGACTAAAGCGCGATAAAGCCACAACTTGTCAATGTGTATTTAAAAGGTCACTTAGTGTCATGGAAACATGTACGATAAAGGGCGTTTTAAAGGTGGGAGAAGAAAAACTCACTTAAAACAAAAAATGAATAAACTTATTTTACAAATGACATATATTGTGTTTTTTAGTCAATTCAAATACAATAATCTTCACAACATCTCAATTAACAAGAACAAATTCCAAAGTAACAACTTTAGGACCAGGTACTTTAATTCTCGCCAACGGTTCTATCCTCCCCGTCATTCAAAATCAAAATTTTATTCCCACTCCCACTATAATAGCTAATAACATTAACCCTCGCCCCAACATACAAAATGTTATAGTCGTATCGAGCGTGAACACACCTAAAATAACGCCAATTGTAACAGTTGCGCAACAAAAAGGTGTTACTGGTTACAAACCTGTTAGGCCTAAAACATGTTTCACCCAGACCACGCAAGTGAATAAGGTACCCATACCTGCCTCCAGGTATGCTCATAACTATGTTGTTTTTGATCATTCTCCACCGGAGGTACCGAATAATAAGAATAATATTAAAAAAGGTAAAAGTGCTGTTAAACGAAAAATTGTGGAGCAAAAGTCAGAGGAAAGCCAAACTGACATAAACATAGAAGGAAATGATGAAATTCCCTCTAAAAAGTCCAAGATTGAGATTATCAGCAATGAGGTGATAAATCAAGGAAATGCTTTGAATAAAGACAAGACTTCAGTAACAAGTACCTCCAAAAACATCGCTAATGAAGAAATACAACCAGAAGTTGATAAAGTTGATAAAATATCAAAGCCAAATTCAAACACCGAATTGGCAAAAGATAACAAAGAAAATATATCTGATAAACCAAACAACAAACTCAATAAACCCGACACAAACAGTATTGCAAAACTATCCATAGATGCAGAAAAAATAACTCAATTAAAGGAGAAAGTAGACTCCAATGAATTACCAGATTTGAACGCGAATGAACTCAATTTGCAGCATTCAGAACTTTCAAACGATTTATTTGCTTCACTTCAAGTACCCACAGGTTGTCAAAATCCTGAGTCCACCTCGCCTACGGCCGCCTTTTTGCTTACATTCCCTTTGGTATCCACCTCGAATGGCGTTAAAGTAACCGAAGTGATCGACGAGGAAAATTCTGAAAGCCAAAGAGGCACCCCGAATTTACTGCAAATCGGTACGATGACAAATACTAGAACCACAGTTTCCCAGAGCGATGCCCTCACTCCCAGTTTGTTGAATCTAGATAATTTCTCCTTTTTTACCGGCAAAGAGTTTGCTAATTACTCTAACAGCTATACAACCCCAAGCAACATATTTTCCAATAGTTTTAAAAGTACTACTCCCAGTATTATCAGTACGAATATTTTTTCAAACAATTATACTTTTACTTTCACAACAGCAAGCAGTATAGTAACTCCTAGCGTATTTACCAATTCCACTAACACAGATAATAAAAAAATAAAAACATTCTTTGACCCTTTACCGTATAATATAAACGAAAAGATAATAGAAAACCCTAAATCTGCAGCCTACTCGCAAATACCAAATTTATTAAGCGACAATATTGTTCCTACCCCTAGCACAATAACTTTGCAACCCAGTCAACCCCCTCCAAGTATGCGACCGAAAATACCGTCGTCATTTGACGTCATGCAACCCATCATACACTCCACGCTGAGTATGCAACCTAAATTACAAAATGCCCCCCCTAAAACATCATTCAGCCTTGGTTTACAACCCCCAATAAACAATTTACCTCCTATCACTACTTTTACTACTAGTTTTCCACCAAAATTGCATAACACACCCTCTTCAACTTCCTTTAATATGCACACGTCGCAAAGTATGCAACCAGCAATACATACCTTACCGCTTACCACCTCAGCAAGTATGCAACCAAAATTGCACCCGGCACCCCCCACCACAACGTTCAATGTCCAATCGATGGTTCCGCCCACTACTATGGCTAGTATGCAGCCCAAAACACACGTCTCGCCGCCTAAATTAAGAAATATGCAACCCACATTACAGTCACAATCTTCCAGTACATCGTTCAATTCATTTAACACTTTTCCCATCACCACTACAGTCAGTATGCAACTCAAATCACACGCTGTAACCCCAGCAACGTCGTTTAACAGTACGCAACCACCACCGACTACCACAGTCAGTATGCAACCAAAAATACACATCTCCACAAACCTATTTAACGCTCCACGGACATCGTTTAACGTTCAGTCGATTGCGCCTCCCAAATTATTACAAACCGCGCCCCCCAACACTCTTTTTAGTAATGTTCAGTCTTTGGCTCCTCCTATGCAGTCAAAAATACATCCGTTACCTCCCACATCGTTTAATGTTCAATCGATAGCGCCTCCCAGTTCGCAACCCAAATTACATTTCAATGCGCCGCCAATCAATCAATCTACCTTCAGTATGCAACCCAAATTGCACCACGCACCGCCTACCACATCCTTTAACGTGCAATCGATAGCTCCTCCCACTTCGTTTAACTTGCAATCTATAGCCCCGCCCCTAAATACTTTCAGTATGCAGCCCAAGTTGCATAACAACGTTATAGCACCTCCCACTTCTTTCGACATGCATCCGGTAGCTCCGTCTAGAAGTATGCAACCCATACAGCACACGATACATCCGCCTACGTCTATAAATATGCAACCAGGATCGCATAGTCTTCCGATTAAGGCCGTTCTCGATCCACAGAAGGAAATTAAAAATTATCACCATCACAATAATAAAGCTTATGCCAATGCGCAAATTGGTAATGAGTCTAATAGTGCTAGGACCAATTGTAGCTCGTACAATCCGAAGTCTAGTAATAACGCTGTCAGTTCTTATAGCTACTATGGTGATAGTAGTAATTTTAACACGAATTGTTATAAGAACATTAACAAAAATGACAATAAGGGTTACTATTCTATGCCAACATACGATAATTACGAGAATTATAAGAAATGCGATAATTTTTCGGATAATTATTATGCCCCAACTCAAAACCCTTCAAAAGATAAATTCAACAGCCCTCCAAAGTCCAAACAACCAAGTCAAAGTAAACCTCCAATAAACTGGATGACTGCTCCAGACAACAGAATACAAACAGATTACTTCTTGCCTCCTTTATCGAAAGAAAACGAATTCACGGTTTACCCAAATAACTCACAGACAACATACTTCAATACCAACACGATGTATAGCACCAGTGAAATAACCATGAACGACAATACTAGAAAAACCATAGATCTCCCCATAAATCCGTCTTTGAGTAACAACTATCAAAGGACAGACTTGGAGGAGTGGTCCCCGGCAAAAATGCCTCAATTTTTGGACCCCCTTGTGGGCGATTTGGGACTCAATCACATCTACGAACCCAAGACGGATAAAAGAGTTAAAGATGCCACCAGGAGAAGTAAGAACGTTAACTACGATAATCAAACGAACTTTTTGTCGGTTAGCCAGCTTGTGGATAGTAATAAAAATGAGAATGTGCCGGCTAGAACTACTACTAGGAGGAATAGTGGTAATAGAGCCAAAACACAGCAGGTTAAACAAAAAAGAAAGTCGCAGGAAGCCAAGGAAATGCCGAGTAATGCTAATAAGAGTGACGGGCTGAAAAATACACAGCAAATGAATAAGTTCGTTGCTAGTTTTAATAATCAGGATATTTTCTGTGAAAATCCCAATAACAAACCAAAGAATAGCTCTAGTAATTACACAGCCGAGGCTCTTATAGGCCACACTAATAATATAATTAACGATGCGAATAAAAAGCAAAATTACACCAACAAAACTTTAGTACCTCCACCTTTTCTTACCGATAACATTATTACCTATTTCCCTCCTGTTGAATTTACCCAGGAGAATACTTATATACCACAAAATCAAGCCTATAATAGCAATAGTTTTACCCATAATTTTGGAACATTCCAAAACACTTCATACACAGCAAACAATTTTATTCCCGCCACAAACACAATAACAACAACATACATCCCCACAAACAATTTTGTTCACGATACACACGATTTTATCTCTGATAACTTTAACAACATATTCTCCACCCCAGTCAAGGAGAAACCTTGCCCTAAACCTAACAGGAACGTAAATAGTAACACGGAAAAAAACCTAAATCAAAACTGCACAAATACCTACAAAAAAGGCAAAAAGAAACCCCCTCATGATACGAATATAAACAATTTTGACATCCAGTTCCTCTCCATGCCTGGTAACCGCAACTCCCCCTTGTTACCCGATGATTTTCACACACATACCACCTACATACCCCCTCCTACAACTTACAAAACCATCAACCCCTTTTCCCACAATAACAATAAAACATCTGACATGTCTTCTACCCCCCTACTTCCGCTTCCGCCTGTTCCTGGTGCGAGAAATAGCAATCAACCCGAAATACTTCCCGTGAACTCTAGTGGTACTTCGTTGACGAACTTCAATTTAAGTACCATATTCCCAGAGATCAATAAGGTAAGTTAAAGGGTGTTTATGAATAAGAAAAGAGTTCTAACAGTTGTTTTAGGGGCCAATACCGGAACTGTATTCCAGAAATAAAGATCAAGGATCTAATAGGAACTATAATCCCAGTACTAGTACTGCAATACAAGTAAGATCTTTAAATCTTTAAGTTTTAATATTTTTGTATTTCGTATATTTTAGGCCCCCTTCAGTACCAACAAGTCATCCTTTAATTTTAATTATAATAATAATTAAATTAAGACTTTTAAAAAGAATTGTACCTGATGTATATATTTTATAATAAATAACTCGTCAAAAATGCATTTTGTATTATCTACTCAAAAACAAACATCATACATATAATTTAGCACGGTTTATGTAAAAAAAGTTATTTTGATCTGGTTTTTTTAAGTTGGCATATTTCTCTTTCCGCAATCTGACAGCTTGTCTCGTGGTGGGGACAATGCGACTCGCTTGAATCGCTTAAATAATCACCATTTCCTGTTATATTTTCTTCATTATCATCATTGGATGCCTCGTCATCATTTATGGCTTCGTATTCAGTTTGACTTATATCCTACAGTAAAAATTTGAATATTTTACACCCTAAGCAAGTATCTCTGTCCTACTTACGCTCTCACTACTGCTGCTGCTGAGGGCCAAAGACATGGAAAAGTTCAGTAAATTTGGTGAGCTTAATGATACTCCAAGCCCTAGCAAAGGCCTACTTTGAGTTTTATCATTTTCAGTATTATTTTCTGATTGTTTGTTTTTAATGTACGTAGCTGAGGATGAAGCTGAGCTAGACCCTTTTGCAGGATGTAAAGCTGTGTTACTTTTCTTGAAGCTTTCTGTGTTGGTACTTTTTTGAAAAGCATGGTCAGTAAAAGGAATTCTATCTGGATGTACTTCATTGTTATTTAGTTTATAGACATTCTTAGCTTGGGATCTGGTTGAATCTGATTTGGAGGACCCTTTGCAAAATTTTCCTGCCAGTCTCTGTAATGTAATTCTTATGTTTTATATTATTAAAACTATGTTTTACCTCTTTGGATTCGTTGATCTGTGAAATATATCTATTTTGTATGGCTTGTAACTGGTTAATGTACCATTGTTGATCTCTACTCTTCTGGAAATAGGTCGGAGCTCTTACTTGGAATCTAAAATCATCATGTTTACCTAACCACAACACTTTTTAAACCTACCTTAGCACAATAGTATCCAAAGGAACATTTAAATAGCCCTCACTGACCAAAAGATCAGACCGTATAAACCTATTGTACCCCCAGCATTCCCCAACCTCGAAATCTGAAGAAAACTCCCTAACAACATTTTTTGTTGAATCCCCACCCGCCTGATGAAGCATTTCTACTTTGTATTCATACTTGGATGATTCTGGATAACCAGAGCTTAACTCCAAGAAAACAGATAGATAGTTTCCTTTGACAATACCATTACCATCTGGGTATATTTTCAGCCTCCATGATAAACCATTTGAGTGTAATGGTGGAGAGTAGACCGGCTCAGATTCTAGCTTGGCTTTCGAGAAGTTGTGCATTATGAAAGTGCTGCTTTCATATGGGGGAATCATTTCACTATAAGAGTTCATCAAAATTACCTAAAATGATCTAAAGAACACATCTACCTGTGGAAGTCGGCTGGGACAGGTGCAGTAACACAAGAAGTCATGGGTTTTTCCTTAACTGATTGTATCTTTTTGCTTAAATCGGAGCTTTTTCCAATCAACTCAGATCTGGTGGAGTTGTGGAGTTGATGCTCTGTTTCGTGTAGTAATTTTTCCAATTGTTCCGTTTCCTTTATAGAATATCAGAGTTAAATTTTAATTGTTGAAAATTAAACGTAACCATTACTTGTGTTAAAGTCTCCTTCTGCTTCATGAGGGTGATGAGTTTCGTTTTTAATTGAGTGTCAAGTTTATTGACCATTAGTTCTACCGCGGTTCTTATTTCACGCACGCGGTCATCCTTAGCTTTCCGTACTGACTCTACGTTTCTATCCTAAACACGTCAAAAGTTTTCAAGAGGTTAAAATAGAAAGAATGTAAAAAAATAAAATATTTTTATCGCGACTTTTGTGGAAATTGTTCTCTGAAAAAGTAAAAATAAGAGTTTTGAAAGTCTCACTTTCTCTTAAAAACTCTGAATAAGACTTAAGGTAGTTGTCGTGGTACAATATTGTCAAAAATTTTTAGATTATACGCACCGTAAAAGTATACGAGCTTGTAGCTAAGTGATTCATAATTTGTTCGCAAGACTGTACCCTGGAGACGTCCCCTTTACGTAATACTTTCAAATATTTTCATAAGTTTTAATCCGGCAACGTCGCTTATGCTTAACCAATAGATATATTGGAGACTGACTCAGTCCGCTTGAATTTACTGCGGAAATAATATCTATACTCGCGTACAGCCTTGCCAAGTTGTTTTTATCTGACACTAGTGATGTATACTTTTTACAAATTGTTGAACTTTAAACGGTTATTTATAAACAATTGGACGGTCAAAAATTTTTAATTATTTTTTTTTAAACTCAGCAAAAATACATTAAAACACTGTTAGTTTTTTGAAAACTTCTGACAGTTAGTTTTTTCTGTATAACTAAGAAACTGGTACAGAACTACAGAAAGCCTATACAATCCATGTTAATTATCCAATTTTTAATTGAATTTATCTCGGGTTATAGACGGTCAATCGACTTAAAATTTTAAGGATATATGTATTGTCATGTCCTTAATAAGTATACAAAAATTCAAAATTTTCTGATGGTATGCTTATAGCACGACAACTACCTTAAGTCTCAATTATTAAGTCGAAAAAAGTCAAAATAAGACTCAGAATAAGTCTTAGTAAATCAGACTAATAGCAAGATTTGAGAGTCTTCTGGAAGAGTTAATAAGACTTTTAGCAGAGAAATAATAGATACAATAATAAATATCCTGAATTGTTCAGAGAGGTTGTATTTGGTTATTGTAAAACAGAGGTAAACTTGTAAAATAACACACGAAGAAAAGTATTCATTAACAGTTTTTCTGTGTTGTTATAAGCCAAGTTTATTGCATAATTACCTTTATAGTAACATATACAGGGTGGTCCAGGATTAATCTGAAAAATTGTAATAATCGATAGAGCCTGAAAAAACAATAAAAACAAACCCAAAAACATTTTTCAAAAATACACACTAACACACTAATAGCCCTTCAAAGGCAAAAAAACGTTTTTTTTTAAATAGCTTTTAAACCATTAAACCGATTCTGCTCAAATTTTGTGTAGGTAATTTTTTTTACAAAAGGCCCAGCTGCGGAGATTTTGGGGGGGTTTCCCCTTTTTACCCCCATATTTCGACACCACAGGATTTTATTGGAAAATCATCAGATTTCTTATTCAATTTAGAAGCAAAATTTGTGTGTTAAATTTTCATAAGATCAGGGTTTTTGAAATTTTAAACTGAAATATCTCCGAAACCACTGATCTGATAAAAAATTAACATAAAAGTTTTGCTTTTACATTGAAAAGGGATAAAAATAAATATGATGATTTTCTAATAAAATCCAGTGGCGTCGAAAATATGAGGGTAAAAAGGGGAATCCCCCCAAAATCTTCGCCACTGGGCCTTTTGTAGGAAATTTTCATTATATTATCGACAGAAGCTTAACCTACACAAAATTTGAGAAGAATCGGTTTAATGGTTTAAAAATTATTTTAAAGGACTATATCTCCGTTAGTATGCATTTAAAAAAAATGTTTTTGGGTTTGTTTTTATTGTTTTTTCAGGCTCTATCGATCATTAAAAATTTTCAGATTAATAATTACAAAACATATATTTTTTTACATACGATGCGCTTGACTTGCTTTCATTTTTGTCACTGTAAGTTTTATTTTAACAGTTTCTCTTTATATATGCAAATATTCATCTGACCATTGTTCCAAACAATTGTTCTAAAAACAACACATGTGTACTTCTGACGCAATATCGATTTTCTCAGCTGACCAATTAGATCACAGCTAACCGTCATGTGATTGCATCCGTTTGCGGGTATTTTCTTCATGTTTGCGGGTAACATTTTAAAGCGGGTGAAATGAGGTATTTACTAAATTTCGATGAAAATACTATCTAAAGAAATGTTCAGTAAATATAATTGTATATTTACCAAATATGCATAATTATTTATATTAAGATCGAATGTTTTTTAATTTTTGGTCGGGAACTTTCATTGTAAACATTGCTTCTGTGTTGTTATAAGGGTTATAAATAACACAAATAAATACTTTTCTTTGAGTTTTCTTTTACAATAACCAAATACAACATCTCTAAATAATTCCGAATATTTATTTTAATCGCTATAGGTACCTAGCAATTCTCTGCTAAAAGTCTTATTAAGTTTTATTAATTCTTCCAGAAGACTCCCAAATCTTGCTATTAGTCTGACTTACTAAAACTTATTCTAAAGTCTTATTCAGAGTTTTTAAGAGGATGTAAGACTTTCAAAACTGATATTTTTACTTATTAAAACTTTTTCGGAAAAAAATTCTACAAGGGTAAGCTTTAGTCATAATTAACTTGGTAGTTACCACTTCTTGCACTATACTTATCAACTCCATCAACCTTCTTCTCAACTGTCCAACCTCATCCCTAATCTGCGTGACATTTTGCTCGTAAACCTCGTCGAGAGGTTTGAAAGTATGACCGCAATGTTCTCCACCCCAAAGAGCACACTGATGGCAGATGCAGCATCTGCAGGTCCAGCAGTACACGGACAACTTCTCCAAATGCTTCGTGCACCTGTCTTTGTTCACTTCTTCGGCTCTTCTGTCGCTGGAGCATCCCCCATTCAACGAGTCCAGTTGTTGGGTGACTTCCTCGACCCAACGGCAGTTCACCAGTTCGTGCATGTGCAGGGAGGCCCTGCAATGGGGGCACTGCGACCTCTGCTCGGTCAGCCATTTGCGTATGCACATGTAGCAGCACAGTTTGGAGCAGTGCGGGCAAAGGTGGGCTTCCTTCAGTTTTTCCATGCATATGAAGCAACGAAATACTTCCGATAACGTCTGAAATGCTTCGTTTTATGCGGGTTTGCTTTTTATGGTGGAACTTACAGTTTCTGATGGGGAGACGTCCATGATGTAAAGTACCAAAATAACTTTTGATTTTTAAAAGGTTATTAAACAATGTTTGTTTTGGCATGTCTTGGAGCGTAGCAACAAACTCAAATCATTGTTAAAAAGACATATTTGTATTCCACAGAACTGGTATGGAAATGTTTTATCATAATTCCTAAATACACTAGGGAGGGTAAGGAATAAAACAAAATATAAATTTTAAAGAGTTTATTTCTCAACATCAAGCATCACTCAAGAATAATATTAGTAACATCTATTAATAGCTTTATATAACATACACAGCCTAACAAATTTAACAATTCCTTTACTTGGAATGTAAACATTTTTAGAGATAGAGCGAAACTTTTAGTCAATATTATTAGTTTTTCCATGCATATGAAGCAACGAAATACTTCCGATAACGTCTGAAATGCTTCGTTTTATGCGGGTTTGTTTTTTATGATGGAACTTACAGTTTCTGATGGGGAGACGTCCATGATGTAAAATACCAAAATAACTTTCGATTTTTAAAAGGTTATTAAACAATATTTGTTTTGGCATGTCTTGGAGCGTAGCAACAAACTCAAATCATTGTTAAAAAGACATATTTGTATTCCACAGAACTGGTCTGGAAATGTTTTATCGTAATTCCTCCATACACTAGCGAGGGTAAGAAATAAAACAAAATATAAATTTTAAAGAGTTTATTTCTCAACATCAAGCATCACTCAAGAATAATATTAGTAACATCTATTAATAGCTTTATATAACATACACAGCCTAACAAATTTAACAATTCCTTTACTTGGAATGTAAACATTTTTAGAGATAGAGCGAAACTTTTAGTCAATATTATTAGTTTTACAACATGCCATTCAATTTGGCGATGTTTTTATTATTATTAAATTAATTTAATAGGAAAAAATTAAACTATTGCTAAGTAATTGAATTAAATTAAATTTAAACTACATAATACGTTGGATTGGCTTAAGCAGAGTGGGGTTGAGTATCTGGCCTAAAAAATCACAGCTTTTATAATCTTCAAGAAAAACAAAATTATGCCTTTTAAACCACACTTGAAAAAGGTGATGAAGTCAAACGTTTATATTTTTGTTTGTGGATGGGAGATAAAGTTTTGAATCAAACTTAATCCGTGGACATACTGTATATTAGTTTAATTTTTTTAAGATTTATTAAAAAATTAACATGGTGCAGGGCTCTCAAATGTCCTAAAATTCCTAAAATTCAGCTTTCTGCCCTAAATGTCCTAAAATTTGGCATTTTTTGTTTTGTTGATATTTTAAACCACCTGTCACATGATTTCGTCATGATAAAAACACCAAAACATGCCTACTCTATGGTTGACTCCTATCAAAACAAAATTGACAATTAAAAACTATTTGATATTGTAAATAACCCAATTATTAAATCGGACCTACAGAGTGCCATTATTGCAGTAGAAATAAGCACTAAAGAAATAGAAAAGCTTAAAAAAAAGAAAAAAACGACGTATTAAATCCAAATCAGTGATACAAAACTACCCTATAAGACATGAAAATATTTTGGTTTTCTTTTATCAATATTAAATAAAAACATGTTTTTTTTTATTTTATCTGTATACTAGACTGGGCCAAAAAAATCGAATATTTTTTTTTGTAAAGTATATCGAAAATATTCTTTTGGGTAACAAAAAAATTATTGTGAAAGTTTGAGTCCATTATCGCAATTTTAGATTTTTTTTTCTGAGCGAGTTTTTGTCTCAGAACTCCCAAACCATTAAGTTTAACAAAATTGACTTAGGAATAGTTTTTGAAGAAAATTGCTCTACAAAAAAGGTCTGAAATTTCCCGTCAGATGAACAGTTTTCTTATAATAATGCCTTAAAAATTGGTAGTTTTACAATTTGAGTTTTGTAATTCAGGTAAAAATCAGTACCCGGAAAAAAAACCGATAGATATAATCAAATGCTCTACAAAAAAAGTATGAACATTTTTGGCTAAATTCACTCCATCAAAAGTTATTCAAGGTTAAAGTTGAAGTCAAAACGAAATTGTTTTTTCCTCTGTATATGTATTTTTTATGGATGATAATTTGATTTTTTTCTTTATAAATGTGTATTATATAACTAATTAACAATTTCCAATAAAAAACAACATGATTGTTATTATTTAAACAATTAAATAACAGTGAAAATGATATTTCCTAAAAAAAATAGCGAAAAAATTTGAATGTGTTGTAATTTTTTTTTAATTTTCAGTCAATTTATCAATAACATAATATTATCATCGATAAAAGAATTCAAGTTTTTAACTGACCCAAAAACAATCTACAGTGGAAAAAACAAGAATTTCGCTTTGACTGAATAACTTTTGATGGAGTAAATTTAGCCAAAAATTTTAAGATACTTTTTTTTGTAGAACATTTGATTTCCCATAAGAATATCTATAGTTTTCTTCCGGGTACTGATTTTTACATGAATTACAAAATTCCAAAGTTAAAAGATCAAATTGTAAAACTATACCAATTTTGAAGGCATGATTGTAAGGATACGATTCATCTGACGAAAAATTTTAATATTAAAAATAGTCGATTTTTTTGGCCCACGATAAAAAGTAAATATTTTTATTTTGTTTTTGTTATCCAATTAATTATTTATTTTCATCTAATAAAACGTTTGCAAGTTTTTAAATTTGCCTGAAATGTCCTTAAATTCTACTAAGATTTGTCCTAAAATCCAAAAAATAGCACTTAAAAATTCGCTGGGTGGTGCCTAGAAAGATCTAAAGATCCACCACTTTTTACCAATACTAATTTCACATGTGATTTTAACATATTTTAAATAGGTATTTTTAACATTCCAAAATTCCACATTTAATGTGCTTTTGACAAAATAAAATATGGATTTTACATTCTAAATAGTATTTGTTTATGTTTTTTTCATTCCAAATTGTGCTTTTGACCACATCACACAACAAGGTCTGTTCTATCTTGTTACGCGCATACTAAAAGTTACGAAGTTAGGCAACCCACTGACTAACGGCGGCCATTTGTATCTTGTTTACAATTCTTGGGCTGTTTATAACATTTAAAACGATTATTATAATCGTTTTAAACGTTGTGTTTCTTACAGAGGCACTTGTTAGCCTCAAATAAGTGCTAAGGACAACCATTTTACTCCTTTTTTGATAAAAATAAGAAACACACCGTTTAAAACGATTTTTAATTTGTATAAACCACACAAACCCAAAGCACAAGAATTGCAAACAACATAAAAATGGCCGCCGTTAGTCTGTAACTTAATTTTTAGTATCCGCGAAACGAGATAGAACCTTGTTGTGTGGATTGTGTTTTTGACAAAATAAAATGCGATGTTCAATAGGGTGGAGCGAAAAAAAAAATTTTTTTTCCTTAGCCTGGGGGTGGAATTTGTAGCCTATAAAAAAAGAAAATTTTTGAAATAAAAAAAAAATCTTTACTCAACGTCTTGAGGTGGCCCACTGATTTTTTAAATTAAATTTAAGTTAAAATTCTTTTAAATAAAAAAAAATTCAAAAGTGTTCAGGAAACTGCGGAGGGTCCTCTTTATTGCTAATTAACAGTTATGAACTTAAAAAAAATTTTGTGGTCATTATTGTTGTTTTTAAAAAAATTCCAAAATAGTAACATGCTTTTCTGAGGCAATAGAGCGAATTTCGAGTTGAACACGATCAAATTTGTTTATTTTTAGATAAATTTGAAGATTACAAGCCAAAAAAAATTTTCTTTTATTCAAAAGAATCAGTGGGCCACCTCAAGACGTTGAGTAAAATTTTTTTTTTTCAAAAATTTTCTTTTTTTATAGGCTACAAATTCCACCCCCAGGCCAAGGAAAAAAAAAATTCGCTCCACCCTAATGTTCAATCAATCAAACTGTCGGAAAAAATCTGAAACCAAAAAAAAATGTAAAACTCACTTTTTTGGCTCCTTCTCCGGCCTCGTGGAGTCCGGCTGGTTTTGCTTGGAGTTCTTCGACGACGGCCTCCGCTGGCTCAGGAGCGACGGCGACCACACGAAACCTGCGCAATCTTAAAAAATTACGACTACAACTTTCCGCCGATCCGTCGTTATTCTTACCTGTCGAAGACGACGGTTGCACGCTGTCGATGTTGTCGCCCAACGGCGGCGGCGAGGACGGCTGCAGGGCGGGGAGGGGGAAGTACGGCGCCTGCGCGACGCGGCGCTTGTCTTTGGCCGCGCACTCTTTCTTTCGGTTCTGGTCGTGCTCGGGGTAGCAGTTGATGGATCTCAGGAAGGATTCCAGCGGACCCATCACCGACTCCTGCGAACATATTTTTGTACAAACTGGATTCTATTAATAAGGTTTAAAATATACTTTTGTATTTTGGGTCAATGGTATTGTTTCAGTCCAAATGCCAGGTATGGAAGAAGGCCCAGCTGCTGCATTTTGAGCTTCCAACTGACCCTTGAATCTCTGTTTAAGTATCTTTTTAGATTCTTGGTCATCTACAATTAAAACAAAATCTTTTTAATTTAACATGTCTAAAATTATTTAAAAATTAATTGTGGTTTTAACTTTCAAAAATAAGTTTTACATTCTCAAGAGTGTTTTGACCATGGAGCCCACAACTCCATGTATACAAAATTTAATGATTTCCCAAAAAAGAGGTATTGTTTGTTCTAAATGATGATTTATTGCCCAAAAATACACCAGAAATAAAGTATCATTATTTTAAAACTAAAAACGATTTTGGTAAAAAACCAATTGATTCAAATCGCAACAAAGATTTTTTATCCGATTTTTAACTAAAAAAAAATAAAAAAATTTTAAAACTGAAAAAAAAAAATTTTTTTACAAACAGAAAAATATTTATTTAACCAGGAAAAAATTAATAATAAAATACAAAAAGAAAAATTCAAAAAAAAACTTAAAAAATAAAAATTAAAAAAAAAACTTAAGTTGCATTTTTGAAAAAAGTGAAAGAGTCCTTCAAATACAAATTTCACCCCAATTTTCTCAATTTTTGAGAAATAAAAGAACATAAAAACCGTTCTAAAAAAATATGGATAAAAAATAAAATATAATTGGAACTTTGAAAAAATGTAAAAACTAGAAAGTTAAACAGATTTAATCGATAAATATTAACGATAATCTCATATTTTCGATAAATATAATGTGGCGAATGAGTCTCTAAGATAAAAACAAAATATAAAGGTGTAGCGACTGAGGAACTTAAAAAAATATAGAAATGGGGTGGAGGGGTGAAAAATCGAAACATTTTTTATTCAAACATTTTTGTTCGCATTTTTCTCCTACTCCTACTTTAGTACATCAACAAAAATTAATCATATTTATACCAAAAAACAAAAAAAGTGATTCACACTAAATTTTGGTAAACAAATATTTGATGCAAATCGCAATTAAAAAAAAAAGATTCGATTTTTAATCCGATTTTTTTTACAAGAAAAAAATACAAAAATGTAAAACTAGAAAAAAATTAATACAAAAATATCACACCAAATTTTGGTAAAAATACAATTGATTTAAATCGCTATTAAAAAAAAAGATTCTATTTCTTATATAATTTTTTTTAAATAGGAAAAATTAATAAAAAAAATCCCTTTTTGTTGTTGAAAATTTGAAGTTTTTTATGAATTTGAAAAAAAATTAAATGAATTATTGAAAAAGAAAAAAAATCAATCGCCGTTTTTTGAAAAATTCAATTTAACAAAATTTTGACAACAAATTTCACCCCACTTACAGTTTTTTGAGAAATAAAAGAACATAAAAGCCGTTAAAAAAAATAAAGGATAAGAAATAGAATTTGAACTGGGATAAAATGTAAAAACTAGAATTATAAAACAGATTTTTTCGATAAATATTCACGATAATCTCAAAATCAAAAAAGCATAAAAACCGTTATTAAAAAGAATATTTTCGATAAATATCATTATATTGTGTCGAATGCGGGTCTTAAAAAAATATGTAAAAAACTGAGATAAAAAGAAAATATAAAGGTGTGGCGACTGAGAAAAAATGTAAAACCGAGGAAGTTAAAAACGACTGAGGGAATAGGAAAAAATATAGAAATGGGGAGGAGGGATGAAAAATCGAATCATTTTTGAACAAAAATGTTTGTTTTTTCATTTACTAAAAAGTGATTCACACTAAATTTGAGTAAAAAAACAATTGACCGTTTCTGAAGTAATTAAACCTGATTTTGCGAAACAATTTAAAATGCCTATAGCGTCCGTAGGAGGCCAAGGCTGGATGCTCCCGTGTACGAGTTTTGGTTCGTCCCGCGCATGACGTCACTTGATGAGTAGTTCCGTGAGAATACACGAATAATGGTAATATTATCAAAGAAAATAGAGAAATATCTGGACATAGTGCGTTTTTATTAAACTTAATATTGAAGAAAGTGTTATAATATGGATAATAGATGCTTTCGGTCCTTGATAACATTTAGGGCTGTAATTTAAGCGTTGGTGTTTTAAATTAAAGTTATAGTCACCGTCCAGAAAATATTTATAGGAAACAGAAGCGGTCTTAACGTTAATATTGTCTATTCTTTTTGTGGCATTTAAACACTGTTTCCACAAATCAAACAAAAACAATAATAAACAAACCGAACAGGTTAACACAACGCAATAACAATAATTTGAACACTGAAAAGTAATTCGAACCTTACCGAAAACAACAAGTTAAACAAAAAATAGTGCAAGTTAACATCCAACAGCATCGCAAAAACAAGAATTTTCGCAGCAGATAATTAAAAAGCACGTTAAAGATTTAAAAACACTCATCAAGTGACGTATTTAAGCCCCGCCCAACATGCGCACCATCCTATCTTAAGGTGTGTGTATCTTGGTAGGAGGCTTTGATCTTAATAAAAACAGTTTTTCCACTTACCGTCTTGCTTGGCGGAAGCCTGCGCGGCGTCTGGCGCCGCCCCACCCGCCGCCTCGTCTTTGCTGGGCAGATGCTGCGAATAATGTAGGAACGGGAATTGCAGCTGGTTGAGGCGTTCCTCCATGGCGAGCGGCAGGGCGTTCGCCATTTGTTTCGGTTTCAACCCCGGTCCTCCTATCCTCACCGTGGTCCTGGGGCTGGACGCGCGCATCATCAGGCGCTGCGCCATGGAGAATTCCGCGTACTCGACGTCGTTTTCACCTTTATTCAAAAAAGCGATATTTTAACTTTAAATTTTCATATATTATATCACGAGAACTATGAATTTAATCGGTTAAACTAGGCTCAGTAGTTTTTTGTTTGGTTTTTCTTGGAAAATGTTGAATGCAAAATAATTTAATAAAATCACGAGACCTCGTAGCGGTCGAGGGGTTTTATTTTTAATTATTTTGCATGAAACTATTTTCCAAAAAGAAAAATCAAATAAAGAACTTACTGAGCATAGTTTGACAGATTAAATTTATAGGTTGAGTGATATACGTCTAGATTATTTCTCGAATTAAAGGAAACTATTTAACAATTCATAAAATCTGACGTATGTGTCAAAATTTATAAATATTTTTTTAAAGAAAATTCCATTAATTTAAGGTATGTAATAAGTAATAATTGATATTTCGTAAACTAGATAACTTATTTTTTATTATTTTTAAAAAAATGTTTGTTAAAACTTGTAAATAACACCATAAAATCGTAAACAAAAATCCAATATGGAGGCTAAAATTTAATCGCTGTTAAATAGTTCTAGTGATTTAATCGCTTATTTAAACGAAATTTATTCGAAAATTCAAGGCTTTTGATTGGTTCATATTATAATGAGGGAAATAATCTATTTTATTAAATTTGTTTATTTTTTATTTCCTAAGTAATATATTAGTTATTTACGTGTCAAGCTTTGTAAATGAATCTTTACAGGCGAGCTGGTTTGTGGGGTAAGTGACGCAGGAGCGAACCTCATAATCCAGTGAGCCTAGTAAAGATTAATTGCAAAGCGTGACACGTACAAACTTTTATTTTCACCTTTAGATAAAGATTTTCAAATTTAAAATTTCAATTAATGTGTCAAATGTGACATTTCATTTCATAAATTGCTTTTCTACAAGCCTGTAAAACTTTACAGGTCTTTTATACAAGCCCGTAAAATATTACAGGTCTGTTCCCATAATGTATCGTTTACTTGGATACAAAAACAACAAAATTAACCTATAAAATGTAATTTACTAAGAAGGTGGAAATAAAATATATTATAATTATAATAATAGGTATACAGTAGGTAACCTAGTACTTATTATATGTAGGTAAATTATTACAAAAAATATTATTTTTTGCATTTGGATAGCGTTTAACGAAAAGAAACCAAGCGCCAAAAACTTTTTCTGGGCTTGGTGAAATTATTTTTAAAATAACTCATTTTTAATAATGCTCAAAAGGTTGATCATCATTTGGAACTTTTCTCAAAAGGATTAAGAGGGTTCCCAAATCATTATTAATTATTAGAGCAGCATTAAAAATAAGTTATTTTGCAAATAATTTTGTTTACACCAAAAAGTTTTTGGCGCTTGGTTCCTTTTCGTTAAACGATATCCATTTATTTTGTGGTAGGTAATAAGGTATTAAAAAACAAAAATCTAGACAGGTTTTAATTTTCTTATCACTTATACTTATTCCTAATTCTTATTATTATTAACCGTTTAAAAACTTTTACAGAGACAGAGAAGACAAAATCTGCCTTTTGCTTGTGTCTTTCTATTTTTTAAACTTTATGTATCTTGTATTTGCTAATGTGAAATTTAAATAAGATAACAATGGCTAGTCAAGCACCAAAATGTTTAAGTTGTTTATTTTTATTGTTGTTTTTTGAATTTCATTTGTGTTTAAATCATTTTGTCCAATTTTGTCCAGAACAATTGATTTTGTCCGGACGGACATAATTGGAAAAAATCGTCCAATTATGTCCACTTGAACATGGTAAATAAATGTGTTTTTAATTGTAAATGTGATTCAAAAACTAAATCGTTTCATTTTCATGTTTTTCCAAAGGATCCAATTCGGTACGTATATTTGTTGGTGCAGAATTAACTAATAAAAACTTTACTTAATATATTTTTAAGAAATCTAACAAAAAATAATAGTTGTACAAACATAAACTTAAAATCAAACATTTGAGTCCTCTAAAAAAACGCCGACAACTGCATTTTGAAAATATTAAACGACTAAATATATCTTTCATGGCAACAAAATATTATATTTAATATATAATATAATACCCGTTTTTGTTTTTTTACCGTTGAGTGGAGACTTTCTCAATCAACGCTTTTAATAATGCATAACGCTGTTTGAATTTAAACGACTATTTGTTTGATAATTTTTACTGAATTGAAATGTTTACAATTTTCACGTAACTAGCGATGCTTCTTTAGTTATAATGACATTAAAAAAATAAAAAAAAAACAGGTAAAGTTAAAATCGGTTTTTAATTAGTTTAAGTATAACAATTTAACCTAGTTAATCAACATTATTTTCTAGAAAAAAATGTTTAAAACAATTAAAAACGGATTTTTAAGATTTAAAAATAGCGGTAAAAATTTGTTTCTCCAAAATATATATAAATATTACCTCTATGTCTTAAAATGTGTTTCACTGACATTTGAAAGTTTTTGAAGTTTTAAAATATTTTATTGGCAATAGGGTCATCTATGGTCAGAAAATGACAAAAATTTACAAAAAAAATTTTTTTTAAATAATTTATTAATTTTTTTATATATAATTGATTATTTTTCGTGTTCTGAACTTTTTATAAAATTTGATAAATTATGAAAAAAATTATTTTTTGTAAATTTTAAAATAGTTAAAAATTAAATTTTTAGGTTGATTTGTTTCTGGCTGGAACAGTTTTTTCAACATTTTGATAAAAATAATGATGGCCATTTTTATCGTGCTCATTTCACGAACTTTAACCCAATATATAAAAAAAATTACCTGACATAGTTTCCAAGTCCACATCATTTTCATCATTGGATATTTCTCCACCTGTTCCCTGCGTGGCAGCATTCGAATCCGGTTCATATTCGTTTTCTATTTCGCTTAGTTCCTAAAACAAAAAACATTTAAATTAAATAAACATCTAACTAGTATTTTTGAACGCACACTCACACTTTCGCTGCTGCTACTGCTTGTAATGGTCATCGACATGGACAAATTCAGCAGATTCGGCGAACTCAGGGAGACACCGAGTCCGGGAATCCCCGGTATCGCTCGGGGATTCCCGGGCAGGTCCGCTCCCAAACTCGGCCCCTCCTCGATCGGAACTATCTTTTTCGACGCGGAAACGGCCGAGGTTTTGACGGGGGAAACCGAAGTCGAACTGGCAACAGAGGCCGAAGAGGCAGTTGCCTCCGTTGGACCTGTGGTCGAGGAGCAGGGACAGCCCCCAACGCTAAAAAAAGAAAACGAGCCGTGGTTTCTCTCAATGGGGTATTTAATTTTTTTCTGACCTATACTTTTTATGGTTTTATTCAAGGCGTTTTGTAATATTAAACATTTCTGTGAAATCAGAATTTCAATTGAGTTTACCGTTTTCGAGATATTTACAAAAAATATAAATTTTTATGACGTCACAAACCTCGCCATGTGACCAACATTCTAAGATTTCTATTGGTTGAAAATTACCCTGTTGTCAAGTTGTCTTGTTAATGATTTCATTCGGTTATGTCAGAAAATACCCGAAGAGGTTATGTACAAATACTGTCACTGTCAGTTGAGTGAAAGATGGTCACCAAATTCATTAAGTACCTACCTATCTTCCTTATTACGAGGTATCATATTATATTTGATATTTTAGAGTCCAAGATATATCTAAAAGAATATAAAGAACTAGGCATTATACTAATGAAATGCATTTACGACAAAATATGATTATAATTATAGGTAGGTACTTACTTTATTTGTTTAAAAGCTCCAATGTTCAATATAACCAACCATTCCACAAGATTCCTCTGCTTTGGAGTCCGTTATTAATAAATCACTTATCTAATATCAATTACAAATAACATAACAATAACATTGATTTTCAATAATCTAAATTTAAAAAAAACATAACCCGAAAAAAAGAAACGTCAAAAAATCAATTCTTCTTCTTTTTCTTCTTCTCAACTAAAATTATAGATCAAGTGGTTTTAAAACTAAAATATTATAACGTGGCGCCATCTATCGTAAGAATCTTAAACTAAACACACTGGCAACCATAGAAAAAGCTGGCAACGTTGTCAATAGCCTAGTGACGTAATTAGGAGATTTTTTTTGTAAATATCTCGAAAACGGTAAACTCAATTGAAATTCCTATTTCACAGAAATGTTTAAAATTACAAAACGCCTTGAATAAAACCATAAAAAGTATAGGTGAGAAAAAATTTAACCACCCCATTCCATTTCGTGTCAAAAATCGACTTACATCGTGGGATTTTTAGCTTTGTACATCGCCTGTATGTGCTGCAGATCCGCGGGTAAAGGGTACGCTTTTTCCGGTAAACTCCTTTGCGACGTTGTCGCTTCCATGGATTCGGCGTTTACGGCCCCGGTTAGGGTCATGTTGTAAAGACTTTTTACTAAAACCCCACCCATATCCACCGGCTGAACGTTGCCCAAGGTGGCTGCAACCGCGTTTCTAGAAATTTCCGCTGCCAACCTCTAAAGAAAAATTTAACAGGTGAAGTGTGCGTCGAAATCAATTGAAAAATCGAAAAGTAAGTCACCCAAGAAGACTAAAGTGTATTCAAATCCAAGCTGGACTAAACAAAAACGCCCAGACGCATGATAACTCGTTCTTATTGGTCGATTCTGATGGTGTGACTCGGATTGTGAGTTCTTATTGGTCGATTCGGAGGATTGTGTTTACATTTAGTCTAGCTTGGATTTGAATAGACTTTAGAATCAGAATGCGATGTCTTGTAGCTCAGCTGAACATTTAAAATACAAACTGATACCAAAATAACAATTATTTATACTTTTTATATTGTTTGGTAACTGCTTCATAGGAAATAATTATTGGACAACCTATAAGTAGTCTTTCTTGACAATTGAAAAAAATAAATAAATAAATAAATAAAAAGCGTATTAAAATCAGTAGGCATCTTTAAGTTACTTAAAATAAAAAAACAATAAATACATTGATTTTGTCGGGGATTTACCGAAATCTCTGCATTCTCTGGTTCTGAACTGTTCAAAGATTGCGCGGAACTGTTAACGTAGTAGTTTTAGGTTCTCAACTGTTTTGAAACTAGTAAAATATTAAAAAAAAAACAAACGTTTAACGGTAGCTCTCAAAATCGCCCGTAGGTGTCGTTTTCAGTATTTCTGTATTTTGTTGGTCTTAACCTCCAAATTCTAAAAGAATTTGCACACTAATTGTTGGGTTTTGTGAACCCGAACAAACCAAATTGCCGTCATTTTTTTAAAATTTAATAGTGTAAAGCATGCCCAGCAATTAATAGTATATTGTCGGCAATTTCAGGCGCGCGAAACGCACGAATTACAAAACTGTAGATAATTTATTATACAGTGTGACCCATTTGTTTGCGACTCACCCCTGTAATCTTTTTTAGTGCGATTTTAGCCGGATTTGTTTTAAAGTGTAGATCTTGATAAACTGTATTTTTGGAGCAAAAAACGCCATATTTTTACAAAATACAAGGCCTACTATGTCAGTTTTAAGAATAAATTTTTAAGAATTCATATTAGCGATTTTTTTAAACAAAATCTAAGCACGGCACTGGATTCACCACCCCTCAAAACGACCCTATACTAAATTTTATTGAAAAATTTTAAGTAGAAAAATGCACAATAATAACCACAAAAAATTATTCCGTCAAGTTATCCATAAAAAAAACCTGTTACTTTTAGTTTATTTTTGTTTTTTTCATGGATAACTTGGCAGAATAAATTTTTGTAGTTATTATTGTGCATTTTTCTACTTAAAATTTTTCAATAAAATTTAGTAGGTATAGGGTCGTTTTGAGGGGTGGTGAATCCAGTGCCGTGTTTGGATTTTGTTTAAAAAAATCGCTAATATGAATTCTTAATAACTGACACAGTAGACCTTGTATTTTGGAGTTTTTTGTTTCAAAAATACAGTTAATCAATATCTACACTTTAAAAAAAATCTATACATTAAATTAAAAAAAACGCAAGAAATATTTTATAAAAGTAGAGATAATTTTAATAATGGAAAGGTGTCAATTATTTCTACTTTCATAAAATATTTCTTGCGTTTTTTTAAATTTAATGTTTTAAAGCTAAGAAGTGCCTCTGTGTTTTGAATGTTTGAACGATTATTAATCTGTATAAACAGCACAAGAATTGAAAAAAAGATAAAAATGGCCGCCAATATTCTGTGCAGTGGGTTGCCTAACATCGTGATTTTAGTATGCGCGAAACGAGATAGAACTGTGAAAAACAACTCATAAAATGTTAAAATTAACATTTACACGCGTTATAAATTAATCTTACCTCTTTGGACTCGTTTATCTGCGAAATATACTGATTTTGCACTGTTTGTAACTGGTTGATGTACCATTGTTGATCCCTGCATCTCTGATAGAAAGTTGGAGCTCTTACTTGGAACCTTTTGTACGTAAGGAAAAAGACAGTAGAAACAAAAATGTTAAAACACGTTAAGATAAAAATTACCGTAAGACGAGCGTGTCTAAAGCAACGTTGAGGTACCCCTCGCTCGCCAGTAGGTCCAACCTGAAGAACCTGTTGTAACCCCAGCACTCCCCAACCTCAAAATCGGAGGCGAACTCCCTTACGATGTTTTTGGAGGAGTCGCGACTCGATTGGTGGATCATTTCCACTCGGTACTCGTATCTAAAGTGAAAGTGATGTTTTTAACACAAAAACGTACTTTGGAACGAGAAAACGGATCTAGAGTTAAACTTTAGGGCCTTTTTCTCGTTCCAAGAAAACATTTTTACTGACTTTGAGGTTTCCGGGTATCCGGCGCTTAGCTCCAAAAAAACTGAGAGGTAGTTCCCCCGGACAACTCCATTGCCGTCCGGGTAGACCTTTAGTCTCCAACATAGGCCATTGCAGTGCAATGGGGTGGAATATACAGGGTCAGCTTTGCGTTGCAGCTGAGAGAAACAGTGCATCACAAATGTGCTGCTATCATAAGAAGGGACAATTTCGCTGAAAGAGAATTGGAATTAAAGTTAAATAAAGAAGTACACACTAGACTGGGCCAAAAAAATTAACATTTTTTTTAAGAGTACCTATATCAAAAATATGGTTTGGGGTGACAAAAAAATTATCGTGAAAGTTTGAGTCCATAATATTAATTTTAAGAGGTCTATCATCGCAATTTTATTTTTTTTTTCCTCAGCAAGTTTTAGTCTCAGAACTCCCAAACCATTGAGTTTAACAAAATTGACTCGGAAATATTTTTTTAAGAAAATTAAATGCTCTACAAAAAAGGTTAAATGAAATTTTCCGTCAGATGAACCATTTCCTTAAAAATTGGTATAGTTTTACATTTTGATCTTTTAACTTTGGAATTTTGCAATTTATGTAAAAATCAGTACCCATAAAAAACCGATAAATATTCCTATGGGAAATCAAATGCTTTACAAAAAAAGCCTATTAACATTTTTGGCTAAATTCACTCAATCAAAAGTTATTCAAGTCAAAACGAAATTCTTTTTTTATGGACGATAATTTGATTTTTTTCTTTATAAATGTATATTATATAACTAATTAACAATTTCCAATAAAAAAAACAACATGATTGTTATTATTTAATAGGTAACAGTGAAAATAATATTTTCTAAATATGTGTTATTTTTTTTTAATTTTTAGAAGTTTTATCAATAACATAAAGATTATAATTTGATAATTATCATCGATAAAAGAATCCAAGATTTTAACTGACCCAAAAAAAATCTAGAGCGGAAAAAACAAGAATTTCGTTTTGACTTCAAATTTAACCTTGAATAACTTTTGATGGAGTGAATTTAGCCAAAAATGTTGACTTTTTTGTAGAGCATTTGATTTCCCATAAGAATATCTATCGGTTTTTTTTTTTCGGGTACTGATTTTTACATGAATTACAAAATCAAGATCAAATTGTAAAACTATACCAATTTTTAAGTCATAATTGTAAGAAAACGGTTCATCTGACGGGAAATTCCAATAAAACCGTTTTTGTAGAGCATTCAATTTTCTTCAAAAAATTTTGTTAAACTCAATGGTTTGGGAGTTCAGAGACAAAAACTCGTTTAGGAAAAAAAATCTAAAATTGCGATGATAGACCTCTTAATATTAATATTATGGACTCAAACTTTCACCCAAATAATATTTTCGATATAATTTACAAAAAAAAATGGTCGATTTTTTTGTCCCAGTCTAGTACACTGTTATAAAAATCAGATTTGTTCACATGAGTTTTTAGATTGTTTATTTTATTTTGTAAAATTTTGACATAATTTTTGGTACAAACCAGGGTTTGTAATTATTTTAACAAAGAACAATATTTTACCGAAACTTTTGTAAAGGTATTATGCAAGTTTGTAAGCATTTTTTTAATTTCATCAGTAAATGTTGTAGTAGTACTTGTGTCCCAAATTTCTTTATAATTATCATCAAAATTATTTTCATTAAGTTCCCAATTTCCAACAAATAATGTTGTTACTAGGTCTACCAAACGGTTTGTAAAAATAAGTTGCTTTTTAAAAATTTCAAGAATTATGGTTAAATTATTGACATCGAAATTCTATGATAGAATTTTGTTATTAAATCTACAAAATGTCTGTTATAATTACAAAATACTTATTTAATTAGTTGATTACAGTTGGTTGTACATTTAACATAAAATCTGGTACATTTGGTTAAAATTAACAAATGTTTTTCTGTGCACCAAGTGTATCAAGAGATTTTATTAATTTTACAACTTAAATTTATTATTAATAACCAGGAAACAAAGTTAACATTAAAAAAACACATAATATCTTACCTTATTTGCAAGGTCAACAATGATCTTCAAAAAAAAAAATAATACGAAGAAAAACCTTGAAATTTACCAAATATGGACAACTAACTAATCTTCTATTTCCGTACATTCTTAATTAGTTTTTACCTTATTTAACGCACACTGCGTAAAAATGACGTAAACACGATAAATAATTAAAAATAATATATATATTAAAAACTTTTGCTTACCTATGAAAATCAGCTGGAACTGGAGCAGTGACAAAACTGGTCATAGGCTTTTTTCTTATAGCATGAATCATCCTCGATAATTCGCTGCTTTTTGAGATCAACTCCGAGCGTGTGCATGTATGAAGTTGGTGCTCTATTTCGTGGAGCAAGTGCTCTAGTTGCTCAGTCTCCTAAAATAAAATATTCAAAGTTTTTTCTAGATGATACCACATAATCCTGAGACCGCAATAATGCGATACCTTTAATCAGAATTCTAAAAAATCATGATTAAAAAAATCAAAAATCAATGACTGATTAAAAAAATCATCAAAAAATTATTTGTTCGATTTTTTCAATTTTTGTAATTATAAGATTGTTTTATTAAAATACTAAAAATAACTTGACTATAATATTATATTGGCACTACTTTATAAACAAATAAACCACCGTCCGCAACTGCAGTATACATGTTCTATATTTTTTTGTATATTCCTTTATTCTTTTATTTAACATAATAAGCAGTTTTTCTATGCATATAAATTTATTTAAATAGTGTGAAGATATTACTGTTTTTTTAGATTTTAGAAACTTTTTTAAAAACTGATTTAAATCATTGATTAAAATAAAAATATCACATGATTTAAATCGTGATTTAAATAAATATAACTAAATTTACTTCTACAGTGTGACCCATTTGTTTACAATCCACCCCTGTAAAATCTTTATTTATTGTGCGATTTTAACCGGATTTGTTTTAAAGTGTATATCTTGATAAACTGTAATTTTGCAAGCACAAAACGCCATATTTTTACAAAATACAAGGCCTACTATGTCAGTTTTTAAGAGTAAATTTTTAAGAAATCATATTAGCGATTTTTTTAAACAAAATCTAAGCACGGCTTAAAACGACCCTTTACTAAATTTTATTGAAAAATTTTAAGTAAAAAAATGCACAATAATAACTACAAAAATTTATTTTGTCAAGTTATCCATGAAAAAAAACATTGAAATAAAATTAAACTAATAGTAGTACTAAGTTATTGTGCATTTTTCTCCTTATAATTTTTTAATAAAATTTAGTAAGGGGTGGTGAATCCAGTGCCATGCTTAGATTTTGTTTAAAAAAATAGCTAATATAAACTCTTAAAAATGTACTCTTAAATCTCGTCTTTTGACCAATAATCGCACACATTATTTTATTCAACTACCGCAAGGTAACCTTACTTTTTTTCCAATTTGAACCTAAAGCATGGAAATTTTAAAATAAACATCATTTTTTTATGTTATGTTGAAATTATACTATTTAAAAATAACTTTTTATGTATATAGGTATATTAATGGGTATATTTATGATTTTTTCTTTTTTTTTGTTTTATTAAATACATATTTATTTTGTTTCTAATTTATATTTATAGCCAGTTTACCTGTCATTTTATGGTTAAATGTAAGAATGAGTTGTAACAAAAAATGTTACAAGTTAAATTTCGCCATTTGAGATTTTTTATTTATTTTCTCAATAAAGACGTTTATTATTATTATTATTATTATTATATTATACTATATATACAAACACAAAGTAATGTTTTTTTAGAATTTAATGTTTTAACCTCACTTTTTCTCAATTATGCCTTATTATTAAATATATTTTAACATTCTTAAATATGATTTTAGAATTTCTAAATTTGACTTGTTTTATTTTTAAATTGGTTTTGTATCGTTTTTAAATTTGTTTTTTAAACTTTTTTAATTGTGATTTTGACATTTTTAATTGTTTTTGGATATTTTTTGTTGTCTTAAGAATTATGAAATCAATGAAAAAAGTTTATTAAAAAATATAGATACAAAAAAATAAATATATAATATAATATAAAAATTAACAAAATTCTTTAATAGTTAAAAAAGACATTTACTTACTTGAGTCAAGGAATCTTTCTGCCCCATCAAAGTTAGTAATTTGGTTTTTAGTTGTGAATCCAGTCTTGCAATCATCAATTCGACAGCATTTCTAATCTCTCTAACCCTATCATCTTTCGCCGATCTAACAGATTCGACGTTTCTTTCCACCTCCTGCACAATACTGATCAATTCCATAAGTCTTCTTCTCAACTGAGCCACCTCGTCCTTGATTTGGGTCACATGCTGCTCGTAAACCTCATCGAGAGGTTTGAAAGTGTGACCTGAATGGGTCCCACCCCATAGGGCGCACTGATGGCATATGCAGCATCGACATGTCCAACAGTACACAGACAGTTTCTCAAAATGAGAAATACACCTAAAAATAAATATTAAATTTTGATTATTATTATATTACAAAAAAAGTCTTACTTGTCTCTGTCATTTTCATCAGTTCTACTGCCATTAAGACTGACAGCTTGCAAAGTGTCCAATTGTTGGGTGACTTCCTCAACCCAGCGGCAATTTACAAGCTCATGCAGATGCAACGAGGCTCTGCAATGGGGACACTGGCTTCTCTGCTCAGTAAGCCATCTCCTAATGCACACATAACAGCACAACTTGGAGCAATGGGGGCATAAATGCGCGTCTCTCAGCTTTTCCATGCAGATAAAACACCTGAATACCTCTGCCAAAGTCTAAAAAAATTCAAAATTTGACGTTTATAACAATTAAATAATTAAGAAGGCGAAAACAAATGAATTTTGACTTACCTCCACGCTGTGATCGTCATTTTTTTGCCCGGATTTGTTTCTCGAAGCCATTTTCGCCGAAGAACTTCACTGCTTTTGTTGTTACACCTGAGTCATATTAAGTTCGCGGACCGTCTGGCCATGCCTTTGTTGTTGGCGAGGTTTGCAAACAAAGGATGGCGAAAAACAACAGTTATTTACGTAAAAATTGTTGTTGACTCGTTTAACAGCTGTCAAAAATTGTTTATTGTCAAATTCGACGCCTTGCGCTAGTCGTTGGTAGATGGCGCTGTTGGTAGTTCAAATGTGACCAAAACCTATATATAGTTACAATGAACCGATGATACGAGGGTATAAGGATAAATAAATTTACTTTTTCGTTTATATTGATGTTTTTAATTTTGTCTAATTACATTTTTAATAATGTGGTAATCGGTACTAGATACTGCTTACTAGATCGCTAGTATACATGAATGTCCTTTATAAAAATCAAGTAGGTACGTTTTCATTTCGGCTTTTTTATTTGATTATGTTGGTAGATAATGTATTTTTTCTACGACTACTAAAAGTTAAGTAAGTAAAAGTCACATTTCGTAATGAAATCGTTGCTTAGAAAACGAATCTTTCCATTGGCAAGGCAAAACACGAATGTAAAGTGACATTTCTGTGTGAAAAGTGACAGGTCTGTGTGAAAAAAAATTGACAGCATCGTTTGACATTCGTTTCAAAATTTATATTGTATTTGTAACTATATGTATGTCTAAATATCATTTAGAACACAATTAATTGTGTTTGTATAATAAATTACAATTTTAGTGCCTCTATTTAAATTGAGAAGGTAAGTTTATTGATTTTAAGTAACTTATACTTTAAAAATTAAAAGAATAAGATGAAAGTAATTTTAAGAGCTGTCAAACACGTTTTTAGATTATTTTGTTTTGTATTTGAATATAATAAAAAAGTCGCTTTTCAACACTTTTTAAATATATTTAAAATAGTTATTTGTTTTACATATGCATACCTATGCTTTATAAAAAATGACGTTTTTCTGACAGAATATGGAAATGTTTCCATATAAAAAATACCCATATAATAATTACCTATAAGTATAGGTACTTACAAGTAAATGGTAGGGTACCCTACATTTTAGAGCTGTTTTAATTAAATTTGAAGCTTGAACTCGTAATAAATGCGAAACAAACTGTGATTTATATTTTCTCTAAAGATTCCTTTACAGCGTTGTTCACATTAAACACAAACGTCAAAGTGGCTTTGTTGTTTCAAATAATTGAGTTACTTCGAAAATAATATCGTGGTGCCTACACACATCGCTGACTCTTGCCCCAGTAAAATTTTCATTTCAGTTAGTGGAAATAATGGAAATTCAATTAATGCAGGAATATCAAATGGCACAGATCTGCTTTGAAAGGGAAGAGATAAACCTGCACAATTCAATATTGTTCACTGGTTATGAATGGGTTTTTTAAACAAATGTGAGTATTTTGTAAGGATTTGTTAACAAGATTTTTAAGGGAATTGAATTGTTAAATAATATAAAAAATATGTGACTCCTAGCAATAAATGATTAAAGATATTTTCTAATTTTCTTAATTTAATATAGTATAGGTAGTACCTACTCAATGATATGACATTAAAATTAAAATTTTAATTTAAAAGTCATAACGTTTTAAAGATACATTGGCAAATTTGTAGAAAATTCAGCTGCTTATTACTGACTTCATAGAAGATTCCGCCATATTTTCCAGTCGTTATTTACTTGCTGAGACAATTATTTTGCCCCCTGTGCGTTTGTCTAAAAGATTTTGGCCTTTGTAAACAAGCCTTGCAGTCGCCGAGTGTTTATTTTGTTTAGGTTGAACGTGCTTAAGTGATTTTTGGTTTAGATTCTTTATTTTTTAATTAAAATACAGATACTTATATATTTATTTACAATATAAAGTTATTAAATTATTTCTAAAAATGCAATAAGAAATAAAACCCTTAGTTTTTTACATTTAAATATATATGTTTAATATACATTGTATATGTATACATAGTTATAACGTAATAAAATATTATTAATATTATTTTTATTAAAAAATATTATAATTCGCTCCTTCTATAAGTAAATAATACACAGTTCAACACGATTTTGCTCCTATGAAAATTTTTAACAGATTTTAAAAATAAAGGTTAAAAACGTACCCGTGTCATACCGTTTCACGAAATCACGTCATTTAAATTTTTTATACAGCCATTCTTATTATTTTAACCTATACAGATTTTGTATTCTCTATTTTGTTTCTTTAAATAGTGTATTTTTTTACATAATACAAAAATTATAAATAAAAAAATAATAAATTTAATTTTGTTTAATTTAAAAAGAAATATTATTTAAATTTTTGATTTTTTTTTTAATAAAACAACTGATCTTGGTCTTTTAGTTTGACGATTATACATTGCTGGTATCACAACCTAAAAAACACCACTTGATATACAGGGCGTTTCTCATTCGTGGTCCATTGGAAGTTTCTGGGGAACGGAAAAAGATATCGATTTGAAATTCCGGTTTGACCGGAAGTTACATCAACTTTGTTATTTCAAATAGAACACCCCATATATTTTTACATTTGTAAATTCTACATAAAATTCTGAGTAAAATTACTAAACCATGTCCTGTACGTTAAGTGAATAGTTTTCGAGTTATTAATTTTTTTCGTTAAAATTTGACAAATGCGCGTTAATCAAAAATGGCCTTTAAACGGACATAAATTATATGCTATTTTTGATTGACGCGCATTAATTAGTCAAATTTTTAGGAAAAAATAATAACTCAAAAACTATTCTATTTAGGTAGATGGGTGAATATACTGAGATGTCCCCCAAGTGAAAATGATTATTTTTTATTTTTGGTTGTTTCACTCTAGAATGGGGTTTTTGGAAAGCGACCAGGTCTAAGAAATCATACATTTTTAATATTAGAGCTTCACGGAAGATAGCTTCACGGACGTTAGGATTTCGTATGTTTTTTTTTTAAACATCCCTTTGTATATTTGAAATAAGTTATTGTATCTTTTGACACCTTAGTATTTTTTCAAAATACATAAAATATTTATAAAAAAATCTACTTACTGAGATATTAAACTTCACGGTGGATAGGTTTTTAAATAGCAAATTAATGAACTTAAACTTTTGAATTATAAAACAGCAACACTCTCATCTGCATATAAATTCTAACTGACCTTCAGGAATCACATGCATCTATAATGTCGTAAACAGAGGTTTTTGCTTATTTAAAATGATTAAAGCGCCATCCGTTGCATAAAATTTAAAGCAATAACAGATTCACGGAGGATAGAATCAATTTTTGTAACACCTACATAAATGGTTATAAAAATTATTTCTTTTAATTTTTAATAATATTTTATATTTGATTCGATTGCTTTGGGTGTGTTTAATTTACTTAGTGAACTGATATTTTTAGTATGCTCTTACTACCTACCTCAGATATGAAAACATATACGAGCCCTAACACAAAAATGTTCGGACACTTCATAATTTATACAGAAATATTTTTCGTGAATACTATCTCAAAATTATTAGAAATTATGAAAAATTCAGCTCATTTTAGCATATACCCCTCGAAGCAATTTTTATTTTTAAAAAGTTTACCTTTTATTTTTAGCTTTTAAAAAAAGGCTAACTTTTAAACTTTTTTTTGTATGAGTAAAAAAAGTTATAAATGGACCCATTAAAAAGAACATAAAATATTATACAAACCCTGAAAATTTGGTAAAAAATAAATTAGTTTTAAAAAAGTAATTTAAAAATGCTATTTTTAAAGAGTTTTGGCAATTTTCTTAGGAAACGGGAGATTTTGCAGATATATATATCGTTATAACTTTCTTATTATTTATACAATTTTTACCAAATTTTCAGGGTTTGTATAATATTTTATGTTCTTTTTAATTTATAACTTTTTTTACTCATACAAAAAAAAGTTAAAAAGTTAGCCTTTTCTTAAAAGCTAAAAATAAAAGGTAAACTTTTTAAAAATAAAAATTGCTTCGAGGGGTATATGCCAAAATAAGCTGAATTTTTCATAACTTCTAATAATTTTGAGATAGTATTCACGAAAAATATTTCTGTATAAATTATGAAGTGTCGGAACATTTTTGTGTTAGGGCTCGGAGGTAAACGTAGAAAGAGTAACAGTCACGGAGGATAGGTTTTAGACTTTTAAAACATTGTAAAAAATAAGTAATTACGGTTAAAAAAGATTTTTTATAAAAATTGTAAAAATTAAACATTTTCTTACTTTAAATAATAAAAAAGGAGCTTTAGAAACTCGGTTAGTTTCAAACCGACAAATTAACAATCCTCAAACCCAAATAATTAAAATCCTTCAACAAAAACCCTTTACAAAAGAAAACTTGAGACAATTAAGATCAACCGCTTCGATTAAGTCGTGCGTACGAAGATTAGAGAAACAGCAAAGTCGCCGGCGGCTGAAAAACTCTTTTCCTGAAAGCTCGGCGATGATCCTGTCGCGAGCGCTCGTGCTCGGCGCGATCGCGCACGAAACACAGGTGGTTTGTGCTCGGCCGAATGAGAGGCAGTCAGTCCTGCTACATGGTTGTGAGCAGCGGCTCCCGTATCGATTCGACGGCGTTTATATAGCCGCGCTTCAGGCAGGAACTACTCAGTTTCAGCAGCATTTCAGGGTTCGGGGTTTTCAGTTTTTTCGCTACGCGTCTATGGCCACGCTCTTTTCGATTGTTTGCTAAGGTGAGTTGATTTAGAAATTTGGTGGTGAGTTGAGGTTAATTTTTCGGTTTTGTGTGCATAGAGGGGGTAATATTTGTTTATTTATGGCTCTAATGTTATTAGGTAGTAGTATACAAAAGGACTGTTTCGTATGTTAAATGTATATAATATATTATACATATTGTATGTAATATTTTTGATTAAAATACAAATGTTAAAAATGCGTAATACAGAGTAAATATATTCTACAGGATGTTCTAAAACCATCAGTCAGATAATATTTTTTAAAGTGTGACGAATAGTTTTTAAGGAAAGGTTTAATACGTTATTTTTACAACATAATTACTATCCAAGCCACAAAAAGATTAACGTAATAAAAACAAATTAAATACCCCATATTTACGTAAAAATAACGTTAAAATGACTTCATGTCTTTAACATTTATATTTTCTTTGTCTCTTTAATTTATATTTCAAAATGCGTAATCTAGAGTAAATATATACTACAGGGTGTTCTAAAACCATCAGTTAGATAATATTTTTATAGTGTGACGAATAGTTTTCAAGGAAAGGTTTAATACGTTATTTTTACAACATAATTACTATTCAAGCGAGAAAAAACTTAATAAAAACAAATTAAATAATTACGTAAAAATAACGTTATAATTACTTCATGTCTTTAACATTTATATTTTTTTGTCTGTTTAATTTATAATATATAAAATGCGTAATCTAGAGTAAACATATACTACAGGATGTTCTAAAATCATCACTTAGATAATATTTTTATAGTGTGACGAATAGTGTTCAAGGAAAGGTTTAATACGTTATTTTTACAACAGAATTTCTATCCAAGCGACAAAAATATTAACGTAATAAAAACAAATTAAATACCCCATATTTACGTAAAAATAACGTTAAAATTACTTCATGTCTGTTCTCTCTCTAAAAACCCTTAACATTTATATTTTCTTTGTCTTTTTAATTTATATTTCAAAATGCGTAATCCAGAGTAAATAAATTCTACAGGATGTTCTAAAACTATCAGTTAGATAATATTTTTATAGTTTGGCGAATAGTTTTCAAGGAAAGGTTTAATACTTTATTTTTACAACATAATTACTATCCAAGCGACAAAAAGATTAATGTAATAAAAACAAATTAAATACCCCATATTTACGTAAAAATAACGTTAAAATTACTTCATGTCTGTTCTCTCTCTATAAACCTTTAACATTTATATTTTCTTTGTCTCTTTAATTTATATTTCAAAATGCGTAATCTAGAGTAAATATATACTACAGAATGTTCTGAAACCATCAGTTAGATAATATTTTTATAGTGTGACGAATAGTTTTCAAGGAAAGGTTTAATACGTTATTTTTACAACATAACTACTATCCAAGCGACAAAAAGATTAACGTAATAAAAACAAATTAAATACCCCATAATTACGTAAAAATAACGTTAAAATTACTTCATGTCTGTTCTCTCTCTATAAACCTTTAACATTTATATTTTCTTTATCTCTTTAATTTATATTTCAAAATGCGTAATCTAGAGTAAATATATACTACAGAATGTTCTGAAACCATCAGTTAGATAATATTTTTATAGTGTGACGAATAGTTTTCAAGGAAAAGTTTAATACGTTATTTTTACAACATAACTACTATCCAAGCGACAAAAAGATTAACGTAATAAAAAAAATTAAATACCCCATAATTACGTAAAAATAACGTTAAAATTACTTCATGTCTGTTCTCTCTCTATAAACCTTTAACTTTTATATTTTCTTTGTCTACTTAATTTATATTTCAAAATGCGTAATCTAGAGTAAATATATACTACAGGATGTTCTAAAACCATCATTTAGATAATATTTTTATAGTGTGGCGAATAGTTTTCAAAGAAAGGTTTAATACGTTATTTTTACAACATAATTACTATCCAAGACAAAAAGATTAACGTAATAAAAACAAATTAAATATCCCATAATTACGTAAAAATAACGTTAAAATTACTTCTTGTCTGTTCTCTCTCTATAATTTAAATTTTAAAATGCGAAATCTAAAGTAAATATATACTACAGGATGTTCTAAAACCATCATTTAGATAATATTTTTATAGTGTGGCGAATAGTTTTCAAAGAAAGGTTTAATACTTTATTTTTACAACTTAATTACTATTCAAGCGACAAAATATTAACGTAATAAAAACAAATTAAATACCCCATAATTACGTAAAAATACCGTTAAAATTACTTTATGTCTGTTCTCTCTCTATAAACCCTTAACATTTACATTTTCTTTGTCTCTTTAGTTTATATTAAAGATGGTAATAAAGTTTACCATAAGTAAAATTAATAAATATAACTTAAAATGACAAAACCAAATTTATTTAGCTTTAAAACTCAAACGCATCCTATCTTATTAATACAAATAGCTATGATATAGATCTAGATCATAAAAATCTATACCCTTTAAATATTATAGTGCCTAAACTAAATATACGACTTATGTACAAAACAAATTATTCTGAAAAAGTTACATAATTATATAGAACACTAAAAAACATTCTATTTGAATAACTTCGTAATGATTGAAAGATTATGTGTTACATTTTTCTAAAACATAATTATATAAATTTTTTATAAATAATTTAATATATATCATATATATTTTAGTTATATTATTCATTTTAAGTAATAAATACTTTTTTATACCACTTTAAATCCTTAAAAATTTCCCAGGCAACTAAAAATAATTTACGGTTATAGTGGTTTTAATATGACGGATGGGTAAAGTTTGGTTTAGAGTAAAAATATTTACGTTAAATTTACCGTTTAAATCCCTTAAAATATTGTAACCTAAGTAAATTTTTTTGGTAACAATTACATTAAACAAACATTATTAAAATACTTTAGGGTTGTGAGACTTTAAAGTTAAATTTATAATAAAAACTTCTAAAATTACTTAACAATATTTTTACTTTTATTACAGTTTTTAAGGTCAATTAACAACATATTTACATAATTTAAGTAATACATAAACAAAGGTCAACTATTTTGATTGATGCTGCTTGGGGATTGTTTAGTGTACGTAATGTGTATACAAATTTGTCAGAAATTTACTAAAATTAAAAAAAGTTCTTTTTACTTTGTCTGTTATAAAAAAACTTTATTTTCATATAAATTTTAAAATTTTTCTTAAGCATGAAAAACATTAAATTAAGTAAATTTTGTTTAAAAAAATGGCGAATGCGCCGGGATAGGGAGCTAAAATCCTACTTAAGCAAATTTAATTATTTATGTTTTACAAACCGACTCCCCAAAAATGAAATAGTCAAAATTCTACTATTTGAATTAGTATTAGCATTTTTTACTAATAAAATAGTCGTTTTCACTTTTACTACGTAAATAGTTAAAGTTTGACTAAATTAAGATTAGTCACCATCTGAGAGTTAAAAGTAACTAATTTCTTTAATCGTTTGCGGCCAACAACAAAGTATTGTTTGAATTAAATGCATATACCTAGGCTCCATGGTTAAATGACCCATAAAAACAAATAAAGATGCAAAAATTTTAGCTCAAAATGGCAACACAAATAATATATTCAACTTAATATTATGAACAATATTTATGAACAATATTTATTGACAAATAAATGATTTTTATAAGAGCGGCTGACAGCCGAATGGGTTATGACAACAGCTTAACAAGTGACAGACCTGAGTTCTATCCTCGGCTGGGTCAAAACTTTTTTTAAATTTAAATCCACTAATTTGACTACCTATTTCATTCAGTAGAATTTGACAAAATATTAGTGACTGCTTTTTCGCTATGACAATTTGTGAAATATGACTTTGACTAATTCATTTTAAGAGAGGATAATATTAAAAATTATTTTTTTTAGTACTCTTAAAAAGCAATTTTTCACGGGATTGGTTGGTGAAGGTCCACGGTTTTGAGAAATTTTTGAATTTTTTTAGGTCCAGATCTATTATAATAAAGAATTGCTTGTTTTTAAATAAACACCCTGTACATATATGATCGTTATGCAGCATAACGATGCACTAAATAATTTAAAACGTTTTCAGGATCGAGTATAACCTCTTTAAGGTTGAATAAAATCGAAAATTTATTTTTAAAACGAACATGTTTGCTAAAGCAGAAGTTTCAAGTTAAAATTATCTTTTCACTCAAGTGTGGGTAACCGATTCGAGCACCAAATTTACCGTAAAAGGATTTCAATAAAACAAAATTGTAAACATGTTTTATTTTCTTTCAAAAGAATTTCTCAGTCTTTTTATGATCCACAAAATATAATAAAATACAACTAAAAAAATATTAAAAATAAAAGTAGCCCTATTTAAGGATTTAACTCTGGCGCATTCACCATTTTTGACACTTACACTGGTTTACTCGTACATCTAAAATGTACATTTTTTTCTAATGTGTTTTTTTGAATTAGTCAAAAATAACTAATTATAAGTCATACTTGACAAATTGTCATAGCGAAAAAGCAGTCACTAATAATTAGTCAAATTCTACTGAATGAAATAGTCAAATTAGTAGATTTAAATTTAAAAAAAGTTTTGACCCAGCCGGGGATTGAACTCATGTCTGTCACTTGTCAAGCTTGTCAAGCTGTTGTCATAACCCATTCGGCTATCAGCCACTCTTATAAAAATCAATTTTATTTGTCAATAAATATTGTTCATAATAATTTAAAGTTGAATATATTATTTGTGTTGCTGTTTTGAGCTAAACTTTTTGCATCTTTATTTGTTTTAAGGGTCATTTAACCATGGAGCTTAGGTATATGCATTTAATTCAATTAATACTTAAAACAATTGTTGTTGGCCGCAAACGATTAAAGAAATTAGTTACTTTTAACTCTCAGAAATAGTCAAAGATGGTGACGAATCTTAAATTAGTCAAACTTTAACTATTTAGGTAGTGAAAAATAACTATTTAAAAGTGAAAACGACTATTTTATTAGTAAAAAATGCTAAGTAGAATTTTGACTATTTCATTTTTAGAGAGTAGTTAATAGTTTAAAACTACATATTAAAAAATCCGAAAAAAGTTAAGAATATTATATTAAGTTATTGATTTTTTATTTTAAACTTGCGAACTTTAATAATAAAACAATAATTGTTGTTTTTTTTTCAGATGCATGGACTGTGTAAAGAAGAAGTGGTGGAAAAGCGTTAAAACTAAGTTAAGATATTCTTAATAGCAAATGACTTGACTGTACGTACAGAGATTGTACCAAATGAATAAACTAAATAGCGATTGCAATGGTCCAATGCAAATGGGTGATATTTCTGTGATAGACAACAAATCCTGGAAAAATAACGAAGTTAACAACGGCTATCTTAAGCAAAGAGCAGGTAACAGATTAAAAAATTAAACGGCTTGATTGTTTGTTTCTTATTTCACGTGAAAGTACTTAATTTTAATTACAATATTTTAAATTAAAAAAAAAAATGTAAAACCACATTTAATACCTTTTAAAATCCTCCTAAAACATTTACATTGTTTTTTATGTTTTTTTTTCAATATTTAAATATTCTAAAATATACAGGGTGTTAAAAAAACAATGTTACATTCATGTTATCAATTTTACCGATGCTTTTTTATTTTTTTTATTTTCGTCAAAAAATTACTTTTATCCGAAATCGGCAGTAAAGTAGTCAACAGTAAAAGAAATCGGCAATAAAGTAGAACTTTACTGCCGATTTAATACGAGTATTGTATGCAACCCATTATACATTTTTAGATGTGTCTACTGCTCCTCATCAGCAACCAAATAATATTAAAAAAAGCACCGTCGCGGAGGTCGATTGGACCCTTTTATAAAATGTTGTTTAGTAAAAATAATAAGTTAATTTTATTAATTAGATTAAAAAATCGCCGCGGCGGGCAAATATATAGTAACCGTCGCTACAAACAGTATACGTAGACACTTCCTACATTCAAATGACATTTGATTTGATCATCAAATGACATTTGATTTAATCATCAATATTAATTATTAGTATTATTAAATGTGATTTCGATTAAATTTAATATGCACCTCGGCATTAAAGTCATTTTTTATCACTCACGTGGTTAATTTCCACATTCGTGATAAAAAATACTTATACTTGATACATAAATGACTATTTAAACCATGCAAATCCCATTTATACGAGAACACCCTGTACATAAATATTAAGTATTATACCTATAACCACAAAGTATAATACCTATAACCACAAAATAATTTAAAAAACTTTTCTCAATGAAATACATTATATAAAAACTTACATCAACATTTACTTCCATTCTATTTGTTTCCAGCTGCTGAAGAATCTCTTTTGGGTAGCGGCGCTGTAAGCACGGTAGTTCAAGTGGCGGGCGGCGGTACTAAAACCATGGTTGTGCCTGGTACTAAGCCTGCTAAAGAAAAATGCCTGGTAGCGACAGTTCTCGCCCTTATTATATTCTGTGGTGTCCTAGTGTTAATTATTGTTGGAAGTAAACAGACGCCTTGCCTAGGTAAGTAAAATGATTAAATGTGTTTTAGTCTAAGACACCATAAATATTTTTGAGGTTGATTTATTATTAGAGGACTTTTTTTATACAAATTTACTGGCATCTTGAATTCTGCTCAAATTACATCAGTAACTTCAGACTTTTACGTTTCCAGAAAATTATGCAATTTAAACAAAACGCATTTTGAAAGTCTGCTCCTCATTAGATGTAGGGTTGGGAAAATTTCACTTTTTGCTTGTACTTGAAATTTCACTTGAAATTTTCATGACATTTATGAAATTTATTAAAATTTCCTAAATTTCTGAAATTTCATAAAATTTATTAAAACTTTCAATAAATTTCAATCACTTTTAGTGTAAATTACACTGTGTAATATATTAATATTGAAATAAGCCCACTCGGGGACCATGGCAAATTGCCTCTCTTACCTCCTACCCCTCTGTGGGCCACTGCACCAATAATATAAATGGTAAATACCTATGTTTACCACAAATTTCTTGAGATTTCCTTTTAAAATATTTTTAAAATTACTAAAACTAAAAGAGATATAGCACTTTTTGGTAAGCTAATGAGATTGTGCCACTTTCATTGTTTTATATTTATATATATTTATTATTTTTAAATATTTTACTGAAATTTTACGAAAATTGAAGAAAATTTATCAAAATTGTATGAGCCAAAGGCATTTTTTATCCGTTTTCCGATGCAATTATAGCGAAAGTAAAAGTTTAAATTAATCATGACTTTTAAAAAAAATTCTGATTTAATTTACAAATTAAATTGGTAACTGAATTAAATTATTTAATTTAATTTAATTTATGCATATAAGTAACAATAATTACTTATAGTGTATTCAAATCCAAGCCGAACAAAAACGCCCAGACGCTTGATAACTCGTTCTTATTGGTCGATTCGGAATCTGTTGTAAATTATTATTAAAGGTCCCAGGGGAGGCCGCATGTAAAATTTATGCGAAATTTTCAGTAAATTGCGAAACTTTCAATGAAATTTCTGAAACTTTCACAGGCAATGTTGAAATTTTCGGATTGAAAATTTCATTTGAAATTTTTCAAAAATTTCACTTTTCCAACTAAATGAAAAATTTCAAGTTTGAAACTTTCAAAGTTGAAATTTTTATTTGAAAATTTCAACTGTCCCAACCCTAATTAGATGTTAAATTTATATAAATGCGATGTTGCCACTGTGTGGTTTTTTGTTTTTTGAATATCTAAAATAACCTGAATCCTATAAAATATTCATCTCGACATCAATAACAACCTTTCGTCATTGAATAAAATATAATTATGGTATCGGGAAAATAAATTAACCAACATAAGTGTGCACGTAAAATTTATGTAGGAAACAGATAAAAATTATTGATATATTGGTAACTAAAAATAACTTGTTTTGTTGGTATACAATTTATTCAATATTTCTTTTACCTATTTTGCGTTCATAATGACTTCATTGTAACACCCCTTTCGGTGCTGTAATATGGTACTTTACCCCACCCAAAATTTTGATTTTATAGGTACTTTAAACAGCATAATATTTTACATATTGGTTATAATATTTTTATGATTTTTCTAGTACTTACGAGACTTTTCTGGCAATAAATTTTGTTTAACACCAAAGAAAATACTTTTTTCTTCTTTAACATTAACAGCCGCTTATTGTAAATAAGTAAATTAAGGACGGCATGGCGAAACGATTTTGACATTAACCCTTCAAACCAATGACTGTGATACCAACTATCTAAAGTAAAATTTGACCAAATTAAATATAAGGTATAAAATTAATTTTTTTTATAGAATTTTTGCAAAATAGATAAAATAGCATAAAGAACTCATGTTGACAAAATGACGTCTTATGACATTATTTCTTTAATATAATAGCCAAGGGTGTCGCCAGCCGGTAAGCTAGGGGGGGCAGCATATAAGAACAAGAGAAAAATTAAAAAAAAAAGTTTTCATAAAAAAAAATAAAAAACGAACAAAATAACTACACACTTTGTTGACGAAATCGTCCAAGTTTTTGAAAATGTGTTGCCTGTGTTCACTTATCATTGCGAGGCCATTGAGTCGAGTTTCAAACATGGTGCTCCTCAACCAGGTTTTGATTCTCCTGAGGCTACTGAATGACCTTTCAACTGTACCAGTCGTACAAGGTAAAGCAACAAGGATCTTTAAAGCCTTCTTAATTTCAGGAAAAAAATCTTCAGTTTCCTTAAGGATGTCCACAACACTCAGTTTATCATTTCAATTAGCAGGGTGACTTGTGAGCGTTAACCTCTAGGGGGGGGGGCAGCTGCCCCCCTGCCCCTCTCTGGCGACGCCCTTGATAATAGCTATTATTAAATTATTTTTTCTACTCCCTACTTTAAAACACCCTTTATCGTACATGTTTCACTTATAAGTGACCTTTTAAATACGCATTGACAAGTTGTGGCTTTATGGCGCTTTAGTCACGGGCTGAAGTTAGTTTTAAGTAAGTTGACAGTTGTCAAATGTCATAAAATCGTTAAAATAAAACGCCTTTCTTGTAAAATAATACTAAATGTGAAAATTAATTTATTATCTCAATACAAAAATACAAAAGTATTAAATAGTTTCTCAACGCCAATACTTAAAAAGTTTATATGAACATTGTACTGACCTTTTAATTTCGCCGGCAGTAAACTATAACTTAAATTCGGGCACGGACTCCACTGTAAATTGCTCATAAAACATTTTCTTTACTTTCTCTTTGAAAAACTGTAAATTTTCAAGAAATACAATTCGATTTATAACCTTTATAATCTGTGTTTATAAAATAAACAATTTGACATTTGACGGTACACAGATTCTCCTATTGTTTCATAGATAGCGCTCTATACAAATTTTTGATTTAAATCATTTTAAGTTAATAATAAGTATTTGTCGTAGAAAAAGTATATTATGCACCTCGTTTATAAACTTTTCTATACACTCATTAATTAAAGCACTCGCTCGCAAGCTAGCTCGTGTCTAAATTAAATTCGTGTATAAAATGGCGTTTATCAAACTTGATACATAATATACTATTTTGACATTAATTTAACTTTAGAATATAATATAATTTTTATTCATTTAAATAATGTCAATTAGTTTGCACAAACAAACAGTTGGAATCAAATCTAATAAACCAAAACATTCCACTGAAAAAATTAAGAAAAAACTTTATTAATTCAATACTCCAAATTTACATCCTTCAACTTTAAATTATTGTTGAGTTATTTTACCGATAAATAAGTATTGATTTTCGAAATATAATATGACATGCTCTTAAAATTATAATGATATCTTTACGTTCCAATAAAAATTTATGTCATGCCATTTAGAGGAATTTTCGTTTGAAAAGAGCGTTTTTCATATCGTGGTGTATTGATCTTGAATTGAAAAAAAATAATATACACTCACCGGCAAAAAAATGTTGATTTTCTGGCAAACCGCTCATTTAATTTTGATGATTTATAAACTTAAACGATGCTATAATATACATATATTTTGATTTTAATTTGTGCATATTCTAAAAAGTGAACCTACAATAAAAAAAACAAAATCAGATTAAAATTGTGGCCAATTTCTGGTGGGAGGTTTTTTGTGGGTGAGTGTAGTTTAAATGAGGTTCGCGAAATTAAAACATTTTAAACGTTTCCTTTTAATATCCTTCGAAGGATATTAAAAAGTGATCTTTAAAGTAAATGCTTGAAGAGTGCAATTGCAATTTTAAATGTAAAAGCAATCTTTCGTCAAAGTACTTAACAAGCCAGAATCTGTGGGGGAAAACGTATAAAATAACTTCCTGTAGCTCAAATTAATTGAAATTTTGCATACTACATTTTATTGAATGTCAGAGTTATTTATAAAATTTGTTTTATCTATTTTGCGTTCATAATGACTTCATTATAATACCGCTTTCGGTGCTGTAATGAGATACTTTATTCCACCCAAAATTTTGATTTTATAGGTTGGCTACTTTAAACAGTACACAGTGGTCAAAACTAAAGTATAGGACAAACAAAAATGCCAACCAAAACTGATAGAAAATCTAATTATAGACTCTTTTGGTAACACAAAAATGTATTTATCAAAATCCCAGCTGATCCTTTATTAAAGTTTTGCATATTTCTTAGTATTTTAAAATTGTTTATGCCATTTCGATAAAATACTCTAGTAACATTATCAAATGTTTTTAAAAATTTGGCAGATACATGACTGAAATATGGATAAATTACATTATAAATACAAAATAATGTAAGATACAGTTTTCAATATCTTATTTATTGTTTTAAGGTATCTAATACAAAACTAATAAATAACTAAAGATTCTTTGAAGCAAAATCGATTACTGCTTGCCTTAAATTTTCAGTAAAACTTTTTCTTGGGTTTTACATGGAATTGTTTTTAACATGGAAACTGTATTTTTAAATTCTTCAGTCTCTGTACAAACATGCTTCTTACATCTAGCGATATCCCCTAGAAAGGAAGAGCATATCAAAACTTTAGTTCGTTCGTCCGTCCTCTTCCCTTAATAATTTTTTATGCCCTTTATATCTTGCCATTTTGCAGATAAATTCTTGGCTGCCGCGAAATTCTCTAGCAATTTCTAAATTTTGAAAATTTAGCAATTGTGGCTATGGAAAAATACCGTTTTTACCATATTGAAGTAGGTAATTTTGAATCACTAAATCAAGTTAAAGTATTCGTTTGAAAGTCTGCAGTATTTTTTATATTTTCTCAAAAACCCTAAACTCTGAATTTTTCGATTACCAAAAACAATTTTGTCTCCACAGCCAGCACATACCTTCTTTCGATTTTCTTCATGGCTTAACTTGAATTTCGGTTTAATTTTCATTTTAAAATACTATTTTTAACTTTATAAAGTATACATTAAATAAACAACTAAAGCAAAATATCACTTGCGTTATAACGTATAGCAATTTTTTTCATAACCACCTTAATTATTGTTTTACAAAATTTGCAAGTTGTAATTATTTCATAGACAAACTTCCAGTTTTTTTTTGTTATAAAAAATATTTAAGATAAATATCTTCGTTTTTTTCGTTGTTTTGTTTTGAGTGGTAAAAAATAATAGGTGACAATAAATTAATACTGGGGTGTAAAGTAATTTAAATGATACAAAGTTTATTATTTTGCTTAATTTTATTAAAATTGTACAAGTAGTTTTAGTACAATAATTGCAAAATAATATATAGAAATAGAAAAACAAAAAAGTTTACAAAACTTTAAAATAGGATCAGCTGGGATTTTAAAAAATACATGTTAGTGTTACCAAAAGGGTCTATAATCAAAATATGCTATCAGTTTTGGTTGGCATTTTTGTTCGTCCTATACTTAAGTTTTGACCACCGTGAGCATACTATAGTATGCTCACGGTGGTAAAATAATATTTTGCATATTGGTTATATAATATTTTTATGATTTTTCTAGTACTTACGAGACTTTTCTGGCAATACATTTTGTTTAACACCAACGAAAATCCTTTTTTTCTTCTTTAATATTAACAGCCGCTTATTGTAAATAGGTAAATTAAGGACGGCATGGCGAATCGATTTTGACATTAACTGTCAAACCAATGACTGTGATACCAACTATCTAAAGTAAAATTCGACCAAATTAAATTTAAGGTATAAAATTATTTTTTTTAATGGAATTTTTGCAAAATAGATAAAATAGCATAAAGAACTCATGTCATAAGACCTTTTGTCGCACTCGTCCATTACAAAACTCACTCCTTCCTATAAATTGTCCGCGTGCGACAAAATGACGTCTTATGACATTAGTTCCTAAATATACTATTATAGCCCTAAAAATATTTTTGTGAGATACTTATTAATTATTTTACAATATATAATTTACGTGTGTCTCGTTTTTTTTAACAAAATACACTATATAATTTCCTTATTGGAGCAATGAAAATCCTCATCTCATCAGAGAAAATCATACCCAGTATCCTAAAATTCTAATGTCTGGGCATGAATTTTAGGAGATTGCATTATTGGTCCCTTATTTATTGATCAAAATTTAAATGGTCAACTTTATTTTTAAATGTTAGATGAAACAACACAGCCACTAATAATAAATGAACTAGAAAATCAAAGATGTTTGTTTGTTTGAATTATTTTGTGTTCTCTAGTTTTATTACTACAACAAAATGATTTAATTTGATATTAATTGTTTAATTTTATACTTATAACGAGAAATTGTAATAAATAATAATATTTTTCAAAAATTAAAAAGTATTGGTTTTAGAACTTAAATTAGCAATTTTCAAAATCTTTTCAATGTGATACAAAGAGGGTTTTACCATTTAAAAAAGTTTCAAGTTAAATGACTCACCCTGTATATGCTGTATTTACCAGTGTTACTTTAAAAATTAAATTACCCTTTAGCCTTTTTCTTTTTAACATTGCATAACATTTCGTTATTTTGCTCTGGTAACTTGTCCTGAACCAGCGCAGACATTTATGTACAAAAGAATATGTTAATCGACAATTTTGTGTCCCCATTACAAAAATAATTCTTTTAGGTACAGTAATTACAAGTTCAAACCATGTAATTATTTTAATTGAAGAAAGAAAACATACAATTCTTATACAATCAATCTTGCCTTAAAAGAACTTTATTAATACAGTGGATTATACACTGACAAACATTTGGGTCATTTCGCTCCAAATTTATAAAATTCAATGGGGTTGAGGCATGCAATTTTTTATCGTACGAGTTTGTTATTGTTTTTTTTCCTACGTTTCTCAAACAATTTTTGAGAACGCTACGGCGTTTTGAAAAACAAGTTTCGAAATGCTTTGATGACCTTGAAGAGAGCGCGTGACGTTGTTTCTAGGTTATGTTCAATATTTTACAAAGTATTTAAATCGTTTGAAAACGAGTACTGAAGATGCGAATTTTTAATTTTAAAATAGTACTATAGTAACTACTCTACAGTGGATAATTGAATTCAATTTAAAAAAATATTTTTTGATTAAAATATACGGATATTAATCAATTTTATAAAATTGGGATATGCTCTAAAGAAGTATCGCTAGTAGCGCCACCACACGGCTTTTATCATCGTAACAAAGTATAACTTTTGATAATCAGCTGTCAAACGCGTGTGTTACAAACGAGTGTTTTTGAGAAAAAAGCCGGAAAATGTTAAAAAAATATCGAAAAAAAAACCGTGGCACGATTTGTTGTGTTGTTGGGTGTATTTCGAGAGGAAATCCTGGGTTAAGTTTTCCAATAAACAGTGTTAATCCGAATAAAGAAATAAATTTCATGCTGTCCCTGTAAATATAAATTGTATCTATTATAATAGGTACCTATAGGTACAATAAATACACATTTTAGTAATGATTAACGTGAGAAGTGTAAACATTTCAATTTAGTAATACCTAATCGTCAAACAAATAAGTCGTCTAAATTTAAACAGCATTTAGCATTATAAAAAGCGTTGATTAAAATTTCTTTAAAGTCTCCACTCAACAGTAAAATACCATTATATTATGTATTATATATAATATTATGTTGCCATGAATTCGTAGGTGTATTTTGTTGTTTAAAATGTAGTTGTCGGCGTTTTTTAGAGAACCCAAATATAAAAATGGTTGATTTTAAGGTTATGATTGTGCAAAAATTATTTTTTACTAATTTCTTAAAAATGTCCAAAGTAAAATATAAATTATATTAGGTAAAGTTATCATTAGTTAATTCTGCACCAACAAATGTACTTACCGAATTGGATCCTTTGACAAAACATGAAAATGCAACGATTTAGTTGAATTTTATTTACAATTAAAAACACAATAATTCACCATGATCCCTTAGATAAAATACACACACTAACGTATCTATACAGGGTGGTCCAGGATTAATCTGAAAAATTTTAATGATCGATAGAGCCTGAAAAAACAATAAAAACAAACCCAAAAACATTTTTCAAAAATGAATACTAACGGAGATATAGTCCTTCAAAATAATTTTTAAACCATTAAACCGATTCTTCTCAAATTTTGTGTAGGTTAAGCTTCCGTCGATAATATAATGAAAATTTTCTACAAAAGGCCCAGTGGCGGAGATTTTGGGAGGGGTTTCCCCTTTTTACCCTCATATTTTCGACGCCACTGGATTTTATTAGAAAATCATCAGATTTATTTTTATCCTTTTTCAATCTAAAAGCAAAACTTTTATGTTTATTTTTTATCAGATCAACGGAGATATTTCAGTTTAAAATTTCAAAAACACTGTGTACACGGAACTTTTGTTATTATTTTAGTAATAAAAAATTATTTTTTTTTCTGAACGATTGTATTGGGCCAATAAAAATTTACCAATGAAATTATGGAATAATCACTTTCAATAGGGTGGTTTTTGGGTTGGTTTAATTTTGTATTATAATACAATTAAATTATTAATTACAGACGTTGATTGTAATCCTCAATCAACGTTACAATAAAAAACCTAAAAATATGACGGGATCAGTAACAACTGCACGATGACTCCTGGACGCTAGTTTATTTTTATAATATTTTATAAACTGATAACGTAGCATAATTGTTACCAAGTTACCTATTTAAAATAAAATATGATAAAATTCCGTGTACTCGGTGTTTTTGAAATTTTAAAGTCTCTCTTATGAAAATTTAACACACAAGTTTTGCTTCTAAATTGAATAAGAAATCTGATAATTTTCCAATAAAATCCAGTGGTGTCGAAATATGGGGGTAAAAAGGGGAAACCCCCACAAAATATCCGCAGCTGGGCCTTTTGTAAGAAATTTTACCTAGGTACACAAAATTTGAGCAGAAGTTATTTAAAAAAAAAACGTTTTTTTGCCTTTGAAGGGCTATTAGTGTGTTAGTGTGTATTTTTTAAAAATGTTTTTGGGTTTGTTTTTATTGTTTTTTCAGGCTCTATCGATCATTAAAATTTTTCAGATTAATCCTGGACCACCCTGTATAAGCATTTAAGCGTTGAGTTTCTTAATCAATGAAATAAAGAATAATCAATCGAAATCGAGTACTAAACCAGTTTTTTAGTTTTTTCCTTGCAACGTAAAACACAAATAACGTGCGCGATTTAGCTGTTCAATTGAACTAAATTTGTCGAGTAAGACTTCTGCCTTCCTCTCTTTTGTGAAAAAACTACATATTTATTTAAATATGATGTACAGTTCGTATACTTTAAATGTATTGTTGACAATTCTTAAACTTCTTTAGCGTATTGATCAATATAATGGATGTAAATCAAAAGTATAAAAAATAATCTCTAATTTTACATTTCAGATACAAGGAGGCCAGTGTGTTTAACGGAAGAATGTGTACGAACAGGTAATAATTCTTATTTAAATCTTGTCAGTAATTAAGTCGAGATAATTTTCATTTAGCCCCCCGGCAAAGATATCGGTTTTAATATTAAGCGGGTCCTGAATTAATTGCGTTAATAATTGCTCCCGGTTTTCCTATAAATTTGTTACGTTTCTCGGGCGCACCGCCGACAACTTTAAACCGCAAATTAAAAAGTAAATTTCAATTAGGTGGGTTAATTGAATTTTAAATAGGTACATTTAAAGGGTCACGCAAATATCACAGAATTTTTAAATGCGCTTTTTTACTGGGCAGGGCCGGCTCCAGGAGCGTACTTTTGGAATTAATGGAATTTTTAATGGATGTAGATTAGCCCACTGTGCAAGCATATTTTGCGTCAGTTGTCATATTTCAGGAACAACCTGTGGCGGACCAAAATTTCTAATTTAATTATAAAAATTTTACTGATTTTTTTATTAAAAAAAATGGCACTAATGCAAAAATTTATTTGGCGTGTACTATCATCTTCTTAAAGGATGAAAACTTATTTGGTGACCATATAGTTCATAAACTTTTGCTTAAAAAGTTATTTTTGTGAAAAATATAAACTATTTTCCAAAATTTTATAAAATACATACCAAATTATTTTCAATAAAACTTTTTCTTATCAGTTTTATTTAAGAAATAACTTTCTACATAGATTCACAGCTAGATAATTCTGCAGGTCTTTCATACTATATAATAACTTGGATAAATAAATAGATAGATAGTTTATTGATGTTAATTTCAAAAGTTTACACACGTCAAATGTACTTTTCGAGGTATATACTTTTATACTGACTGATACTGACTCGCCGAGCGCTCTAGCAGTGTTGCCAACACAAAATCTATCTAGGAGGTAGATATGATTTTAAAAGTTGGTAGTTTCCAACAAATCTTACTTTAAAAAGTTTGTAGGTCTACCATCTATATTTTTATTCTAGAGGAATCTAATGAAACCAATGATAACGCAGAATTACAGAATATTCTAAAAAGTAGTTTAAATTGCAAAATATTTCATCGGCTGGATACTTGAGGATTTTAAATGTTATCAGGGTAAAAATATAAGAAAAAAAGTATAGCTTTTTGTTTTTTTTTATTCTTTAACAAAATACATATATTGACTTTAGTAGGTGTAGATAGGGACACAAAGTTTAATATTTTTCTCAGTTGTAAAAGAAAGCTTAACAGTGAAATAATATTTCATATTATGTAAGACCTATATGGCTGAATATATTGAGATGTACCCAAGTGAAAATGATTATTTTTTATTTTTGGTTGTTTCACTGTTAGTCTAAAATGGGGTTTTTGGGAAGCCACCAGGTCTAGTAATAACATAACATAAGTGATTCTGCACTAATGCAAGAATTTTAAGAAATCATACATTTTGAATATTAGAGCTTCACGGAAGACAACTTCACGGATGTAAGGATTTTGTATGGTTTTTTTTAAACATCCCTTTGTATATTTGAAATAGGTTATTGTATCTTTTGACACCTTAATATTTTTTATAAATACAATTGTACATACATAAAATATTTATAAAAAAAAATCTACTTACTGAGATATTACACTTCACGGTGGATAGGTTTTTAAATAGCAAATTAATGAACTAAAACTTTTGAATTATAAAACAGCAACAATTTCATCTGCATATAAATTATAACTGACCTTCAGGAATCACATGCATCTATAATGTCGTAAACAGAGGTTTTTGCTTATTTAAAATGATTAAAGCGCCATCCATTGCATAAAATTTAAAGCAAAAACAGATTCACGGAGGATATAATCAATTTTTGTAACACCCACATAAATGGTTATAAAAATATTTCTTTTAATTTTTAATAATATTTTATATTTGATTCGAATGCTTTGGATGTGTTTAATTTACTTAGTGAACTGATATTTTTAGTATGCTTTTACTACCTCAGATATTTGAAAACTTATAGAAAGAGTAACAGTCACGGAGGATAGGTTTTAGACCTTTAAAACATTGTAAAAAATAATTAATTGCGGTTAAAAATCTGGAACCTGAGCTGTAATATCTACTTAATTATGAAAGATCAAAACACAATAAAAGTGTAAGTCAAACTTATTTAGTTTTATTAAATATCACGGGGTAACACCATTTCGTGAGTTTAACCCATATAATCAAAATTTTTATTAATGCTTTAGTGCATTCCACCCTTAATCCGGCACTGTATGTAAGTATATTTTATACACACGCGACATAGTAAATCTTTTAGACAGCTTTAGCACACTCGTACAGAAACTTCTGACAAGAGAGTGTTCTTAAATTTTTTACTTTATTTGTCTTTTTGCGTTTATACACGATATTACATAACGAAAAATTCCCTCAAATATTCAGTATCCTAATAAAAATGGTACTTTTAGTTTAATTGTTCGTAACTTTATTAAAGTAAAGCGGCACTCAGGAAGAGCTCGCAACTAATTTCTAAATTAACGGAGTTACATCAACTCAATTACATTAGTCCCTTTTCATTAGCAAAGTTTATCTGTGTTGAGTAAACTAATTAATAGGAATGGTTTTCAACACTGACATTTTTTAAATTTGATTTTATTGTTTTTTAAATTTTCTTCATATACAGGGTGTCCCAAAATAAACAGTGGTGTCTTTAAAAATGAAATACCTCTTGCAATTTTGCGAATTCGAAAAAATGGTAAGGGAAATTTTGCCTTAGATTTTTTCAAGGAATCGACCCTATAGATTAATACACTTTTATCTACACGCGGTCTATAATTTAAACTTTATTGTTGTCAACATTCGATAAAGAAATACCTTGTTATGGCCTAGGCCTATAAAAATTTTTATGAGGCAAGTAGTTTTGACAAATTAATCCTTTTCTAAGAAATTAACGTACTAAACTGGTTTAATTTATTTATAATAAGCACTAATTTGTTTGTTTTACTGTTAATATTTTTCATTAAATTATTGTAAAATTAAATATGAATAATAAAACAAAAAGTGAGGTTAGGCAACCAAGAAAACGCACGATTCTTTTTCTAAGATTTAAATTATCTTTAAGTTGTAATTTGCTTTAAGTTTTCAGTGAAATTAAACACAGCTTAAACAGTCCAAACTACCTATTTTTTTAAATAAAAATCCAAACAAATTGAAATTAGCTACCTACCTATTTATTAAACAATTAATTGAATTTAATGTAATAGCAAAAATCCATTTCTACTAAAATCATGTATAGGTATTGTCAAACTATTCTAAAAGCAATAATAATTATTGTACATGTAATGTAATCTTTAGCTAATAAATAAATGATATTCTAAAAAAGTGAGGTTAGGCCGCTTTGATGTTGAATTAAATTGACCTATATAAAGTGCTTTGAAGATAAAATGCCATTCGGATAAGAAGAACCTTTTTGTGCTTCGATCAATTGACGCGTTTCTCGGAAAAACATCATTAGTCCAAAATTAACATATTTGGGAAAATGAAAAAAACTCTCCGACATTCCCATTTTTGACCAAAGTACTTTATTGACCTATTTACTACATGTAAAAAAATGTAAGATACTTTGTCCAGAATTCCTCATGTTTGTATTTTCAAACGAATATGAAAAAAACACAAAAAATACATGAACATGTGAGGTTTTTAGAAGAAAAAAACAAACAATTCTCCTTACTACAAACACTACAAACTAAATACTAACTCTGAGTAACAAAATGAATGAAAAAACTAAAAACTGTATTACTGCCACACTCAGTGTTCGCATCCACAGCTGTTATCATCGTTGTCGACCGTGTTATCAGGACTGTCAGGTGCTATGGTCTTCTGCTCTTTTATCAAGTTATCATAAAATTTTCTATTGCTGTGGTAATGTAAAAGAGGTAGAAGCTTTTCTAGAGTGTCCAAAAACGTCACATGTTGTGTACATGTGACTTTCTTAGACAAAACGGAGTGGACTTGTGATGTTTTTAGAAGAACAAGCTAAATTTCATATTTAATTATTATGGAACCTATGACATTTTTACGAGAAACACTTATTTGTATACGTATATATGGAGGTTAGGAAACAGTTGGTGCTAATATCTAAATTTCAACGATATTGGACCTTGAGCTTAGCACAAAAAGCCTTACTTCTTAACCTAATGACATAAATAACTATTTCATTATCGTGTAGATAGTTGTCTTGGTTCAAAAAACTGTTTTTTTCTTCTAAAAATCATCATCTAACTTTTGGCAAAATGATTTTAAACTTATGGTGAATCATTTCAGCGTCTTCTCTGTTATCCGCGATGGATTATGCTGCAGATCCGTGCGTGGATTTTTTTCAATACGCCTGCGGCACATGGAACAAGAAACATCTGATTCCCGAAGACAGAAGCTCGATTAGCACGTTCGAGGTGATGGCTGATCAGCTTCAGGTTATACTTAAAGGTGAGCAGTTAATAAGGAAGTTTGTCGTGAAATTTTACTCGACTTATTTGATTGCCAAAGTTTTGGATAATAACCTTTAAAAGATTCTGAAGTTTGCATATTTTTTATATTTCTATGTTAATTTTTTTTACTCTAATCTAAGTAAAATAACGTTTTTATTGAATACAAATAAACCAAATATTTAACTAGTTATTAATATTACTTATAAGTTAAAAAGTAGGTTATTTTAAAAGTTACATGATGTTATATTAACTTCTTATTTTAACCTTTGAAAATGCTTAAGACTAGATATTTAATATATTGGTTTAGTTTAACTTCTGATATAACTTTTTGGTAAATTAACCACTCTTTGGTTAATTTGGGTATATTTTTTTAACCAACAAGTTATATTTTACCAAATATATTAACGTTAATTAATTAACTGGTTAAAAAGTGATGGTTTTGCAATTTTCATTTTTACCTGCCTAGAAAAATTCTAGCTACAGCTCAATATACAGGGTGAGCCATTTAACTTGAAACTTTAAAATATCTCAGTTAGTATGCCTTTTATGAAAAAATGTTTAAAATAAAAATTAAATGATTCAATCAGTACTAAAATTGGTCCTCATACTCTCCTCCTTATAGGGGAAACAGGGGGTAAATTTCCAATGGAACACCCTATTTTTATTGCAGATTCGGATCATTCAACTAAAAATAGGTAGATTTTGTCTAAAACATTTTTTCATAATTGTAATAGATGGCGCTGTAATGAAAAAAAAAATAAATTTTCCCCAATAATTTTTGAATAAAATACTTTTTTTTTAATTTATTTATTTTTTAAATTTTAATTAAAAATAACAATATTTGCTCGACGAACTCTTTTTTTCGGTTGAACACTCCCGTTTGTAGTAAACTGCTTGGCTGTACGGTGAAATGAAGTACGTGATCGAATTTTTTCCGGAAAACGCTGAGCGTAGTTATTAACAGCATCATCAAGATTCCTGCCTGCTTCTCCATAAATCAAAATCATTTTTTCTTCCACTGTTAATAAATCAATTATAAATAACTGCTTAACAAAAGGAAGTCTTTTTGTTTGCAAATTAATCTTCGAACTTAATTGATTAAATAATGCTAAACTATGTATAAATAGTTTCTTTATACCTCAATAATAATTATTCTTTTTAACTAAATACCAATTAGAATTAAATTAATTAATTGACAAAATAATGTTTTTTTACCTTAAATGAGGTATTTTTATTAAAAATAGTACAATAATCCTTTAAATTAAAGGATTTTATGCTGGCAGGTAAAAAGTAACCATGGTGCGCAATTGATAATTATCACGAATGATCCGAATCTGCAATAAAAAATAGGGTGTTCCATTGAAAATTTTAAAGTTACCCCCTGTTCCCCCTATACATTACTGATAGGTATTAAATACAGCAGTTAAATTAAACACAATAAATAACCAAATGGTTTAAATAAACTTGCAGGTTAATTTATATTGGTTATATAACCAATAAGTAAAAGCATCGTAAAATCGCCATATTGTTTGCTGTCCAATGCAAAAAAAGGAAATGCCATTAATTTTAATAATTTTTTTTATTGCAAAAATAAGGTAATTTAAGAAAACCAATAATAAAAAATAATATTATATATGTTTAAAAGTATTTTAAATCAATTTTAAACGAAATAAAGACGAAATTTTTTTTTATTTCTTATTTATTTTAAAGCGCATTTAAAATATGGAATTATTATTTACTACTTCATCAGAAAGGTTTTGTATTTTCAAAATTAATTAATAAAAAATGTTGGTGGCATATCGGGTTATCAAATAATGAAATTTCAGGCAGCAAATATGTTTTCATAATAAAAATGATATTGAAAAAAAAATATTATGATGTTATTTTAATTAAGTGTTCTTGTTTACATTTGTAAATAAAAAAAGTATTGGACCTTTGATCTTTAATAACTTTTTAACGAATTAGTTTAGCAAAAAATCATAAGAGACCTTTTTTGTAGAGCGTTTAATTTAATTTAATGTTATTCTAATGAAAAATCTAAAGTGTACACGTGTATATTAAATATTAACATTATTGACATTATTTATGTAGGTATTCTTTTGAAATTAAAAAATCGACAAAAACTTAAAAAAATGGCGAATGCGCCGGGATATTTTTTAAATAATGTAATTTGTTTAGTTTAGAATCTTTAAAAATATATTTCAAACTAAATTTGGCATTTTATTAAGTCTAAATCTCCAGACAAACAAACTATACCTTGTTTGTTTCATTTTAAAACATTTATTTATTATGCAATAAAAAAATAAGTTCTAAAAAGATAACACATCCTTTTTCATTGTCCCGAGCAGGCGTCCTGGAGGAACCCATAAATTTGGAGGATAACGAGGCTACAAGGAAAGCAAAAACTTTTTACAACACCTGCATGGATATTTGTAAGTCAATTTATGTTCTCACTACCGTAATCAGCTGATAATAAATAAATTGTCGAAAAAAGTAAAAAATACACGGAAAAAAGCTACGAGGTGTGTTCAGAAACAATCGGGAATTTTCGTTTTTTGAAACAAATATTTATTTATTCGTCTACATTAATGTTGTCGCCTTCAAAATAGTCCCCATTGAATATTATGTACATGTACCAGCTCTTCTTCCAATACTCGAAACACTTCTAAAACTCGATCTTTGGGATAGCCTTTAGTTCTTTCAGCGATGCGCTTTAAATGTCATCTATGCTTGCAAAACGACGGCCCTTTAAGGTTCTCTTTATTTTTGGGTATAGGAAAAAGTCAGACAGAGGCATGTCTGGCGAATATGGAGGCTGGGGCATCATTACAGTATTGTTTTTGGCCAAAAATTTTGTTCAAAATTTAACAATTTTAGAACAAATTTTGCTGCCACGCGTTTCAAACCCAAAATATTCGAAAAAATTTCATGGGATGAGCTAATCGATATACCAACATCATCAGCGACTTCTCTGATGGTTTATAACCATTTCTTCCTCTTTTTCCATGTTTTTATCGGTTGTTAATGTGCTTGTGTGTTCGGGGCGTTCGTCATCTTCAACGTCTTCACGGCCATCTTGGAAACTCGTATACCACTTGTAAACTCTTGTTTTACTTATAGCAGATTCACTATAGGCCTTTGTTAACATTTCACAGAATTTATTTCATTTTTTAAGCAAAATTGGATACAATTTCTTTGATCCATTTCTTTTAACGAAAGAAAAATCGCCGAGCTCATAAAACACGTCTAACCTTAGCGGCTGCCACAGACAAAGTAAACAATGAAAACATCTAAAGTTTTTATCATACTTCGGGGGCATGTATACCAACATAATAAAGAAAATTTTATGACAACCGGACCCTCTGAACCCGCGAAATTTAACAATTCCCGTTATTTTCTGAACACACCTCGTATATAATATATACTGCAATGATTTTTTCAAACCTTCACACACGTTGATTTTGTTTGCGAGACGGAAATTTTTTGGCTATATTGGCCTGTTTAACCAAAATTTTTATTCGTTCCTTCAATCTAGAGGTGAAATATATATATTGGCCGAAGAATCACATAAAAAACAATTATGTATACATAATTGTTTTTTATGTGATTCTTCGGCCAACCTAATATCACTCAAACATCTAAAATTCAATACATAATACTACACACAAATATAATTATGAATTAATTATTACCTACACATACATTTGGTGGTTAATTCTATCAAATTCCACTAATTTAGCAGCCCTTTCATAATTCCAAACCAAATATTAACTAACACAAGATACAATCTTCCAAAATGTCGGACACTTTCGTGAGTGGGGGATATTTTTAACAATAGGCCAGTCGTAAAAATATTTACTAATCTTAGAATAAATATAATTGTATTTATATCCAGTTAGTTTTATATTTTTAAGAACAGAATAGAGGGAATTTTCCAAAATTTGGTCTAATCGATTGTTAATCTTAAATTAAGAATGAGATTATTTCATTTAAAGTCTTTCTTGATATTTAACAGGCAAGAATAAGATCTGCTTGTTTGAACTTGAAAACTTTGAAGAAAGATTAATATTTAGTTTAATGTTAGTTTTAGCCTTGTATTAACTGTACTTGATTTTAGGCTAGGAAATATTTTTTTTTAATTTAAGGATAGGTTAATATTTAAGGGTCATTTTCAAGAAACACCCGCTTTCAGAAAAATAAAATACTTGTATATTGCGTGTAATTTTCCCTTGGATGTAATCTATATTATGAGTTGTAATCACAAATAATTTTAAATTGGTTTATCATAAACTACTTTTAATAAAAGCAACGGTAAATTTCCACTTTGTTGTCGAAAAATTCTATTGCGTTAAATTCCATTGCGTTACCATAAGGTAACAGTAGACTCGGTAACGCAGTGGACAAAGTTTTGTAAAACCATATTTAAAAAATAATAATAAGACATTACAGTCATTAATTACTTTCAATGAGCTTTAGTGCTTTAAAATAAACATAAAAATGAAAAATAGTATTTTTTCTTACCTTATTTTTATTATTTTTTTGAGTAACTTAGCGGACAAACAATTATTACATTCGCGTTACCCGCACCTGTTTCAACCGATATCTTTTTCCTGATTGAATAAATAAATTCAGCTGGGTAATGTGTACGTCCGAACATCATTTGTTGATCACGTGAGTGCCAAAAAAGTTGCCATATATATGTTTTTTTAAATATTCTATCGGTAACGCGACGGACGTAACGCAACGGAAAAAATGTCTGGGACATGAGTCAAATTTAAAAAAATTAGATTAAAATTAATTATTTTATATGAGTACATTAGATGCACAACTCTGTATTTGCAGGATAAGTGATTTTAAGAAAAACATGAAAAACCGCTCATAAGATCATTTTTGAAAAAAAAAAAGCAAAAATTGTATAGACGTGCTTTTGCATCATTTTTATTCAAACGAGTAAAAAAAAATCCTTTCAAATTAGGTATTTTACTAAATAATTGTATTCAGAAGTTTTAAAAACATAGTTTTGCATCTTCCTCGTTCAAAGACCAAGTTTTGCAAGTGAAAAGTGCAAATACCAAAAAATAACAATTAATCAGGTGATTGTTATAACAATTAATCAGGTGATTGTTATGTCGTCAAATAATGCGTATACTAGCGACGTGATTGGTCAACAGTAAATACCGAGTTTTGCATCCGACAGGAAGAAACAAATACCCAGTTTTGCATCTGCGTTAAGTTTTTAAATGTATTTTATTCTACAAATACTAACTTATACACCTGGTTTACTTAGGTATTATGTAGGCAGTGCAGTAATGTACAAAAATAGGATAAAATATATATTTTTAAAAATTTGCAAAAACCGAGTTTTGCATTTAATGTACTCATATATAAATTGTTTACTGTATTAACTAAGGATGTTATGGATTGCTATAAAGCAACACAAAGTTCAGGTTATTCAATATTTGAAAAAAAAAACATGTATGTAAGTTTTATAAAACGCTAATGGGACATGCGAAAATGTGTGTTTCACAAGTTTCAAAATTAAAAAAAAATATTCTGAAATAACTAAACAAACATTTTCTGAAAGAGTTTACTAAGGGCTTGTTAGGCTTTCACTTGGTTTTTAAATTAATAAGATCCGATCATTTTTAACAAAGTTATTGGAATTCAAACTTACGGACAGCGGAAGGCGGGTGTTTTTTGAAAACGACCCTTAAAAGAAATTTAATGTATTCGTAGCCTAAGCAAATTATACTTAAATCAAGTTAATTTTTTTAAGAATAAAGGTATTCTTACATTTAGAAAGCATTTTTTCCGTGTAAATTAATTTAATTTAAAATTAGAACACTCAAGAATATCCTTTTAGTTCAGATTCGTAAAATCGGCGACATGCCAATAAGAGACGTGCTGGACATCCTCGGTGGATGGCCTGTGACGAAAGGTCCGAACTGGACGCCCCCCGACTTCAGCGTGGAAATTTTGCTGGGCCGGATACGGGGCATCTACAACGAGGGCGTCCTGGTGGAGCAGTGGGTCGGCCCGGACGACAAAAACTCCTCAGTTAACATCATCCAGGTGGGCGCAAAGTAAGAATTAGGTAGCTGTATCGAAGATATTACCTATACAATAATTGAACCGAAAATGTGCAGCTCAAAAGTTTTACTTCACCAAGTTTATTTATGTTAATCTAAAACCACTTTTTGTCCTTTAGATGGATCAGATGCAGTTGGCTTTACCAAGTAGGGATTATTACTTAAAGAAAAGTAGTGAAGGTGATATGACCGCTTATCATAAATATATGACCAATATAGCCGTTCTACTGGGTGCCAATAAAACCAGTGCCAGTGAGGAGTTGGAGCAAGTGGTGGAGTTTGAAAGAAGACTTGCTAATGTAAGTAATATAAAAATTTTCAGATATACCTAACATGATTAATTGTATTTATTTTACATACTCAGCTATTTTTAAGTATACTTTGAATAAAACAATACATATTTTTTATTTTGATCTAATAGAGCAATTTCAAGATATAAAATCCTATTAGGCCTATTCCTTATTTCGTTCAATTAAATGCAAAAACTATTTATATTTAACTTCAAGTATTTTAAACTCGATATGTTTTCAAAATTGCTTTTAAAATCGAATTTAAACCAATAACTGTCAGTCAACGTCAAATTATCCAGACGCGTTTTCGTATACTGGCGCGTTAGGTAACATTAAAAAGAAATTTATATCCCACATATTGCTCATTCAATAATCCATTAACAGATTAATGATGCATTTGCCAATTTAAATCAAACGGTTATCAACTTAAATTAATTGTGGGGAAGTGAATTATGTTGATCGTCATAAAATCCATTTAAATTATTCGCAAAATGTGGTTCATCAATCACTGATTAGAAATGGCGTCTACTGTCTTACTATTAAATGTATCTATCTAGGATTTATTGGTCTAAATATACGAATACATTTTAAAAAAGATAGTTTAGTGGGTAGAATATTTAATTTAGCTTTTTAACAAATTTTTTAATAAACTGTGAGAATATACGCTAAAGAAGTATCGCTAGTAGCGCCACCACTCGGCTGTTATCATCGTAACAAAAGTACAACTTTTGATAATCAGCTGTCAAACGAAAAAAAACCGTGGCACGATTTGTTGTGTTGGGTGTATTTCGAGAGGAAATCCTGGGTTGAGTTTTTATCGGTTTTCCAATAAACAGTGTTAATCCGAATGAAGAAATAAATTTCATGCACTCCCTGTAAATATAAATTGTATCTATTAGATACAATAAATACACATTTTAATAATTAACGTGAACAGTGTAAACATTTCAATTCAGTAATAATCGTGAACAAATAAGTCGTCTAAATTTAAACAGCATTTAGTATTAATAAAACCGTTGATTAAGAATTCTTGAAAGTCTCCACTCAACGGTAAAATACCATTATATTATGTATTATATAGAGAACTCAAATATAAAAATGGTTGATTTTAAGGTTATGTTTGTGCAAAAATTATGTTTTACTAATTTCTTAAAAATGTCCAAACTTAAATATAAATTATATTAGGTAAAGTTATCATTAGTTAATTCTGCACCAACAAATGTACTTACCGAATTGAATCCTTTGGCAAAACATGAAAATGCAACGATTTAGTTCTTGAATTTTATTTACAATTAAAAACACAATAATTTACCATGATCCTTTTGAGAAAATACACACACTACCGTAACTATATAAGCATTTGAGCGTTGAGTTTCTTAATCAATGATATAAAGAATAATCAATCGAAATCGAGTACTAAACCAGTTTTTAGTTTTTTCCTTGCAACGTAAAACACAAATAACGTGCGCGATTTAGCTGTGCAATTGAACAAAATTTGTCGAGTAAGACTTCTGCCTTCCTTTCTTTTGTGAAAAAACTACCTATTTATTTAAAAATTATGTACAGTTCGTATGCTTTAAATGTATTGTTGACAATTCTTAAATTCACGCAATGCTTTTAAAGTCCACCAGATGGAAAACCTATATTTTAACTTTACCTTTTTTCAAATTTGACCCCAAAACAAGTAATTTTAGATAGTTTAGTAAAAGGGATATTGATTTTGTCTTTTTACAAAGTATTTAAGAAACTGAAATAAAAAAAAACTCAACAAAGTTGTAGGATGACAACTAGATAAAGCACTACCTCATTGGAGACAATACAATATAAAATGTTTGTTACAAAATAGTTTTATATCAAAATTTCTGAGTAAAATACTATATCATGTCCTATAACTGTAACAATTTAATAAACGAACAGTATTTTAATTAACAATTTTTATTACTAAGGGCCGGTTTTTCAATCGTTGGTTAAGTTTATCTTACGGTTAATTTCCTTAGATACAATTGTTAACACAATAGTATCTAAGAAAGTTAACCGTAAGATAAACTTAACCTACGATTGAAAAACCGGCCCTATATGTTTAAAGTGTCCTCCATTAGACATTGCTTTTCTTGGGTAAAATGGTTTATTAAATTGTTACAGTTGTAGGACATGGTATAGTAATTTTACTCAGAATAGTATTTATAAATAAAATTCTGAGTAAAATTACTACAGAATTTAAAAATGTGTAAATATATTGTGTTAAACGCTTTTAAAATTTTAAATCGATATTTTTTCCATTCCCAAGAAACTGCTAATGGACAACAAATGTGAAACACCCTGTATATTATAGACCCTTTGAAATCAAATATGACCCCAAAATAGTTATTTTTAGATAATTTAGTAAGAGGAATAGTTAATTTAGCTTCTTTATAAAATGCTTAACAAACTATAGACCCTCTAAAATCAAGACCTACATTTCAGTATTACCTTTTCAAAATAAGACCCCAAAACAAGTTACTTTAGATGTGTCTAATGTTAATTGTTTTGGGGTCTTACTAAAGGTTAGTAAAAGAAATATTTGTTTTAGTTTTTTACATATCATTTAAAAAACTGAAAAAATATAGACAATTTTGACCCCAAAAAAGTTATTTTAGATAATTTAATAAGAAAATGTTTTGAAACAGTTTTAAATTTTCCAAATTTGACACCAAAATAAGATATTTTAGAGAGTTTATTAAAAGGAATATTTATTTTATCATTTTCATAAAATATTTAAGAAAGTGAAACCAAATAAAACTATTGATACAAAATGTTGGTTACAACAATTGATACACAAGGAAATTTTATTTTATTTATTTTAGGCATCTTTACCAGAGCAAGATAGGCACGACACTAGCGTGATTTACAAAAAATTAACTCTGCAAGAGTTGCAAAAAATCGTTCCCCAAATAAACTGGTTGGAGTACTTAAAATCCTTTTTGGATGTTGAGCTGACTGACCAGGAACCAGTTGTGGCTTACGGCCTCTCCTACTTCCAAGAAATGGGAAAGATTTTGGCTGAAACCGACCGAAGGTCCAAAACTAACTAAAACAATATTTTATCGAATTTTAATGTTTTCTTTTTTTATATATAGAATAATCCATAACTATGTTTTGTGGAGATTAATAATGACTCTATCGCCCCACATGATAGACGATTATCAGAAGGAACGGGTGGAGTTTCGTAAAATATTACAAGGAGTCTTAAGTGAAAGACATAGGTGGTCTCAGTGTGTGGAGTGGACCAATAAAAAGCTCGGAATGGCCGTTGGTGCTCTATTTATCAGAGACAATTTCAACCACGAAAGCAAAGTAAGATTAATACGGAGTGGCTCAAAATTAAGTACACTCACAGGCAAAATAATCGGTCCACACAAATTTTCGATGAATTTCAATCGCAAATAACTTTTTTATTTGATGTCGGATTTAAACGAATATTAAAGAATATTGTAGATAAATTAATGGACAATCGCTCACATTTTAAAAAATTACTAAAAAATAGACGTTCGTTTATAATATACAGGTTTTAACAAAAATATGTTTTTTACCATAAGTTTAAGACACTCTGTAGAGTGGCAAAACCGTATATTGTTCTAAATTAAGTTTTATTTATCAAGTCACATCTATTCTCAACAGTTTTGTTTTTGGTTCACCTCGATATATTTATTTTTGTGGAAAATATGGATTTTTTTAAAAAACATTGCAATTTCCAATATTTTTCCTGTATGAAGAACTAAGGTTGCTATGGTCCATCCATAGCCTATGGAGAATGACAGTGACAGTTTTGTTGAATCATCCCATACTTGGACATGTCATATACAGCTTTCAAAAGCTATCAAATTGTTTTTTGTAAATTAAACATTAAACAAAAATATGTTTTTTACCATAAGTTTAAGACACTCTGTGGAGTGGCAAAACCGTATATTGTTGTAAATTAAGTTTTATTTATCAAGTCACATCTATTCTCAACAGTTTTGTTTTTGGTTCACCTCGATATATTTATTTTTGTGGAAAATATGGATTAAAAAAAAACATTGCAATTTCCAATATTTTTCTGTATGAAGAACTAAGGTTGCTATGGTCCATTCATCATATGGAGAATGACAGTGATAGTTTTGTTGAATCATCCCATACTTGGACATGTCATACACGGCTTTCAAAAACTATCAAATAGTTTTTTGCAAATTAATGTTTAAATTTTGATGTGTCTTCTTACTTTAAAAAATGGATATGTCTCCGACTGATGTTGCCAGAGCCATTAATTTAATCCAGGATGGACGGTCACAGTATTACGTGGCAAGTATTTTAAACGTAAGTAAAGTACAAAGGCAACATTAGTCGGAGACATTTTTAAAAGTAAGAAGACACCTCAAAATTAACACATTAATTTATAAAAAACAATTTGATAGCTTTTGAAAGCTGTATATGACATGTCCAAGTATGGTATGAACCAACAAAACTGTCACTGTCATCCTCCATAGGCTATGGATGGACCATAGCAACCTTAGTTCTTTATACCGGAAAAATATTGGAAATTGCAATGTTTTTTTAAAAAAATACATATTTTCCACAAAAATAAATATATCAAGGTGAACCAAAAACAAAACTGTTAAAAATAGATGTGACTTGGTAATTAAAACTTAATTTAGAACAATATACGGTTTTGCCACTTTACAGAGTGTCTTAAACTTATGGTAAAAAACATCTTTTTGTTTAAACATGTATATTATAAACGTACGTCTATTTTTTAGTATTTTTTTAAAATGTGAGTGGTTCTCCATTAATGTATCTACAATATTCTTTAATATTTGTTTAAATCCGAAATCAAATAAAAAAGTTATTTGCGATTGAAATTCATCGAAAATTTGTGTGGATCGATTATTTTGCCTGTGAGTGTAAGTACCTCACGAGGTGCATTTTCAGGAGACAGCTTTAAATATGATACACACGATTAGAGAAGCTTTCAATGAGCTTCTGGCCGATAATCATTGGATGGATGACGAAACAAGAGCAGTGGCTAAAGAAAAAGCGGATGCAATGAACGAGAGGATTGGATATCCTGCTCTCATAACCAATAAGGAAGAACTTGTCAAGGAGTATGCTTCAGTAAGTTACAACAGTTTTTTAAATACTTGCAACTTCCGTTGCCAGCTAAAATGGTACTCTCAGTTTTATTGCATTTTATAAAAAACGCAAAACCTATATTCATCTTAAACACGGTGGTCAAAAGTATAGGACGAACAAAAATGCCAACCAAAACTGATAGCATAATCTAATTATAGACTCTTTTGGTAACACAAAAATGTATTTATCAAAATCCCAGCTGATCCTTTATTAAAGTTTTGCATATTTCTTAGTATTTTAAAATTGTTTATGCCATTTCGATAAAATACTCTAGTACCATTATCAAATGTTTTTAAAAAATTGGCATATACATACATGACTGAAATATGGATAAATCATTATAAATACAAAATAATGTAAAATACAGTTTGCAATATCTTATTTAATGTTTTAAGGTATCTAATACAAAACTAATAAATAACTAAAGATTCTTTGAAGCAAAATCGATTACTGCTTGCCTTAAATTTTCAGTAAAACGTTTTCTTGGGTTTTACATGGAATTGTTTTTAACATGGAAACAATATTTTTAAATTCTTCAGTCTCTGTACAAACATGCTTCTTAGAAGTTCTTACATCTAGCGATATCCCCTAGAAAGGAAGAGCATATCAAAACTTTAGTTCGTTCGTCCGTCCTCTTCCCTTAATAATTTTTTATGCCCTGTATATCTTGCCATTTTGCAGATAAAGCACATACATTCTTGGCTGCCGCGAAATTCTCTAGCAATTTCTAAATTTTGAAAATTTGGCAATTGTGGCTATTCAAAAATACCGTTTTTACCATATTGAAGTAGGTAATTTTGAATCACTTAAGTTAAACTGTTCGTTTGAAAAAGTCTGCAGTAATTGATATATTTTCTCAGAAACCCTAAACTCTGAATTTTTCGATTACCAAAAACAATTTTGTCTCCACAGCTAGCACATACCTTCTTTCGATTTTCTTCATGGCTTAACTTGAATTTCGGTTTAATTTTCATTTTAAAATACTATTTTTAACTTATAAAGTATACATTAAATAAACAACTAAAGCAAAATGTCACTTGCGTTATAACGTATAGCAATTTTTTTCATTTACAAAATTTGCAAGTTGTAATTATTTCATAGACAAACTTCAAGTATTTTTTGTTATAAAAAATATTTAAGATATAAATCTCTAAATTTTTTGTTATGTTTTGTTTTGAGTGGTAAAAAATAATAGGTGACTCGATAAATTAATACTGGGGAGTAAAGTAATTTAAATGATACAAAGTTTATTAATTTGCTTAATTTTATTAAAATTGTAGAGGTTGTTTTAGTACAATAATTGCAAAATAATATATAGAAATAGAAAAACAAAAAAGTTGGCAAAACTTTAAAATAGGATCAGCTGGGATTTTGATAAATACATGTTAGTGTTATTTTTGTTCGCCCTATACTTAAGTTTTGACCACCGTGTAAAGGCATGTATTTTTTAGTTAAACATCACCAAACACGAGTTCATGACGAACGTTTTGAACATATTAAAGTACGACGCTCAACAAAACTTGCAAAAGCTGCGTCAACCGGTGGATAAGAACAAGTGGTCCACTGAACCAGCCGTCGTGAATGCTTTCTACAATCCAAACAAGAACGATATAGGTAAGCTCTAACCTGTAACCCAAAAACTATTGGATTTTTTTTTAATTTAAAATTTACTCGGTATTTTTCGGGACGCCCACGGTTGGCTGGGCCTGGCCAAAAGTCCAAAAAGTCAACTTTATCTGAACAAAGTTGACTTTTTGGACTTTTGGCCAGGCCCAGTCAACCGTACACCAATGTAAAGAAAAAACCTTAATTTGTTAGTTTTCAAAAGAAAAAGTTAAAATACATTTTATTTCAAAAAGATACAGCTGTTTTAGTAAAGCAATACGGACAAAATATAAAAAACATAGTTTAAATTAAAGATACGATATTGTATGTTTTGTAAAACTATTTTATTAATTGTACTTATAAAGTTACAATAAATAATAGGTACCTTATAAAATCATAAAATGTTATACTTAACTACAGTTAAGTGTTAAGCATAATTTATCCCTATAGTAGGGTGGAGCGAAAAAAAATTTTTTTTTTCCTTGGCCTGGGGGTGGAATTTGTAGCCTATAAAAAAAAATTAAAAAAAAAAATATTTTTACTCAACGTCTTGAGGTGGCCCACTGATTATTTAAATTAAATTTAAGTTAAAATTCTTTTGAATAAAAAAAAATTTTTTTGGCTTGTTATCTTAAAATTTATCTAAAAATAAACAAATTTGATCGTGTTCAACTCGAAATTCGCTCTATTGCCTCAGAAAAGCATGTTACTATTTTGGAATTTTTTTAAAAACAACAATAATGACCACAAAAATTTATAACTGTTAATTAGCAAGAAAGAGGACACGACCACTCGTTTTTAACTTAAATTTAATTTAAAAAATTAGTAAGCCACCTCAAAACGTTGAGTAAAAAAATTTTTTTTTTCAAAAATTTTCTTTTTTTATAGGCTACAAATTCCACCACCAGGCTAAGGAAAAAAAAATTTTTTTTTCGCTCCACCCTACCCTATAGGGATAAATTATAAGTTGGTCCAGAAAAATGTTTACACCAAATTGTAGCCCGAAGAAAAACGAATAAGGCTACATATGGTTATTGATCTCTTAAAATCTTAACTATAATAAATATATGTAGGGAAATAATCAGCAATGATGGTAAATCGGTTTTATTTACAAGTGACTATGATATTACACATTAATTAAAAATAGCAAAAAGGTTAAAAATTAAAACACGTCTTCAGTTCGCAACGGCCCGTTAAAATCTGTCCTTCTTATTGAACGCAGGTACCCGTTACACATCTGGGCTGAAAACTTTCCCTGCCTCTACGTCACAGATATTGCCAGACGCCCCTAGGAATTCCAACACTTGACCTGTCTTGTTCTTATCCTGTCATAAACAAACTAAAAATATACCTACTTAAAAGCAAAATTATGTAGGGATTATATTTCTCAGGCAAAACAAAATTTATTATATACAGCTTAAATATTTAGACAAAAAACAGATACTACATATATGATGTATTGTTATTTTTTTAATATCTAAAGAAGCCTCTACGTATAAGCGTATAGCGAATAGCGCTTACTATTAAGAGTAAGATCCTCTTTGAAATTTTCCATTTTAACATGTCCGATAAAAAACATTTTGTATCTCACTAACAAACGAATATAAATCTAAGCCCTATAAACATTTTGATAGGGAATCAAATGCTCTATAAAAAAGGTTTCCTATGATTTTTTCGAGACATTCAAAAGATATCTTGGGACAAAATTTCATAGATTTTGAAAAATATATATATTTTTTTCAAAATGTTATCACTTTCAGAATAGAGAGGATATTAAATAAGCAGTATACATTTTTGTTGAAAATTAACCGATCTACAAAAAGGTTTCTTTAGTTTTTTTGATAAATGTAAGCGTTTTAAATATTATCGCAACTAATCAAGTTATAGGTACCTACTTTATCTTTTTTAATAACTAGGTACCCTAAAAAATATTAATTATACTTACTTTTTAAATATTTTTATAAATTTTTGTTCTTTCTTATTAATTAAAATACTCTTTTAACATTTCACATTTTTTTCTAAAATTTGATTTCAAAATATTTATTTTTTAAAAAGTATTCCGGTATCCAAGCCTCTTGGATGAGACATTTAAAACATTTATTTGTAATATAAATAATTCCATTACAGCATTTATGGGTGAATATATTGAGATGTCCCCCAAGTGAAAATGATTATTTTTTATTTTTGGTTGTTTCACTGTTAGTCTAGAATGTGGTTTTTGGGAAGCCACCAGGTCTAGTAATAACATAACATAAGTGGTTCTGCACTAATGCAAGAATTTTAAGAAATCATACATTTTGAATATTAGAGCTTCACGGAAGATAGCTTCACGGAGGTTAGGATTTCGTATGTATTTTTAAAAACATCCCTTTGTATATTTGAAATAAGTTATTGTATCTTTTGAGACCTTAATATTTTTTAAACATACAATTGTACATACATAAAATATTTATAAAAAAAATCTACTTACTGAGATATTACACTTCACGGTGGATAGGTTTTTAAATAGCAAATTAATGAACTTAAACTTTTGAATTATAAAACAGCAACACTCTCATCTGCATATAAATTCTAACCTAGAAAGAGTAACAGTCACGGAGGATAGGTTTTAGACTTTTAAAACATTGTTTTAGACTTTTAAAATCCTTGTCATATTAACTACTAGACCATACGGGATATACTATTATCTTTGAAACGCTTACATTTATCATAAAAATAAAAGAAAACTTTTTTGTAGATCAGTTCATTTCCAACAAAAATATGCACTACTCATTTCAAAACCCGAACTATTCTGCGAGTTAAAAAATATTGAAAAAAAATATTTTGTTAAAAACGTTTTAAACTTTATCTTTAGAATGGATAGGTTTACTAAAAAACAAATACTTTTTTGAAGAGCATTTATTTCTGATTAAAATGAAAAAACAAGGCTTTAGGTCAATTATTCAGGTCACAAATTAGTTTTTACCAGAAAAGTAGTATTCCAACCCACCGTGCAAAACAAATAAAACCCTATTTTCTTTGTGTTTGTACATTTTCTTTTACATTGCAATTTTCTCAATTTTCTTTTTGCACTTTTTTTCCAGTATTTCCCGCCGGTATACTTCAGCCGCTCTTCTACAGTCAACATTTTCCGAAGTCTTTGAATTACGGCGGCATCGGCGTGGTCATTGGGCATGAAATCACGCACGGATTCGATGATAAAGGTTAGATTTTTTTTTATTCAAGTGGTCTTCGCTTTCCCGGTTAATCCGCGCGAAATCACCCAAGAATTTATAGAGCAGAAAATCCACCTAACGTATCTGCCCGGGATGAAGAACCAAAGCTTGTTTGAGATGCAAATTTAATCTTGTTAATTTTGAAATTATTTTTTTTCTTTTTATTTAAAATTTTTTTCCAAAATATGTAATAGGTATAAACAGAGAAAAAGGGAAAGTGACGAAAGTTATGCGAAACACATATTTGAAAATTAAAATTATCTAACACAAAGGATAAACTAGATAAGAATAAAAAACGATATCCAATCCCAATAGATGACCATAGAAAATTCTTCAAATTGCTTTTTATTTAAGGATTGATTTATTCTTATTTGTAATTTAAATTAATACTTATTTGAAGGTATATAGGGAGTTGAATAAAAGAACTAACCTATACTTATTTGGATATAATTTCAATGTTAGGTGCAAGGGTAAACTTATTTTTATTTCAAGAAAAACTTTCATATTATTTTAAATGCAAGCACCCTCAAATAAAATATACACTATACTTAATTTAAGAATAAGTATTTTTTGATACAAACGTTATAATTCTTGGTGATACAATGTTTACTTTTGGATTAAATATAAGGTATCTTTATGTAAGTTAAGCAATAATTGTTTTAAATATTGTCTATTCTTTTTTTAAACTTTTGCTCAAACAAGCCCTTAAACTGAAGGTATTTGAGCCCTCTAAAACTTTATTTTACATACTTTTGATATCGGATAAGTATTTTGACGCTAGCGATTTTAATAACTTATAAAATTCGTTTTTATGGCAAGAATTGAGGTCGAAAATTTACATATCGTCCTGGGAAAGGTTTAAATCAAACAGATAACTCTAGTTTGGATTTTTTTTTCGTGAAACTGACATTTTTACAAAAAAAACAAGCTAATGTTGATTAAAATATATGGAAAAATGGCGAAGTTATGAATTTTTTAGCGGAAGACCAAAATTCAGCTTTTTGACGATTTTTATTTTATTTTTTTTCTTTTATTTTGTAGTATGTTTATTTTTTAATAAAAACCTTATTAAAGTGCATGATTGGAATTTTTTAAGATTTTTACGTACTTTTTTCACCGAAAACATTATATAAAATTTAAATTTGACATGACTCCGCAAACGTGAATTCTTTTGTTTCTCGTGTTGGCATAGTGACATTTTACTGATATTTTTTAATATTTTAACAGAGTATTTTCATCATGGTTTTATTTAGTTAATAAAAAGTGTAAAATAAGTAAATGATGTAGAGAGTTCGAGTGCGTAAATAACCCGGACAATCTGGGCGACGTTAGTGATGAGCACGGAGAACGTTTCACCAGCAAATGAAGGCTATGGAGCGGCGGTGATTACATTTGGTCTCTCATACGAGAAACGGAATACGAAATCAACAAAAAACAAAAAAGGACCCATATTTTTTTTAACCTATGCTTATTACAACAAAATAAAACTTTCAATATCTTCAATATTTATTGTTCAATATTCAATTATAATTTAATTTTAATATAAAAATCAATGTTCAATATTAAACTTTATATAACTCAATAAAATGAATAAACGTAAAAATTCTCGAAAAAATTTGGTCTTTCACTGAAAAATTCATAACTTTGCCATTTATCCATGGATTTTTATCAACAGCAGCTTAATTTTTTTTTTAAGTATAATCTTTAAGTATAACGTAAAATAAATCAAACTACCTTTACGATTTCTATCTTTCCAACTTTATAAAATCGCCAGTATCGAACTACTGAGCCGATACCAAAACTACACAAGAGAAAGTTGTAGATGACTCAATAACCTTTGATTTAAGTGCTTGTTTGGTCAAATCGATCAATTAGAACTCGATGTATACTCTAAAACGTCAAAACACCTCAGAAAATTAAAAAAAAACAATATTTTTTTCATGGAAGCGTTTATGAAAAAAATTTAATGTTTAAAAGATATTAAACACAATATCAGTAACACCTTTTTATTTAAAAATTAAATTAACATGGGAACAAAGAATTACCCCAGTATAAGTACCTACCTATACAATCGCCTGTAACTATTTTTTTGCACCCTTTAAATAATACATATTGATGTAGAGCAAATATTAAATTTACACTTTCTTAGGGCGACAATTTGACAAAGACGGAAACATGATGCAATGGTGGAACAACGCAACAATCAAAGCATTCAGAGAAAGAACCCAATGCATCATAAACCAATACTCAAGATACAAAATAGACGAGGTGGGCTTATACGTAAACGGCAGAATGACCCAAGGAGAAAACATCGCCGACAACGGCGGGCTCAAGCAATCCTTTAGGGTATATTATACCCATAGTCACCGAAAACATATAATAATATAATAATTTTTAGGCCTATCGTAAATGGGTGAATCAACACGGCCCCGAACCGGATCTACCAGGTTTAAACCTGACGCACGATCAATTGTTTTTCTTGAACTACGCTCAAATATGGTGCGGGTCGATGAGACCCGAAGACGCGCTCACCAAAGTTAGATCCAGCGTGCATTCTCCAGGGCCCATTAGGGTCTTGGGGCCCCTGTCAAACTCCAGGGATTTCGCGAATGCCTTCGAGTGTCCAGAGGGGTCCCCGATGAACCCCAAAAATAAATGCAGCGTTTGGTAAGGACGAAAATAAGACTCAAGAAGAGATTTAAGTGTTTTGATTTAATCGCATCATATCATTGCAAATTTTGTTGTCTTTAGAAAAATAGATGAACGTGTTATTCAAAAAGGTCTAGTCTTGTTTTAACATAGCACAATTTAAGAACAAAAAAGCACAGCTTAAACTTATGAAAACATATTTTTTGTAAAAAAATTTCTTAAAATTTAGATGTATAAAATAAAAAATATACTCAACCAACTACTGTAACCTATAAGCATTGATGTTAATATTAATAAAATAAAAATATAATTGAATTGCAAAAAAGTACTGGCTAACTGAACAGTTTCCTACTTAAGTATATGGCAATTGTAAATAATTAAATGTTTTATATACCTAGATAATTTCAATACAACAAAATTTTTGGTATGTGGTATACTTTTAAATTACAATACACCTTGTATTTTCACATTAATTATTAATAAATATACTTCCTAACATAGTTTTTTTGTTATTCCACTTTAAAAGCCAAAGCGCATTGCAAAAACATTTTCCAAAATACTGCATCCTCATTGGCGGCCTTAGAATTACATATCTCCTGCAATTTTGTGAATTCCCATAAATGGTTAAAAAAATTGATTGTATAAAATATTGTTTATAACCAAATTTATTGAGAATTTTTTATTTTTGGTTTTAATAAACTCTGGATATATCATCAGTGTTATTTTATCCATTTTGCAAAAATTCTATAAAATAAATTTATTTTATACCTTAAATTTAATTTGGTCAAATTTTACTTTAGATAGTTAGTATCACAGTCATTGGTTTGACAGTTAATGGCAAAATCGATTCGCCATGCCGTCCTTAATTTACTTATTTACAATAAGCGGCTGTTAATGTTAAAGAAGAAAAAAAGGATTTTCTTTGCTGTTTATTTATTGCCAGAGAAGTCTCGTAAGTACTAGAAACATAAAAATATTTTAACCAATATGCAAAATATTATGCTGTTTTCTTTGGGATAAAGTATAATAGGTATAATAGGTAGTACAGCACCGAAAGTGGTGTTATAATGAAGTCATTATGAACGCAAAATAGATAAACCAAATTTGTTGAGAATGTTATAATCTAAGGGTAGCTACAACTTTTCTTATAACTTCAAAAGTCATGTGGACCAAAAAACAAGATATTTAGAAAAAACGATTTTTGTGACCTTTGACCTTAGCTCGCATACACTATTAGACTTTTGAGCTTATAAAATGTCAAATCAACGATTTATACAAGTTTATAGATTATATAATATTATATATTATGTTTCGGCCTCGGTGGTGTAGTGGTCAGAGCTCCTGGGTACGAGCCGAGAGGTCGTGGGTTCGAATCCCACTTGGGTATGGTTGTTTATTTGTGTTTGTCCATTGTGTATAGTCCTTCGGAGGGGACTTTAAGCCGTCGGTCCGTTCCTACCCCTAACCCGCACAAGCCATTCAGTTGGCTTATGGGACATCTTAGTTTGGATGTAAGGGTGGAACTAAAAGAGCACTTTATAACTTTATATAACTTTATTCCGAGGTTTATCCCCTTTTTTCACCCTTTCTAACTGGTCTATAAGGGCGTGTGTGTTATTTTTTAATTGCGGCAGAACTTATCAAATTCAAATAGGTAGTCCCACAGACGTGATAGACATCAACGAATAATATGTCTATTTATTAGAGTTATGAATGTTTTTCTGTCATTAATATAAAAAAAATATCATCTTTTAGGCATGAAAACATTTTTTTGTTTCTAATTTCTTTTAGACTATTATAATTTATAATGAACAAATAATTTAGATAGTAAAAAGAGCCAATTTATAAAATTCAGAAAAAGGTTGACCTCCAATATAATTTAAATGTATGGTTATTCGAAAGACATTTTTTGGAGAGCGTACAATTCTCTATAAAAATATTTTTTGCGTATTGTTACTATGCATAGACAAACATACATTTATGTATGTCTATTTATTATAGTTATAAATTTCTTTTTCTGTCATTAAAACTAAAAAAATATCATCGTTTAGACATGAAAACGTTTTTTGCTTCAAAATTTTTAAAATTAAACTGTAAAATGGACTAAAAAGGCCTAAAGCTAATTAATTAGACAATTTCTTTCCATTCTATTATGTGAGTACCTAATTCTTTTTCTATTAAATTTAATATAAATTGTTTATTTAAATTTCAATTTATAAGATGTCAGCTTATTTTGTTTTGTATTTTTGTTTCATGTTTTAAAGTTCAAGAATTTTTTCTGGAAGTAGTGGTTTACCATCTTCTTTACAACCTACAAAATGTAAAACATATACAGTAGGGTGGCCCAAAAAAAAGAATATTTTTTTTCTCGTCTCTTGTAAAAATATGTTTATCATGCTGTAAAAGCCCTGTCAAAATATCAGCTCGATTAAAAATTGTTTAGGGGTCGCTCAAGATTTTTCAAAATTTTCTAAATCGTCAAAAATTTAATTTTTGTTTTATTTTAAATTTTATTCTCGTCTCGATATTATTTTTTTGGTTGAAAATAATAAAAATTCTGTAAATTTCAAATCAATATTTTGATTTCTAAAGGTCGCTAAAAGTAAAAAAAATCTTGAGCGACCTTTAGAAATCAAAATATCGATTTGAAATTTTCAAAATCATTATTATTTTTAATTAAAAGATATCGGAAAAAGTTAAAAAAATCTTGAGCGACCTTTAGAAATCAAAATATCGATTTGAAATTTTTAAAATCATTATTATTTTTAAATTAAAAAATATCGGAACGAGAAAAAAAAATTAAATAAAATTTTTTTTTTGACGATTTTGGAAATTTTTAAAAATCTTGACTCCTAAAATTTTTTTAATAAAGCTGATCTTTTGACAGGGCTCTTAAAACATGACAAACCAACATTTTTTCACAAGAGACGAGAAAAAAAAATATTCATTTTTTTGGGCCACCCTAATATACAGTGTAACCAATTATTTGCGACCCCTGTAAAATCTTTATTTATTGTGATTTTAACCGGATTTGTTTTAAAGTGTAAATCTTGATCAAACATGCCGAAAAAATATTTGAATTTTTCGGTAATTAATTATCGTGGTACCTTCAAAACTAAGATTTCTTGTTATCCTAGCCTCTATATCACCTACCCAAAATTTGAGGATGATCTGAGTAACCCTGTATACAAATGACTTTCCAAAATAAGAGGGCGCTGGTGTTCTGTTTGTTATTGTTGGTTTGAACACGTAATTTGTGTGATTTAGTAGGCGGGTTCTGATGTAGAGGAAGTTTAGACATTCCTATTGGTAACCTCTTGGTTTTTTGGTTTTAATATTTGTGGGGAATAATAAAACAGTGTTCTATCTCATAAATATTTATTCAGAAAATTAAATATACACTTACGCACACATGAGCTAAAACATATACACCTTGTGTGCTAGCTTTTTATTTTATTGACTAAATCCTGTAGTGCAGTAAAATTAAAATAGTACCAATTTACAAAAACTAAACAACAACTATTAATGGTAAAGTTTCTAGAAAAAATAGAAACATTTGTTGGTCAGTTTGTGTAAATCACAAAATTAACCTAAACCTATTAAAAAATTAAAACTAAAACTTAAATTATAATTTTTACATTAGTTCTGTAGTAGGTATGCTTTAAAACCAAAATTTATTTTACAACATTAGAACAAGCTTGTAAAATATTAGCAGTCTTGCAAACTAATTAAAAAACGTAACAATGAAACCTTTCTAATACAAATAAATATACCTTTTTAATTTAATAGAAAATATTAAGAAATTAAAACAAGTATATAAATTTGTAGCGTTCTTGTGAGCACTCAGTGAGCTTGTTATGACCCTTAATCTAAAGAAAATAATAACAAAAAAGCACTCTTAATAAAAGATACTGAAACGAATTCTGAAAACAGAATTATTAATAATAATAAAAATAAAAACTAACTGACCGTTATTATAAGTCTTTTGATGAAACAATTTGCAGTATAAAATCAAAAATCACATTTATTAAAACTTTCAATGGGTTCATACTACAATATTATTATATCTGAGACAAATACACTAACAGGGGATGGCAAATTATGAATATAACATTTAATATGTAGTTAAATTACACTTTAACTATATGTTAGACTCTGTGGTACCCCATTCACAGTCTTTGATTTCAGCACGTCATTTTCGTAGGCCATTACTGTTTCTTTACCATTCTCAAATACTCTGAAACAAACCCAAAACACATTAACTTGTAATACTTACATAATTAAGACAAAAATGATTTGAAAAAAAAGATACTCAAAGTAACTTGGATTCTTTATCTAAGATACTTTTTATAGTTGGAAAAGTATCTTGTAACTTGTATATAAAAAAGTATTTAAGTTACTTAGTAAAGTAGGTAACTAAGAAACATTCAAGTAACTTAGATAGTTACTTTAAAGTAATTAAGATACTTTTTGAAGAAAGTAAGATACTTTTTAAAGTAACTTGGATACTTTTCAGTGTAACTTAGATACTTTCTTAAAGATAGTTGGGGGAATCCCAGAATGATTTAAAGTAATTACCCAACCTAAAACTTGTTGAATTTACATTATTTTATAGTTTTTATTCATACTTAAAAGTAACTTGGTTACTTAAAAGTATCTTAGTTACTCCCAAACCATAAAGTTTAACAAAATTGACTTGAGAATATTTTTTGAAGAAAATTGAATGCTCTACAAAAAAGGTCTGATTGAAATTTCCCGTCAGATGAACCGTTTCCTTCCAATCATGCCTTAAAAATTGGTATTGTTTTACAATTTGATCTTTTAACTTTGGAATTTTGTTATTCATGTTAAAATCAGTACCCTGAAAAAAACCGATAGATATTCTTATGGGAAATCAAATGGTCTACAAAAAAAGTCTTTCAACATTTTTGACTAAATTCACTCCATCAAATTTTATTCAAGGTTAAAGTTGAAGTCTAAACGAAATTCTTGTTTTTTACGCTGTAGATTTTTTTTGGGTCAGTTAAAAACTTGAATTCTTTTATCGATGATAATCTTTATGTTACTCATAGATAAAATTACTGAAAATAAAGTTATAAAGTTATAAAGATACTTTTATAACTTTTGACGATATTTTTGGATTCAGCGAATATCATTTCATAGGAATTGACTGCTATGTACTGGATACAAATTGCTGCTGACGAGAATTATTACTGGCGGCTTTTTCGCTATGACATTTTTAGAGAGTAAGTAATATAGTGATTTCTTCGTCACAGGACATCTTGCAGAAAAACAGTGATTTAAATACAGTGCTATTTCAGAAGTCAGACCAAGGAATACTAATTACCTTCAGAATCCAAAAAAGGGATGAGGAATCCGAGAAAGAAATATATATTTACAAAAAAAAAAATAAAAAAATTACAGCAATTTATATTTAAAAAATATTTAAAAATTTATGTTATTTGATGTAAAGTTGTTATGTTTACTAGGGTGTGCCAAAAAAACTCGATATATTTTTTTCTTGCTCTCCACCCAAAATATCGTAGAATATGTCCGAACAAATATTCTGCTAAAAGCGGAGCTCATAATTTCAATTTTAAGAGGTCCTTCATCGAATCTGAAGTTTTGCCGTTTAAATAACACAGAAAACTGACTTTTTTACCTTATTTATTCTTGCAACCTAGGAAGAAATTTTTTGTTCATAAAATACATGACCAAATCTTACAAAGCATTAAATTTGGACGAAAAAATCTTATTAAGCCGAATTTCTATTTTCATTATTTGATTTTTTACAGACCTTTAATACAAAAATGATGACTTTATACGCCTGTAACTTTTAGAATATTGACGATACAAAAAATTCGCCTAACACTTTTTTGTGGTCCATCAGACAAGCTAAAAAATTGCCATTTGACTTATACGTCTAACTTCAATAGTTTAGCTGAAAAAAAAACGTAAAATTTTAAATTTAAAGCTCTGTAAAAAATCAAATAATGAAAATAGAAATTCGGCTTAATAAGATTTTTTCGCCCAAATTTAATGTTTTGTAAGATTTGGTCATGGATTTTATGAACAAAAAATTTCTTCCTAGGTTGCAAGAATAAATAAGGTAAAAAAGTCAGTTTTCTGTGCTGTTTAAGCGGCAAAACTTCAGATTCGATGAAGGACCTCTTAAAATTGAAATTATGAGCTCCGCTTTTAACAGGATATTTGTTCGGACATATTCTACGATATTTTGGGTGGAGAGCATAAAAAAAATATCGAGTTTTTTTGGCACACCCTAATGTTTATATAAAAATTGTATGTCCAATAACTATGGTCCATGTGTCCAATAGGGTGTTTTTGTTTTTTTTCGGTGCTCAAGCAAAATATTAATCTGCATATGGGAAAAAACATTCTCACCAAGTTTGAGCTCTTAATATTAATTTTAAGCACTTACTATTTAAGTTTAAGGTTTTACCGTTTAAAATGCATTTAAAAAATATATTTTTTTTTTCAAATTTCTAATGCTTACCCACCTTTGACAATATTGCAAATCGATTTAATACACCTTATGGGGAATTTCACGCTCTTTAAAATTGCTTTTGAGTTTTTTTGGTTCACCAGTAGGAGTCGTCAAAGGACAGTTTTTGAAAAAAATCGTTTTTTTATTTTTTCGAGCAAATCGCCAAAAGTGGTGAGAAAAAAGGGCTGATACATAAAAAAAAATTATCCAACCAATATTTAATGAATTTACTGCTATTTTTATAACTGAAAACGTAAGAAATTGATAAATACCAACCCATAATGTTATTTAGATTGATTTTTTCTATTTATTATCATTATATTTCCCTACAATAAGAACTTTTTTAAAATTATTATGATTTCTCACCATAATGAATATGAAAACAACACATAAATTCATAAAAAAACAACAAAACTTTAATCGGAATATACAGAAGGTTATGTAACATATTTCAAATTACGCTTCAAAAAATTTAATAATCTTCATTTATATTTTTTTGCTAAATGACAGAAATGTTGAAAAATTGCAAAATCCACGTTACAATTTTCTTATTGTTTTTTTTTATGAATTTATCTGTTGTTTTCATATTCATTATAAGTGAGAAATCAATAATTTTAAAAAACTTCTTAGTGTAGGGAAATATAATGATAATAAATAGAAAAAATCAATCTAAATAACATTATGAGTTGGTAATTATCAATTTCTTACGTTTTCAGTTATAAAAATGGCTGTAAATTCATTAAATATTGGTTGGATAACTTTTTTTATGATTCAGCCCTTTTTTCTCCCTACTTTTTGCGGTTTGTTAGAAAAAATTAAAAAAAAAACGATTTTTTTCAAAAACTGTCCTTTGACGACTCCTACTGGTGACCAATGCGAGTTACAAAAAAAAACTCAAAAGCAATTTTAAAGAGCGTGAAATTCCCCATAAGGTGTATTAAACCGATTTGCAATATTGTCAAAGGTGGGAAAGCATTAGAAATTTGAAAAAAAAAATATATTTTTTACATGCATTTTAAACGGTAAAACTTTAAATAAAGTAAGTACTTAAAATTATTAAGAGCTCAAACTTGTTGAGAATTTTTTTTTTCTATATGCAGATTAATATTTTGCTCGAGCACCGAAGAAAACAAAAACTTTGCGGAAATGAATCACCCTAGTGTCCAATTACTATATAAAATGTCCAATTACTATACTTTTTTGAAGATGTTTAGAAAAAGTTTTCATAAAATGCTTACTTTTTGGTGGTGATCTTCTTCCCGTTGACGAACCGCGTGGACGTGGACGTCCTCTTGACGCTCCCGGAGACGGGCGATCCGCCGTTCGCGTTGTTGAAGGTGCTGTTGATGGTGCTGAAGGAGGTGAAACCGCCGCCGCCGTGTCCCGGGTTGAAGAAGTCGTCCATCAGGGCGCCGCCCAGCGAGATACCAAAAGGACTAAACAGCGAAGACTGGCTGAGCGCAACATTTTGCGGGTGAGAGTGGCGGTTGCTGCGCCGCGAGTGGCCAGAGTGCCGCCCGTTGCCGTGCATGTCTGAAAAGTGACAAAAAAAATTTAGATATTTTTTAAAAAACATTTAAAACATCTTTTACCGAGGAGATCAAATACGCACGCACCAAAGAACTCCCTGAACACGTCTTCGGGGTCTCTGAACGTGAAGAAGCCGAATCCGCCGAGGTCGAACTCGTCCTCGTGCCGGCTTCTGCCTCTGCTGCCGCCGTTTATCAGGCCTTCTTTGCCGTACTGGTCGTACATGCGTCTTTTTTTGTCTAAAAAAAAAAAGATGCTATTAGTAATTTATAGTAAGAGTTTTTGTTTTGAAAGAAACAAATAGTATTAAAAATTTTAATTTAAAATTTAAAGTTCTGGCACTCAGAGTTAGTAGTGGTAATTTTAGCTGGATATTTGCTGGAAATAAGATAATAATGTGGATTTGAAATTTGGGTTTTTCTAAAATTCGTTTTATGCGTAAACATTATAAACAGTGAATAAACATACCAAATAGGTTTTAGCGAGTCGTAAGAAGGAAAGTACCAAAATTGATTTTTATGGTACACTGAGAAAAAAATGGGACAAATAAACTGTGTAGCTAATACTTTTATTAATAGTGAATATATTGTTTATTACCTCTAAATAGTCGAAATAATAACAATAAATATACTTTAGTAAAACTTTATGTGTCGGGAATACAAATATATTTAGGATAAATAAACTGTACCCTTGTCCCATATTTAAATATTTTTTTTTATTTGGGAGCAATAAACTTTTTTCTCAGTGTAGTACATATAATTTACAGCACAACACAACGTGTCTTTTAATTGCAATTGTTTGTTTACGTTTAATATCAAATATTTTCGTAAGCTTTGTACAAAGATCATATTCTATATATTTTTATGTGTAGTTTATGTAAAACTTAAGCTATAGTATTTTTTCACTTTTTTGTAATTGTTGTTTCCTTAATAATATCGTTTTTTATTAAATTGACATAATATTTAAAATCTATGTGCTGTATTTTTTTGCATGTTAAATTCCGTGTTTAGAGCACCAAATATAACGTTATTAAGTATGAAAACAATAGGGAAAATTTTTTTTTCTTGCAGACCCAGTGTATTTGGTTAGTTTTGTCAGATTTTGTCACAGGAAACTGATTTTTTGAAAGATTATTTCCCGACTTAAATATTTTTATTTTAATTGCATTTCCGTTTCGTATTGTCTCCATGGCAACAATACGATATGCAAATAATTCAAATTTTTCTTAAATAGTAGTGAAGTTTCTTTTTTTTATTCGGAATTTAACAGATTTGATTATATTGGTACCGTATATAAATGTAATTTGGTATTTTTAATATATAAAATTGGTACTTCTGTTCCACGCCTTAATTTTACTTTGACTTTTTTATTAAAATGTTAGAATTATAATTAGAATGCCAAAGATGTGTTAAATTTTAAAAATAAAACATCAGTTTGATGAAATAATTAATTGCACAACAAAACAAAATAATTTTGCTTCACTTAATGTAGCCAATTATAAATTTAGGGTCCATAGAATTTTCACTAGTAATACCACTAGAGGTCAAATTATTTCCGGAAATTTTTTCGAGCTCATGAATATTTTGAAAATTATCCCGAGTCGAAGACGAGGGATAATTTTCTAAAAATATTCATGAGGGAGAAAAAATTCCCGGATTTAATTTGACCTCGTGTGGTATTCGGTAAGAAAATTCCACACCAAATTGTGTTTAAATAATTAAAATTTATTTTTTGATTTAACTTGACCTCGACTTAATTATTTAGTTACCATGGCAACTAAGTCAACCCCAACCTAAAAGTTATTTCAGTTTTGAAGCTGTCAAGCGGCACGACGTAAAAAAATGTGAAATTGTCTGCTCTAATGATCAATCATCGTGCAATGACTTATTTACCCGCATTATTAGAGGATTGTGGCTCCTACTTGAAGAAAGAAAATTTGTTTTGAATTGTTCACGAATATTTGCATCTTAACTATTCAAAACTCAAAGTGCTAAATGGAAAAAAAGGTGAATAGAATAGTGTCTAAATATTATATATATTTCATTAGACATAGACATTTAATTTATTTCAAGTCCTGCATTTTCGCCATTAAGAAGAAAGGAGGTGTCCAACGAATATAGAAAACATCTAAACTTTGTAATGGAAATGTATCAAAATTATCATGTAAACAAATAAAAACCAGATTGTCAAAAAAATATGTATTCTGTCATTATAAACGTCAAAAAATTTCCAGTATAATTCGCTGTTGGGTCATAGATGACCGAAGGTACCCACGAGGAAAAAATTTCCACTTAAATTCAACCGTTGCCATGGTGATCTATGAAAAATACACGTTTTGATTGGTTAAAAATTACAGGTGTGGAATTTTCCAACTAAACCCCCAAATTTTTGAAGTTGTCAAATCCCGAAAATAAAACTGTTTAAAGAGATTTGACGTCTAAAGACTGATTTATAGATTGTCTTCCTTCCTCCCTTCCTCCCGTAAAATATGAACAATACAAAAACCGTAGTGCCGTTTAAAGATTCCCGTACGAGATTCTATTGTTCATCTTCTACGGGAGGAAGGAAGGGAGGCAATCTATAAAACAGCCTAAAATGGCGTTTATAAAACTTAACACATATCATTTTAGAACTAGTTTTTAACATTTTGTGCTGTATACTTCATAAAAATTTTTAGAAAAAAACTGACAATTTTCCATGGGATAAAAAATATTTTTTGAGGTTATCTGTCATCAAGCAATACTTTGACAGGTATTAAGATGACAGATAACACACGCTTTAGCGCACCAAACAGTTGAAAATTTATAAACATCACACCTTTGTTAATAATTAATTTAATTGGCAAAGCTGTTTGTTTAATGGGTGTCCCATAATTGGCGACCCAACTGGTAAAGATAAATTTCTCTTGAAATTCCAAGACGACCTTTTTTTTAAATTGTAGGGGTTATTTTACTTTTAGAAGCGATCAGAGTGCAATATTTATCGATTTGTAATCTGGGTTGCCTACGTATATTCGAACAAAGTCGTCGAATAGATCAGTCGAAAAAATGGCAGGGGAATATTCTTCTTGTAATTTCAAGAGGGATTCACTTTTACCCTTTTGGCCGCCATTTTCGACCACCTGTATATTTTGAAAGATTGGTCGTCCCATTCATCTAAAACTACCCTATACATTAACTATGAAAACTCCAGAAAAAAAACCATAACAAAATTATTTAAACAAATATTAAAAATGTAAGTATCAGAATTAATATTTGTGTAAAGTAGGATAGACTACAGCCAAAAAATCCAATTAATAATATCTAATCTCGGTGTCTATGAAACACGTGAAATAAATAATATTAAATCTACGCAAAAAAATACATTAAAAAATTTATTTCAAATTTGTTGTATATTTTTGCTGCTTTCTAATCATATCTGTAGATATTATGCAGTTATTTGCAGTAATACACTGACGCAACCGTTTCAAAGAATTTCATTTGTAATATGAACTTGGAAGATTCTATTTCTATTCTAATTATGTATATGATAACTATGAACAAATAGGAAATAACGCGACAATTAAAGGAATTAACCATCTAGTCAATAACAATGCATCTTTGAGAATATTGAAATATGTAAAAATCAGCGTTTTTAATTGAACAAAGCAAAGACCTATTTTTATGTGTATTAAAGCAGTAGTGTTTTAAAAAATACACTCACAGGCAAAATAATCGATCCACACAAATTTTCGATGAATTTCAATCGCAAATAACTTTTTTATTTGATTTCAGATTTAAACAAATATTAAAGAATATTGTAGATACATTAATGGAGAATCGCTCACATTTTAAAAATTACTAAAAAATACACGTACGGTTATAATATACAGGTTTAAACAAAAAGATGTTTTTTACCAAAAGTTTAAGACACTCTGTAGAGTGGCAAAACCGTATATTGTTCAAAATTAAGTTTTAATTATCAAGTCACATCTATTTTTAACAGTTTTGTTTTTGGTTCACCTTGATATATTTATTTTTGTGGAAAATATGGATTAAAAAAAAACATTGCAATTTCCAATATTTTCCTGTATGAAGAACTAAGGTTGCTATGGTCCATCCATAGCCTATGGAGGATGACAGTGACAGTTTTGTTGAATCATCCCATACTTGGACATGTCATATAGCTATCAAATTGTTTTTTGTAAATTAATGTGTTAATTTTAAGGTGTCTTCTTACTTTTAAAAATGTCTCCGACTGATGTTGCCCTTTGTACTTTACTTCTTGTGACGTTTAAAACACTTGCCACGTAATACTGTGACCGTCCATCCTGGATTAAATTAATGACTCTGGCAACATCAGTCGGAGACATATCCATTTTTTAAAGTAAGAAGACACCTCAAAATTTAAACATTAAGTGGCAAAAAACAATTTGATAGCTTTTGAAAGTATGGAATGATTCAACAAAACTGTCACTGTCAATCTCCATAGCCTATGGATGGACCATAGCAACCTTAATTCTTCATACAGAAAAATATTGGAAATTGCAATGTTTTTTTTAAAAATCCATATTTTCCACAAAAATAAATATATCGAGGTGAACCAAAAATAAAACTGTTAAGAATAGATGTGACTTGATAAATAAAACTTAATTTAGAACAATATACGGTTTTGACACTCTACAGAGTGTCTTAAACTTATGGTAAAAAACATCTTTTTGTTTAAACCTATATATTATAAACGTACGTCTATTTTTTAGTAATTTTTTAAAATGTGAGCGATTGTCCATTAATTTATCTACAATATTCTTTAATATTCGTTTAAATCGGACATCCAATAAACAAGTTATTTGCGATTGAAATTCATCGAAAATTTGTGTGGATCGATTATTTTGCCTGTGAGTGTACTAATTGAGTTCTGACAATTACTTAATGGTGGCGCAAAAGAGGCGAAACGTCGGAAAACAAAAAAGCAGTAAATTAAAAAAACATGGTTACTTTGGTTAGCACACAAAACTCGTTATTCAAAAATAAAAAAATACCGAAATAACGTTGTGAAAAAGGATTGTGGGGATCGAAATATGAGCTCCTGTAGGATCTGGAGGACCTTGCTGCACTTGTTCTTGTCGATCTGGTATCGTATATTTTTCGTTTCGATTCTGTTTTGTCGCAAAAAAAAATAAAAAATAATTCCATGTAGGTATTACTAAAACTACTGTGAAAATATTTAAAGGCACTTCGACTTACCATCAGAAAGAACTTCGTAAGCCTCGGAAATTTCCTTGAATTTTTTTGTTGCGTCGTCCATGTTGTCTGGATTTTTGTCGGGATGCCATTTTAGAGCTAATTTTCTGTACCTAAAAGAAATAAACTTCTGGTTATCCCAAGAGCAAATGGTACTGAAAGATTTTGATGTTGGATTCGAATCAAACCGAAAAATCATGTCTTAAATTCCTTTTAAAATTTTTTTCGTCTCAAGAAACCGTTATTTGAAATTTATGATCAAAATACGATAAAATACAATTTGAAGAGATATTAAAAAAATTCAAAAAGAAGAAGAGTAGGGTAAAGTAGACAGTTATCTAACAGTCTTCTAACTATATCTTCTTAAAAGTGTACAGATCAGTGTTTGGTATAAATGTGTTCCTCATGGTTTAAACATTGTCACTTTAATGCGTTTTAATTTTAATTCTGAAACCAAACAGTAAAATGACCAGTGTCCAATTACTGGTTGGTAAAAAATGTAAATTTCTATTATTGGACATATGTCCAATATCATACTCTATTTGTATCCCGGACATTTACCAGGCAATTCTTATGTAAAATTGTCCCCTGAATCCGAAAAGACCGTCAAAAGTAAAATAAAAATTAAGCAGTTTTTGAGATAGTCAATTCCTTATTATATGTATAATTGATTATATTTTAAAAACTGTTCTACTTTTATAACTTTTGACGACATTTTCCGATTCAGCGAATAATATTTCATAGGAATTGACTAAATGTCCTGGATACAAATTGCTGTTGACGATAATTATTAGTGGCTGCTTTTTCGCTATGACATTTTTGAATAATTAATTTTTAGAGAGTAATATAGTGATTTCTTCGTCACAGGACATCTTGCAGAATAACAGTGATTTAAATACAGTGCATAAAAAACTAATGGCATCAAAATTAATAAGTTCGGAAAATACTTTTAACATACCACGCAAAAAATATTACATAAATATAAATCATCCTGTTTCGGCCTAAACATTATAAATGTTTCACAAACTAGAGATACCACACTTAATGATATTTGCAACAAACTATTTCAGAAGTCAGACCAAGGAATTAGTAGTTACCTTCAGAATCCAGAAAAGGGATGAGGAATCCGAGAAAGAAATATATGAATTATATATTTAAAAAAACGAAATAAAAAAATTACATAAAACAGCAATTTATCTTTAAAAAATATTTAACAATTTATGTTATTTGATGTAAAGTTGTTATGTTTATATACAAATTGTATGTCCAATAACTATGGTTCATGTGTCCAATTACTATATAAAATGTCCATACTTTTTTGCATGTTTTAATAAAACTAATATTAAAAATTCAAATATTCTTATTTTTAAGTAAACGTAAATAAAGTTTAAACAAACAAACTATCCTTTTTATATATTTATAAGAAAAAACTAAAATCTTTAAAAGAACGGCATATATAAATTTTAAATACATAATATTCCTTAAGTGTCCAATAACTATGTGGTTTACCCTAGTATTTTAAGGTGGCGTTTTTTAGAGAAAAAGTAACAAAATGGTACTTACGCTTTTTTAATTTCGGCATTGGTTGCACCTTTGGGCACCTCGAGGACTTTATAGTAGTCCACCATTTTGGTGCCTGTTGAATCCTTATAACCCAGTTTTACGGAAAATTACTGAAAAAAAAACAATAAAACCGTTGAAACATAATTGCAAAAACAAATAATTAACTAAATATCTAATCACTTTGATTATCAATACACCTGATAATACTGCTACATGAATAAATATAAACGGCCGTGACTTACAATTCGTTCAAGTTTGTATGGCAATTATAGGTATCAGTTAAATATTAAAATTAACATAATTTTTTTGCGTACTTTGACTTTTGTGGTCTCTGAATTTGACAGGTGAAAGAAAGTTTGACAGATGTATATTATTTCAACCAAAGCACTCTCAATTAATTAATGATTATCAAAGACCGGATGTAACCGCCGCTATTCAAATTTCCCGCGCCAAAATCTTATCAATTTCCTCGCACACAATATCCTGCCTCGGTTATAATATAAGCGCTCTCCGCCTGGTCTATAGGGTACTATTTTTTACTTTTTTGTAAGAATTTGTCAAAAACCCAAAAATCATAAAACCTCATTTTAAAATGCATATAAATGCGTTCTATGAAGCTATAAAATGTCAAATATATTGGGGTTAAACAGTGCTGCCACTTTGAAATAAAAAAAACACCTTTAAATGGTCATTCAGCTCGATTTGTATAATCATGCCTCGTTGAGAGTTTATTCTAATGAATTGTATAATTTAATGTTACACAGGTTCCATCCGAGTGAATTTTACGTTTAGCTTTGATTGATTGAAAAAATAAACCACAAACACCATTATTATTGAACATTAAGCTTGCATAATAACAATAATAAAGCTTTAAATGAGTCAGATCTGTGTGTAATTTATATTATTAAAAAAAACTTTCTCTTGCACACTTGCAGCCTTCGTTTTTTTTATTAAAGTTGCAACAATAATTATTGTTATAATTAGTTCGTTTGTTACTTAAGTACAATACCATAGTTCAATAGTGATTCATTTTATTTTGTAAATGATTTTATTGTTTGACTAAAAGAGGGAATAATGCAATAGTATATAGTATATAGGTATAATGGTAACGGTTCAGCAGAATGCAACAAAGAAATTATTCATATGAAGTATTTGTTCCTAATAAATGCCAAGAAAACACGGACTTAAAACCGGAAAAACAAGAGTTTTATAAATAGTTACCTCAAAGTCAAATCATTAGATGACGCTGTATACAATTATAAATATATCAGTCGGTAATAATATAGAACTACTTTATTTTGGGTCTAATATGGGACAAAAAAGTTCGCACTTTACTTTGGTGGTAAAGTTTTTTTTTTGTTAAAAGCAGGGCTGTGTTTAAATTACAATAAAAAATATTTATAAAAAGTGTACAGATCAGTGTGGTGTAAATGTGTTCCTCATGGTTTAAACATTGTCACTTTAATGCGTTTTAATTTTAATTATGAAAAGAAACAGTAAAATGGCCAGTCCAATTACTGGTTGGTAAAAAAAGTAAAGTTCTATTATTGGACATATGTCCAATATCATACTCTATTTGTATCCCGGACATTTACCAGCCAATTCTTATGTATAATTGTCCCCTGAATCAATATACTCAATTCAAAAACTGTTCTTCTTTTATAATTTTTGACGACATTTTCGGATTCAGCGAATAATATTTCATAGGAATTGACTGCTAAATGTCCTGGATACAAATTGCTGTTGACGAATATTAATATTGGATGCTTTTTCGCTGACATTTTTGAAGATTTGCAGAATAACAGTGATTTAAATACAGTGCATGATATAGAACATAAAAAACTAATGGCAACAAAATTAATAAATTCGTAAAATAATTTTAACATACCACCCGAAAAAATATTAGATATATATATATATATATAAATCATCCTGTTCCGACCTAAACATTAGAAATGCTTCACAAACTAGAGATACCACACTTAATGATATTTGCAACAAACTATTTCAGAAGTCAGACCAAGGAATTAGTAGTTACCTTCAGAATCCAGAAAAGGGATGAGGAATCCGAGAAAGAAATATATGAATGATATTTACAAAAACGAAATAAAAAAAATTACCTAAAAAAGCAATTTATCTTTAAAAAATATTTAATATTTATGTTATTTGATGTAAAGTTGTTATGTTTATATAAAAATTGTATGTCCAATAAGTATGGTACATGTGTCCAATTACTATATAAAATGTCCAATTACTAGTTTTTATAAAACTAATATTAAAAATTCAAATATTCTTATTTTTAAGTAAACGTAAATAAAGTTCAAACAAACAAACTATCGTTTTTATATATTTATAAGAAAAAACTAAAATCTTTAAAACAACGGCATTTATAAATTTTAAACAAATAATATTCCTTAAGTGTCAAATAACTATGTGATTTACCCTAAAAGACTCTTATATCAGGTGGACAGCGCGGTCCTAGTTGCTTTTCAGAACATTGGCGCCCTTTTATTAACAATGCATTAACAATAATGTAAACAGATTATTTTCTAAATTAATATTGCAAGAGTGTGAGAATAAATTGAAAAACCATACTTTATACCAAAACTATTTTTAATTAAAGAGGGTGGTTCGTTGATTCTTTTAGGTATGTTATAATTACTTTTTATTATTTTAACCAAAATTTACTTACGTATATTTTTTACATCTTTAACAAACAAATTTAAGCAAAAAGAAAAAATACGGGTCTGATCGATTTCAATATAAAAAAATTGTTGAAAAATAATGGGACTCGGGCTATTGCATTATGACAAGTTCTGGAGAAATATTTTCTTATTTATTGGGTAGGTATTCAAAAGATTATTTTTTATTATTAAAGAATTTTGTTTTATACATTTTGACAGATTTGACAGGTTTTTTGAAAAATAATTACTATTGCATTATGACAAGTTCTGGAGAAATATTTTCTTATTTATTGGGTAGGTATTCAAAAGATTATTTTTTATTATTATAGAATTTTGTTTTATACATTTTGACAGATTTGACAGGTTTTTAGAAAAATAATTACTATAATTATGTTTTTATTAGCTGAAACGTAGGTACACGAATGAAATTAAAAATTTTTTGTTGGTTATATTAAAATTATATATATTTTCTTAAAATATTTACATCAAAACTAAACTAATTAAATTAAACTAAACAATGAAAATCAAAGACGTAGAACTACAGACAAAGTTTGTTTATATTTTAATAAGCAATTAATATTCATAAGTGTCTTTGTTGTATTGGGTTGGTAGAAATATCAAAACAAATGATGTTGCCATTACCAAGAACTACATTTAATATTCCAAAGGCATTGTCTTGTCAACATCCCAAGTAAATTTAAATATGTATACTCGTACAAAAAACGATATGATATGGGTGAATCTCGCAAAATGTCCCCCGATAGTGTTACCCCGTGATATTTAATAAAACTAAATGAGTTTGACCTACACTTTTATTGTGTTTTTATCTTTCATAATTAAGTAGATATTACAGCTCAGGTTCCAGATTTTTAACCGCAATTAATTATTTTTTACAATGATTTAAAAGTCTTAAACCTATCCTCCGTGACTGTTACTCTTTCTAGATTAACCTATATGTTTTCAAACATCTGAGGTAGTAAAAGCATACTAAAAATATCAGTTCACTAAGTAAATTAAACACATCCAAAGCAATCGAATCAAATTTAAAATATTATTAAAAATTAAAAGAAATAATTTTTATAACCATTTATGTAGGTGTTACAAAAATTGATTCTATCCTCCGTGAATCTGTTTTCGCTTTAAATTTTATGCAACGGATGGCGCTTTAATCATTTTAATAAGCAAAAACCTCTGTTTGCGACATTATAGATGCATGTGATTACTGAAGGTCAGTTAGAATTTATATGCAGATGAGAGTGTTGCTGTTTTATAATTCAAAAGTTTTAGTTCATTAATTTGCTATTTAAAAACCTATCCACCGTGAAGTGTAATATCTCAGTAAGTAGATTTTTTTTTATAAATATTTTATGTATGTGCAATTGTATTTTTTAAAAAATTAAGGTGTCATAAGAGACAATAACTTATTAAAAATATACAAAGGGATGTTTTTAAATTTAAATTAGATTTAGGGTTGACAGTTTTATTTTATTTATGACCTTGACAAAGGCCGCGTTGCGGTTCAAATTTACTTACAAACACTTTAAAAACGAAAATTACACAGTACAACTTGCACTTTCACAGACAGGTCGACCCGAAAGTTCGTGCACTTGTCTTCATCAAACAGGTGAACTTGATGTGATCAATGATGAAAACAATCGACTATCATCGCGGATCAGCACAGAATCGAAAAACCCGAATCACGATACGTTCACTTTCCGGCAAGTGACTTGACGCGGCGATATTTTCGTACGAAATGAACTGAATTTCGAAGAGTTCGACAAACAGGTTTCTCAGCCAGACGGATTTATCATTGACGTGTTTTTTCCTTTTGGTCTGAAATTAGTCACGAGATTTACCGTTTGTTTCTTTTGTTGCCGCCGATATGCCATAATGTAACTATTGTTTGTCAGTTTTAACGCGGTTCTAGGCTTTAGTGACAATAGAGGGAGGAGGTGTCTAAAATTACCAAAAAATGTAAATGAGTATTTAGTCCATTGACAGATAAACCATGCTAGTTGCTTCAACTCTGGTGATTAATAAAGCTGTCAATTATCTGGAAATTGCTTGAAATTTGATCGAGGAAGTAATGTTATAATTAGGTTGTAATTTAGAATAAAACGATTCTAATAGTATATTTAAGTTTAATAGACGCCATTTTAGTCAAGAATTTAATTTAGTAAAGTTTGTTAATTTAAACAGATTATCTTGGTAATGTTTAACAAATTATTTCGTTGGAAAAGTACACGAGATTTCGGGCATGCAATCAAAACATTTCCCACTGACAATACGCATCAACAAGTTCAACTGACTTCAGCGTAAATATTGGCTTTGAGAAACTATTCAATACTATTGTATTTTTGTGTGGGACCTTAATTTTAGCG